ATTTAAATTTAACTCTTATAATTTTTTTGAAATAATTTTTACTTTTTCATGAATTATGATTTTAAAATATTTATAGTTAGTATGATTTTATAAAAATAATGCTAAAAACACACTTTTGTGACATATATTATTTATTTATTATTTAATAAAATTTATTAAAAAATAAAAATATTAAAAAATAATTTTTGTAATTTTTAATAAGTTTTAATCAATAATAAAAAAAATATTTTAAAAAGTGTGTTGCTAATATTACTCTTTTATAAAATATTTTTAAGTATCAATTTTTATTAGAATATATCAACTAGGAACTAAAAATAAAAATTATATTATAAAAACATATTTTGTAAAAATAAAGTATATAAAGAAATGTTATTTTCACATTGGCGTAGGATTTCCAGTGTGACGTAGCGAAGCGTTGTCCATTGCCACCGCCAGTCAACTTCTCTCTCTACGTTTATGCAACGTCAGCTCACTAGTTATATAAAAACTATTGATTCTTTTATGATGCACAAATAAATTTAAATTAAAAAATAATTTAAAGTATATTATTTTAGTATTTTATTATTTCACATTGGCAAGAAAGAGAACCAACTCTTCAAAATACTTCAATTTAGAGATTGATTAATGAATTTTTTTAAAATATACTTTAGCTACGTTATTAAATTATAATTGTTTTTTGAAAAGTAAAGATATATTTAATGATTACTTTTAAATTTAATTATGTTCAGATAAATGGAATTTTTATAATTAATTATAAATATTTTACTGTATTAAATATGACTAAATTAAAGAAATAAAAAAATTAAATTATAAAATGTTCAAATTATAAAATATTTTTTTAAATTAAATTAGAAAATAAAATGCTAAATGTAATAAGACATCACTTAATATATTAATTAATTTTTATATTATAAATGAGAGTCTGTTATTTGAAAAGTTAAATATTAATAAAGTTATTTAATTTCATAATTTATCATATATACAATTTTTATTAAGATTAAATGAAAATAATGTGTGAATTTTTTTACTATAATAATTTTACTTTTTATTTATAAATTTTTTAACTTGATTCTAAAATTTGAAGATTAAATTTGTTACTTAACTTTGCCTTATTACTTTCTATAAATTTTTATATTTTTCATAAATACTTGTCTTTACATTTATAAAGATTATTATTTTTTCTATTTTTTTCAAACTTAGAGTTTACCTTATAAGAGTTTTATGTCTTAAATTTATGGTTATTAATATATATATTAATTATTATATTAAACTAAAAAATTATATAATAAAAATATTATTTTAAATTGAATTATATTTAATTTAGTATTATTTTAATGCATACAAATTCTTAGTTATAAAATATAGTTAAAATAATTTTATTATATAGGTAAAATTATTTATAAAATATAAAATATTATTTTTTAATTATTAAATTATGTGTATATTTATTCTAAAATAAAACATCAGTACATTGCACAAGTTATTAAAGTAGTTGTTATTCAAGATAAATTGTAAAAATATTTTCATTTAAAAATAAAAACTTACAATTAATATACAACGAAAAAATACATTTATTATGGAGTATTATTTTTACATTAAAATAAGGATTTTAGTCATTACCAAAAATGCCCATAAAAAGAAAGTTAATTGGACAAACATACCCCTTCTTGGAGTTTATAAAAGTCAGTGGGAGTCAAGAAGAAAAACATACCCTACTCTCATATTTCATAAAATTCATGTGAGGTTTGTTTCTTCTCACTTTACCTCAAAATCTTTCTCAACTCTTTAACATCTCACATCACACATATTTGGCATGTCTTAAGCAAACTCTCTACCATACCTCTCTGTGGTTCAATTTCTCTTTTTTAGAATTTTTACCTTTCATATATCACTATATTTTAAAGGTTTAATCATTTTTATTTTTTTTTCATGAAGTGAATCTTCATCTGCTACGAGATCTACCAGCAGAGATAACATTACTGATCAATAGATCTGCAAGAGCAAGGTATAACTTTTCTCTACTACTTTAATAATTTTTTTTTTCATTTTTCACTTGAAAAAATTGACATACTCATCTTACATCGTTTTATTGTTGATCTAAAGCAAAAAGGTGACAACTTTTTTGATTACATGATTTTTCCTTAATTTCTTTTGAAAATGATTGCCAAAAGATAGACATGCAAGGCTAAGGTGAGAAGGTGAGCCCAAAATTTATTTTACGATAATTAAAATTATTATTTACCAAAATTACCCTAAAGATCGAATTTTATATATTTGAAATAGATTTTTTTAATTCTATTGCATGTCTTTTAAATTAATTTAAAATGAGTTGTTTTATTGTATAATCATTCTCGATCTATAAACATGCGGCGGCGGAGATAACCAAGTTTATATAAATTGGCGATTCGTAGATATATTATTAAAAGGCGGATATAACGAGGTTTATATAAATTGACGATTCTAAATATGTTATTGAAAGGCGAATATAACAAGACTTATATAAATTATCGATTCATTTTGATTTACAAATATGCTACCGAAAGGCAGATATAAAATTAGGGTTAAGCGGCGATCCCTAAAATTAATGATGTATTTAGCTGAATAATTTAAATAATATATATAGGAACATTAAATTTCATTAACTCGATTACTTTTACTTCATAAATATGCTATTAAAAGGCGGATATAACGAGGTTTATATAAATCGGCTGATTTATAGATATGTTATCAAAAGGCGGCTATAACGAGGTTTATATAAATTGGCTGATTCATATATATGTTATCAAAAGGCGAATATAACGAGGTTTATAAAATCGTTGATTCATAAATATGATAGAAGACAGAGATAATGAAATTTACAAAAATTGGCCGATTCATAACTATGTTTTTAAAAGGCGGATATAACGAGGTTTATAAAAATCATCGATTCATAAATATGCTATGAGGCGAAGATAACAAAGTTTTATAAAATTTGTTGATTCATAAATATGCTATGAGGCGGAGATAACAAGGTTTATAAAAATTATCGATTTATAAATATGCTTTAAAAAGGCGGATATAACGAGGTTAGATCGAGTGCTTATTTCTATAATTAATGATACATTTAGATAATTACACATATATATTAAATTTATTAACTCGGTTACTTTTGATTCATATATATATATATATAATTATTATTATTAAAAGGCAGATATAACGAGGTTAGACCGAATGCTTATCTCTATAATTAATGATAAATTTAGATAATTATATAATAATATTATTAAAAGGCGGATACGACAAAGTTAGGTTAAGCGTTGACTCTTAAAATTTGATTAACTCGGTTATTTTTATTTACAAAATATTTTTTAAAGATATTTTTTTAGCAAAAGAATAATTAGCATGAAATGTTAATAGAAATTCAAATTCTAGCATATGAGAAAGGTGAGAAACCATAGTTTGACCTAACCTACAAACCCTTTTCAATTTAATAACAAGTATTTGAGAAAAAAAAAACTTTATCAATACTAATTATTATGGATTTAAGTGAGATAGACACTATTATTTATTATCGTTTTTACTTTCAATAAATGTGAGATTATTTCTATTAACTTACACAAATATGCATGGCTTGCGGTCTTATATTCTCATAATTATTTGAAGAAGTATTGTTGAGTTGTACTTAGTGGTAAACTCAACTTTAATTTGACCTAAAATGATAAAGTTGTATAATTAATGAGTTAAATTATATGCTTAAACCCTTATGGATGAGTGTGATTGTAATTATCTGGCAAAGCAAAAGACACGGTTGCAGGGGCTGATTTCACGTGGACGGGTAAGAAGGCCAACGTGGAAAGCACGCGAGACTCGCCAGCAAAGCAAGCTAACAAAACGTGTCATCCATTCCCTGGTTAGTTCTTTTTTTCACCGCTTTCCGTTAATCCTGCATGCGTTATAACAACTGCTTTTGTTTTATTTGCAAATTAGATTATTTATGAGAATTAGGGTTTGTTTAAAACTTTTAAAATTTATTTATTTATTTATAATTAAAACTTGATTGAAAAATGAAAACTTCCCTAACTGAATCTTGATGTAGGGTAATTGAGTTTTCAAAATTTATAAATAGTGTTATACGAGGAGAAGCATTCATGTACACTTACACGTCTTTCAGTCGAGAATCTTAGCGCTGTCATAGCACACAGCAATTCACTTTCTATTGTGTCCCCTTATTTTCTCCTCAGGTGGTCATATTTTGTACAATATTTAGCTATTATGTTTCTACCTGTTTTTATATTATTTTTAGTTTAAATTTAAATTATTTTTTTATAATTTATATAATAAAGATTAGCTTTGAGAATCTATTTTAATTGATGATAAAAGATGAAATGAAGTGATTTTATTCTTTATATTTATTTTTAACACATTGTTTATTATTTATTTCTCTTTTTCTTCACCTATTTCACACTCCACTTTGAGTATCAACAGATCACTTTTGTTTGTCATAGATATAAAAGACCTGGTTTCTTTTTTCAGGAAAAAAATATAATTATTGTCAATGTTTGGTACAAAAAGTTATTATCATTATTAAATGGAATTAAAATCTCTTCTAGTGTATGCGCTGCCACGGTTGGGTTTTCACCTGGGACCTCGCATTCATTCCATTAAATCTGATAATTGTTTTCTTCTATATTTTAATTTTTTTTTTTAAAGTTATTTCAGAAAAGTATGTTAAATAAGAATACTTTTAAAATTCTTTTTCATTACACGGTATTAACTGAAGATATTTTTTGGATAAATCAAAATTTAAAATTACTGTAATCTTAATCAATTTTAATCTGTAAGTTTCGAACATCGACACATCATATTAATGAAGATAAATTTTTAATCTGATAATACTCATGCACGGGTAACTGGTTAGTTTAATTCTGCCTGTGATAGTACATTACATAATATTTTCGGCCCACTGTATTCTATTGTTTCTATATTTATCTTATGTGCCTCAGTAGCTATTTGATTTTGGGCATTAGAATCCAATTTTGTAGAATTTTACACTTTTGCAATTTGTACAAAGAATTTTGGGGTTTGGTACATACATAGATATAATATACATACACCATACATGCAATTGAATTTGCATTTCGGTTTTCTTTGATGTGTATAGGAATTTTCGTGGTTAATTCATCTGTACGCAACTGCTGTGTTTACATTCAGAACGTGGAAACAGAACTGTTTACGAAGAATTTTGCTACATTGAGTACGTTGGTGTTCTGCATTTGCTGTTGCCTTTGCTTTTTTGTTTTTGTTTTTAGCAGTTTTTAAGGTTTGTTTATGGTGAGTTAGTTTGGTGATAGACAAGTGAGAAACTGTTTGTGGAATGTCTCTTTGGTTAATTGGGACTGTGATAAGGTTAGTTACAATGGTCTCTGTTCTTGTTGCAGGCACAGTGATAACTTTTTCAATTGAGTTTATACTTCATTCTGCATTCAATGAAACAGTTGAAATTGGCTGCAGAATTTCTATTTGATGTTTTAAACCTTGGCAATTTGCTATTTGTCTGTTTCTAGAGAGCTTTTTATGCATGTGCTGCTCCTCTGTTTGAATTTTCTATCCTCTGTTTTCATGGATCACAGCAAATTGCAGATCCTTTTTTTTTTCATGGAATTTGAAAACGGTGTATCTTTCCTTTCTTTCTTTCTGTTTAAGACAATGTGATCATGCTTTTGGTTGACATAGCTATTGTTATATAATCTTTCTGGTTTAGTTCCTGTGCCAATTTCTTCTTCCCAGGAATTGTAAACCCTTAATTTAGGTTGCCCTTTACATGTTATATATGACTACTTTTTTTACTTGTGGTTTGGTAAATTGAAAATTTCTCACCCAGGTGGTGGTGACTAGTTTATTTAGCTTTATGGAATGTCTTATGTCTGGCATTGGATCGCCTGATCTTTTGATGCTTCTCTTTTTGTACTGAATTACATTATTAGATTTCAAGAACATTGCATGCATTTGAAACTTGAGAATATATAATGTAATGCTCTATCTTATTAAAGATTAAAATAAGAGGTAGCGTGTTTTATTTATAAGCTATAAAAATGTTATTTACTTATATTTAGTGAATCTTTCAGTTATGGTTTGGAGTGTTTTTTAGTCAATTATCAAGCAAGTAACCTGAATGATTCCAAAGTATGAAACTGGTTTTGGTTTTACATGCCATGCTGAAATCTTGCTTCTACAAGATCGCATCATGTTATCTTTTAAACCTAAGAGCTATCTCCAACCTTGCATTTGTGACGTGTCAATATTGCTACTGTTACATTCATTTGATATTTGACGTTGGAAATTTATTTGAGGAAACTTATGCAAATAAGAGGTTCTGTTTGTGGCTTCAATCAATTTAAGATCCGTCTCATGCCATCAACTGCTGATGCTTAATCAGTATTAAGCAAATGAAGGGCATTAAAGTTGTATAACTTGTTTTAGAAGATTAGATGCCCTAAGTGCATGGTTGAGCCACTATTCTGTCTTTACCAGAAGCTCCGGAATTTCCACGTGATTTCTACTTGCTGTTGCATAAATAGTTGACAATTTCTTTAGTTTGTTTTTTTATGACATTGCAGTTTGTGGTTGAGTGTATTTTTGTTCCTTCACACTTTTATCTACTTACAGTTCAATCTCTTTGAAATTAAGCTGTTACAATGTTTGAATCAATCCTTTGGATATGTTGTGGCTGTAATGATATTAGTGTTATACTTTACTAAACTTTGAAGTTTATCCACGTCTATTTTTATTGAGTCAACAAATTTAGCATTCTTACACGTGATACTTTGCAGGATAATCCTTTTAGGCGTAATCCAGAAATGGAAAATGCACTTGTGTCTCCTCGCGATCCGCCACAAAGAGAGGTATTTAGTATGGTCTATTGTACTTTGAATGTGTCTTGGTATTCTCAATGAAGTCAATACTAATTTCAGTCTTTCAAACATATCTCCTATAAATATCCGTTTGGATATTCAGAAGAAAAAATGATTTAAAAGTTTCAATGATTAATTATATATTGTTGTCATGTTGCAGATATCAGCCAGATGGAATCCAATTGCAGCATGTCGGCCTATAATTGATGAATCACCTGTGTTTTATCCTACTATTGAGGTACTTGTAATTATCACTATCATAGCATTATAGCTTTGGGTGGCGGTAATATTGTATTTTATATTAACTTTTTTTTGTTTGTACTCTTCTTATCAGGAGTTTGAGGACACACTTGGTTACATAGCTAAGATTCGCCCTCAAGCTGAACGTTATGGCATATGTAGGATTGTCCCTCCAGCTTCTTGGGTTCCACCTTGCCCTCTTAAGGAAAAAGATTTATGGGAGAAAGCAAAATTTCCCACCCGTGTTCAGCAAGTTGACTTGCTTCAAAACAGGGAGCCCATGAAAAAGAAAGGTAGGGGAAGGAAACGAAAACGTTGCAGGCAGTCAAGGATGGGCTCAATGGGGAGAACTGCCAATTCAAATTCTGACGATGATGAGAAGTTTGGATTCCAATCAGGGTCAGACTTCACATTTAGAGAGTTTCAGCAATATGCTAATCATTTTAAACATAGCTATTTTGGGTTGAATGATGCCAATGAGGATGGAAGAGTTAGTTATAATAATCACCACAATAGATGGGAGCCTTCTGTGGAGGAAATTGAAGGTGAATACTGGCGAATAGTAGAGCAACCAACTGATGAGGTTGAGGTAATAGTTGAGGTGTATTGATAAATGATAACATTGTTGGTCTTATTGTCACATAATTGTGAAAACAATTTATATACTACTCTTCTATTTTGTTAGGTGTATTATGGAGCTGATTTGGAAACTAGAGCACTTGGAAGTGGGTTTCCTAAGACATCATCCTTAACTAGGACTGATTCAGATAGGTACGCCCTATCTGGCTGGAATCTGAATAACTTTGCACGACTTCCAGGCTCTGCATTATGTTTTGAAGGAGGTGATATCTCTGGAGTTCTAGTTCCATGGCTATATGTTGGAATGTGCTTTTCATCATTTTGCTGGGTAAGTAGTGTGATTACACTTTCGTAAGTCTAAATCTATGAAAGAGACTAAGTTTAAGGTATAACTAAAAAAAATATTACTAATTTTCTTTCTAATCACTTTCTTTGTCTGTCCGTGGAGTTACAAAGTTGTTTTTCATGAAATTTGAGTTGAATTTTTTAACATTGGTCTATTTTATAAAATATTATAATTTAATTAAATTCAAAGGAGATAGTAAATAACTAGAACTAATATCGGACTAGATAGCGGGTCACTAGCAACTGCATAATTATTGAACACATCTTTGTAATAGAACCCTCAGTATGTTTGCACTCACAATATTTTAGGTTCCACTGCTTTATGTTGGTTCATTTAAAATATTGACGTATAAAACAAGTAATAATGTCTTCAATTTTGCATTTCTCTTGCTTCATATCTTTATGCTTTCCTATAAAGACTAACTCATTGTTCTCATTTCCTGCTTCTTGGGACAGCATGTTGAGGATCATCACCTCTATTCACTTAATTATCTGCACTGGGGTGACCCCAAAGTTTGGTATGGAGTACCTGGAAGCCATGCTTCAGCTTTGGAAGATGCAATGAAAAAGCACTTGCCTGATTTATTTCAGGAACAACCACATTTACTCAATGAATTGGTATAATACTCGAAATTGTACTTCCCCTCGTTGATTTCAGTGTTTGGGTTGCTTTTGTGCTGTATCCATATAGATATTTCAAGGACACAGATTATAGTTCTAGTTGATGCTCAATGCGTTAGGAACACTGAATGCACTTGTGGAAGTTAAGAAACTAAAACCATGATGACATTGTGATATGTTCAGAATTCGAAGTGTCACTTCATGTTTATTTAGTTAGTTAAAGGTGTGGCACTCTGATTAGTGTAGTGTTTGATACTTATATATGTGTATATACATATATAGTGGATGATAGAGTTGTTAGGTAAGGTCCTTCAATTTGAGTAAGAGAGAGGTTTTTCTTTTTCTCCCTTTATTCTCCTCACTGGGGATCAAAAACTACCCTGGGTCCTCCACTCAACAACATAAGCTGTTGGGATACCCTTGACATTGTATTTGAGCCATTATGATCAAGTGATAAAGAGTTTGATTCTTACTGCCCCCATTCTTCATAATTAAGTTAAATTTTAGTACTAGGTATGATGGACCTATGCGCTGTCCGAATTTCAAGCCTCAATGGCTCGTGTGAATAGGCGTCTTGTAGATGTAAAACTATTATTTGGTCTCCACCTAATAACTTCAACTTTTAAAAGAGATGATCCTTGACGTTCCATAGGAATCAAAGTTCAGTAGAGTCTACCCATTAAGCTCCTATTATGTTTGGAAAAAGTGGTGATTAAGAGCAAGCATAATTTAAATGACTAAATGGTTCCTATAGACAAATGTCCTGCGTGATGTAATTCTGTATGGAACATAAATTTCAGCACTATTATTGTCGCAGTAGTACTCTTATGTAACGCACTAGGGCTATGAACTTGTTTCCGACCTTGTCATGTTTTAATTAGTTGTCTCTAAACTCTTTAGATCTCTAGAGGAGCCTTCACATTGTCAAATTATCCTTAGTTCCTCACTAGTCTATCGAAAGATTTTGAAGTTGAACTTATGGCATGTTTGTGCGTTTATCACCTTTCTCTCATCATGTAGCATGCTGAACTTTGACAAATTCCATTTCTGCCGAAGTGATCGCAGACACACACACATATCTCATCTACAGAACCCTCTAGCACATCTGTTCATCTCTCATACAAGTGTTAGATATTTTAGTATTCTCTGTGTAGTAGATAGAGTTTGGGAACTGTATTATGATTTTAGTGGTTATGCTTTTATCTTTGAGCAGGTGACTCAGTTATCTCCTTCAATTCTTAAATCCGAGGGCGTGCCTATCTATCGCACTGTCCAGCATTCAGGGGAGTTCGTTATTACCTTTCCAAGAGCATACCATTGTGGCTTCAATAGTGGCTTTAACTGTGCAGAGGCTGTGAATGTGGCTCCTTTTGATTGGTTTGAACATGGCCAGATTGCTGCCGAGCTTTATAGTTTGCAGGGCCGCAAGACATCGTTGTCTCATGACAAGTTATTATTTGGATGTGCTCAGGAAGCTGTGCATGCCCTTGCAGAGCTAACTCTTCATGGAAAAGAAGATCTAAAATATTTAAAATGGAGAAGTTATTGTGGAAAAGATGGGGTTCTTACCAAGGCAGTTAAGGTAATGATTCTTGCATGCTCTCTCCACTGTGATCGTTGGCATTTTTTATTTAATTTTAGTTGCTATCCATATATCTATTTTTCATTATATTATTTCTTTTAATTTTTTGTTATCCTTATTTTTTGACAGGCAAGGATAACTATGGAAAAGGAGAGGCTTGAGTGTCTTCCAACTCATTTAAAGATGCTGAAGATGAAAAAAAATTTTGATTCGTCAGAAGAAAGAGAATGCTTCTCTTGCTTCTATGACTTGCACCTATCTGCTGTTGGTTGCAAGTGCACTCCTGACAGTTATTCTTGTCTCAAACACTCAAATTTGTTCTGCTCCTGTGAAATGAACAGAAGATTTGTTCTGTTTCGTTTTACCATGTATGAGCTAAGTACTTTGGTTGAAGCATTAGAAGGAAATTCGCATGCTATTAAAGTGTGGGCAAATAAAAACACTAGAATGGTTTCTGTTACTGCCGAGGATGCTTGCATGTATAGACAAAATGTGGAGAGAGCTATGTGCCCAATAAGGAATTACGAAGAAGGGCAAAGCTCAACTTTTTATGCAGGAACTAATGAGAATCCAAATTCAAATTTACCTACCGGTTCTTACAGCCGTGTTTCTTCAGAGTTAGTTCACTCAGAGTCTCACCATGAAACTTTTAGGGCACCATATGGCACTACAGCGTGTCTTATGGATAATATAAATGGAAACAATGCAGTTGGGGTGGAGCAGGGAGGTTCTGTGGATTTGAATATTGATGTTATGTCTGGTGAACCTGAAAATTCTTCTATACATGTTGCTGATAACCATCGAAATGAAGGTGTTCCATATGTGGAGAAAGTGTGCTATGCAGAGACCAGAAAGGAACAAGACAACAGCATGGATCCCGTGCCTGGTGGTATTTCTGCCTCGGAGAAAGGTTTTTCTTCATGTTCAAGGGATGTTCGAAATCCTTGTAGACTTGATGGCTGTAAATTGTTTGGGGTGACTATGAAAATGCATTCAGATTTAGGAGAGCAACTCAACAGTGCATTTAAAATGCGAGACGTAGAAACCTCCAATACAAGTAAATCTCTGACAAACCAAAGCTTCCTAAGCCAAAAGTTTGGTGTATCTGTTGAGCCTGTAAGCTTTGGTTCTATTGTGTATGGAAAGCTGTGGTGCAGCAAGCATGCAATATATCCAAAAGGTATGCTGCAGTAGGATCTTTTCTGGCCTTGGATTATATACCTGCCATTATTTTTGTTGGAATTTAATGTTTCTTTTAATCTTGGTAAATTAATGTAGGATTCAAGAGTCGGGTTAAGTTCTTTAGCATTCTTGATCCGGCAAGAATCTGTAACTATGTTTCTGAAGTCTTGGATGCTGGATTTCTTGGGCCTGTTTTCCAGGTATGATTCCTGACTTTGTTTTTGCTTTTAGCTTAAAATCATATCTGTTTCTAGATGTACACAATCTATCTATGTAATAATCTAAATAGGAGGAGTTAAGGTGTACGATGTTATTTACTTACACATCCACAAAAATCAAGGATATCTCTCCACAATCCTTTCTCTTACTCTTGTGGCACCAAGGCATGTAATGCTTTGTGCAAGTGGGAAGGCTAAAATACAATGCTAAATATTTTCAGAAGTCTTTTATCCAAACAGTGTTTGTGGGATAGGTTTTTATGTGGATTTCAGTTGATGTTAGCTTTAGTAGAGGAAGGGATTCTTTTTTCTAGCTTGCATGGGAATTAGGGAGTTGAACAATTATATTTTCCTTTTTTTTTTTTTTGTCTGTTTTACTCTTCTCCATTTTTAATAAAATCTTCCTTTATCTTAAGCTTTCTAAGCTAAGTTTTTTAATTATATATTGTTGGGATAAATGCCCATGGTGTCTTTTTCCTTGCTTGTTTTGCATTTTTCCTTGGATATTTTCTGGTGAACTCAGTGGCTGAGCAGAGAAGTATATGCACTGGCATTGTTGTCTGAATTCATAGAATCTGACACCTTAAAATAATATTAATGTAGCTAAGTGATAATTGATTTCTTATTATACTATTTTTAATTTTATGGTATTTTCATTTACATGTTTTTTCAGTTAAATTATATTTCTTTCTCACACTGTAAAATAAATTTCAGGTTACTATGGAAGAACTTCCAAGTGAGGTCTTCACAAACCCCTCACCAGATAAGTGCTGGGAAACAGTTCTTGACAGACTAAAACATGAAATTAAGAGGCGAAGTAGTCTAGGTGAACTGGAACTTCCACCCGTGGAACTTATGCAAAACATTAACGGTCATAAAATGTTTGGATTCCTTTCACCATCCATTATTCAGGTAATCCGTACTCGTGAATTTTTAAGATATTCACTCGTTTTGCTAACATTGATATCATCGGTGTATTTCTTTTCTAATGTAGAATTATAGTCATACGGTTTGGATCTTGTCCTTAACCAGTTTTGGTGAACTAGTTTAATGGATCTTATCCATTCTGAAAATCTTTTCCAGGCCATTGAAGCTCAGGATCCCAATCATCAGAGCATAGAGTATTGGAAGCGCAAAGAAATTGTCTCCGAATCTTCTGGCAGTGCCATTGGTGACCGTAAGATCAGTCATGGTTCAAGTAACTCTCTAGGCAACATCAAGACCAAAATTTTTGGTGTCAGTTTGAAACAGAAGGAGCAAGATAGCATCAGAGGAAGTTGTGATTCTTTTGAAGAGATGAAACTGATATTGCAAGGATTCTTAAAGAAGGCAAGTCCTGATGAGCTGAGTGCAATGCATAAGTTATTCAGCTCTGATGCACAATTCACTAACTGGAGATTGGCATTTGTAACTCTGATAGAGGAAATGCAGAAGGCTTGGGCATGAAGGAATCTGACTCCAGTTGGTTATCTATCCAACAAGTCATTAGTTAGGTTTGTTCTTTCAGATATCAATTAAACTGAAGAGGATGCTGGGTGAAAACCAAGATAAGATTTTGGTACTTGCCCTGTGTCAATGACATTTTAGAGATGGATAATGACAGAGACTCATTGTAGGTGCTAATGCCATTGACCCATTCCAACTTTCCTTTTGAACTTATATTTTACTTTACAAAGTTTTTAGCCTGCAACTATTGGTGGGATTTAAGTTTTAGATCTTTCATCCTTAGCGATCTCCATACTCTATAAATTTCTGTGTATGAATAAACAGAAATACAGATATTTCTGTTATAATTGATGATATCAATGGGAAGAATACATGGAGAGTTTGAAATTTGGAATACTCTGCTCCTTGCTCGGAATATTGAATATCTGAGATTAGTTTAAAGCACATAGGAGTGCCTAAATCTCCAAGTGCTGTTTTCTATTTGTAGGTAAGCTAGCTCTATGTAGCTTCCTTTCAAGTTACAACTAATAATCCTCAACTCAACAACTGTGTTCAGCCCCTGAATACTTGACTTTTGTTTGCTATCTTGTATCAATGATGCTAATAGAAAGCATTTTTTTTATTGCAACTGAAATGGCGGATACAAGTTTTACAATGATAGTTTAGCAAACCCATACACATCACCCCTAAAAGCTGAGCCCCTACAGAGGACGTGTCCCCTTTTATTATTATACATGAAAATTCCTACCCCTAGACTAGCCGGAAATCACCCTACAAATAGTCTATTCAACCCTGAAATAACTAAACTTCCATAAATTCTTTATCCTTCTTTTACTACTCTTGGATTTCCTTGTGTATGTATATCTTCCAAATGTGGGGTCTATTATTTTGATTCAGAGGTCTAGCAATTTTGGATTATTAGTTGATGTCAATTGTCACGAAGTCGCTTTGAGGGTTGCTTGACTTGGGATTAATACTTGTTCCCTAGCTTTAACCTATGTTTATTGCTGTACATACCTAAGTGACTAATTGAGTGAGTATCTATAAATTAGAGTTTGAATAAATTTAATTTTATGCAATTAATTTTACTTAAAAGTTTGTATTAAAAAGTAATATAATTTTTTTTCAATCCAACATAAAAGGTATAATTTATTATGTTAACTTGAATGTGAGTTTAAAGATAAAGTTAATTATATTAAAGATTTGTCAAACATATTAGTATAAATTTCAAATCAAATCACGTTTATATATTTAAACTTAAGTTTATAAGCTTTTAATTCATATTCAAACATGCACTAAGCCTCCTTTGTAATTAGAAAAAGAAAAGCTTAGCATTCAAGCATGTAGTGTTATGTCAACTTCTTAAATTCAATTGAGATTGTACTAAAACAATAGTAAGTGATTAAGATCTCAGTGATTCTTTAATAAGTAATTATAAAAGTAAAAAATTAAGCAATAAAATGAATTAAACTCTTTTTATATGTTAAAATTAATTTATATTTCTTTATTTTTTTTATTTTTTATATAACTTCTCTAAATTTTAAGGAGATAATTTATTTCTAATTTATGAAAAAAATTATTAATTTTTTATATTAATTTTTTTACAAAAAATTTTCTAAAAATTTACCCAAACTCAACCTATTTCAAAAGTCATAATTATCATAATTTTAAACTATTATGCTAAAATAATTATTAAATCAATCTCTCAATGAAATTGTCAAAAGTCACACAATAGAAGAACATAAAATCTTACTATCCTTATTAAATTGAGGCATTGGTGAAACTAGAAAGTATATTGTGTGGGCTTTATAAAATACAGGTAAAATGTAAAAAATAAATTTTTAAAACAATTATGAAAATTTTAATTTACTTAATTAAAATATTTTATTAATCATAAAATCTTACGTAAGAATAGCGCTCGTTTCATATTGCCGATAGAAAATGTCTTCACCCACCAAAAGTGCTACAAGATAATAGAAATGTTTGTATACAAAAATCCAATATATACTGATCAATACATTCATAAAAATTGAAATGGGGTTGCTAATCTTTTTCTTTTCAATAAATATATATCTAGATATATTTTGGCTGTGTCAGGTCAGGTCAGGTCATTTTCATCCAGTGGTTGTTCTTCCTCTTTGCCAGTCTCAGCCTTCAATGCATTCACATCACCTGTCGGCAACTTTCTTGCTAGCCTAATAATCTGCATACATTTTGCTAGTAAGGTTGATGATTTGATCAAGTGTTTTTTTTTTTTTCAAATTTAATTTTTAGAAACCGAGTTTAAGCATTTAAAAGTAATTAATTTGATATTAGAAAGAACATATTTATTAAATTGAAGTTATAAAAGTATTGATTACTTTTTTGTCAATTAGAACTTACTGTCATAGGGGGCTTAAATTCAGCTCTAAAGTGTGAAATTAACATTTTTTATTAATTAAAATGATTAGTAGAATCCGAGAGAGTATGTAAGAGGATAAAACATTAAATATATAATTTTATGATAATTCAAAGGCATTTAATAAGGTGTATCTAATGCCTTTTAACATGTAACCTAGCGCACACATTAAAAAAACCAAATTTTATATAGCTAAATTGTAGTCAGTATGCTTTATTTGCTAATTGCTGCTTCAAAAGAAAATATACATATAAACAAAAACCATTTACCACATGATCAAGATTCGAAATAGTGCTGGATTGAGTGATACGTTTGATTTCTTCAAGGTCTCCATCCTTGAATGCAGCAAGAAGCTTGCTAGCACAACGGTTCTGATCACTTCTGAGAAAAGCATCAATCCTAGAGACATGACAAGCATTTATGCCCATTTACTCATCAGTTCCAATTACTAATTTCATGGAATAAGATAAAAATTACTAACAGTCAATCTTAGATAAATAAAATAGAATAAAGGAGTGAACCCATTAGATTCATGCTATGCTATGATGCTCTAAAGAAACAAGCTAAAATAGAGAACAATAGCAATATAAATAGCAAAAACAACAGCAACAACATGGAAAAACACGAGAGTTCAATTCACATAGAAGTGCCATATTGATCCAATTCCCATGTTGATAGACTCTGCAGCCACATAATAGCAGAAGAAGGAGGAGGCAGAAGCTTACTGAGAGCAGTCATTGTAGCACTTCTCTGCTTGCATAAAGTCTTGAGCATAAAGGTAGACAATAATTGCACCAAGATATGCCTACATATGAACAGGCCTGTGACTCAGATAGATTTCACCATTAAAGAACCGAAAGTACCAGCACATTAACACGTACATTGAAGTAGGAACAAAAAATATTTTCTTAACATTGAAGTGTTAGAATAACAATGATGCAACAGCTGTGCACTAATTGAAGAAATGCCAACCGATTGGATAGTGGAAATTTTAAATATAACGAGTCACTCTGAATGCAAGTACCCAAGATGGACGCTGTGTCACTGCAGCTGCTATGGATACAAACAAATATAAGGTTTGGTACTAAGGTCTTGTTTGAGTTGATATTACAGTCAATGAATCTAATCTAAATCATGTAAGAGGATAAGGAGTACTATTGATTCAGATATCATTAATAAGGTACTTCATGTTGAGTATTTTTTAGACTTATCAATACAATTTACACTGTCATTTCTTTTTGCACCCAAAATTGAAGGAATAACTTTTATTTACGGATGAAGTAGTTTTGTAACAAAATGAGTTCAAAGACAATTGTCTGAGTGATGCCCCCATAAATAGCTAATTCAAATCTAATTTTCAAAACAAGAAAAACTGTAAGAAAACAAATTCTTCAACTTAACACACCAAACATACAGGTTTCACCATCTATTCTACTTAAACTCATTCCTTAGGAGTTGAGTACTCAAAATACAGAATGGAAAATTAAAGTAATTCCAAACCTTGCACTGGCTATTAGTAGCATTACACTTGTCAGCTGCTAAACCCAATCTCAGAAGGAAAGATGCAGCATCTGTATATCTGTGTATTATGGAACCACACCCAGGTCCACAGGATATGTGTAAATCAGTATGCAAGAATGTATTAGTATTAAAATTTGCAGTTGGGAAAATAGTGTATTAATATCCCGGTCATAAACCAAACACTGCACATCCAGAAGCAGCAGTTCTTGCCTAACAGGTTGACACAAGAGAATAAATCAAACATAAGCTTAGAACTACTTAGCCTGATATATTTTGTGTTACCCATTACCAGATAGAATTGTTTTGTTGTATACAAATCAGTAAAATTGTTTTGTTTAAAGCTTAAAATTTTTTTGGCTCAATCTATCCCATAAAGTCCATTAAGCCTCCAATTCTATGTTTGGAGGTTCCTTTCACGGCACACAAACAGTCAACAATTTGGTCCTTAATCATCATCTTATTGCTTGCAAATCGTTGAAGGCTGTAAACTTAAACTATCAGGATGAAAATTTTTCTTCCTCAAGATAATGCCATATATGGACATGTAGTATCAAGCATGATTGCCTCGATGGATCAAGTAAAATAGACAACAAGAGCATTGCTCATCATTTAAGGGAATAATAAAATTCATCCATGTTATGTACATTTATCAGGATAAAAAAATGTCAACTTATAAAATGAAATCAATGGAGAAACATGAATAAGCATTCAACCAAGCGCAGACACATTGATTATGTCTAACAACATCACATTAATCAAAATTAACTCTAACGATGGTAAAACATTGGAAGATAGCTTGTACTTCATGTATACTCTACATACTGTTGAATAAACTTAAATGTCGGTTTTAATTGGTTTTAATTCAGCAGTTTTTTGTTAGAATAAAAGATCAAGAGTTAGCAGTTATGTTTTTTTTGATAAATGGTTATAATGGGTTTTGATTGTAGTTTATGGCTATTAATAGAATTTAAGTTTTTTATTTTATAAATAGATCATTGTATTATTTGACAAAAAGTGTGAGAAATATACAGACAATTTTTTCTCCCCTATCGATTTTCAATTCTACAATTTGGTATCAAGAGCCTATGGCGAGTGTGACCAATAATGTGCCACTGCCTCGACTAACGAAGGTGAACTATGAGAATTGGAGCATTCAAATGAAAGCTCTTTTTGGGTCTCAAGATGGTTGGGAGGTGGTAGAAGAAGGTTTCAAAGAACCGGAAACTACCACGGGATATTCGGCAGCTCAACACAAGGCGTTGAAAGAAACGCGATCGAAAGATAAGGCAGCTTTGTACTTGTTGTTTCGAGCTGTTGACGAGTCGGGCTTTGAGAAGATTGCGAATGCAACAACTTCAAAAGAAGCGTGGGACATTTTGGCGAATGTGTACAAAGGAGCTGACCGGGTTAAACAAGTCCGCCTTCAAACTCTTCGTGGTGAGTTGGAAAGCATGAAGATGAAAGAGTCAGAAGGGGTCTCTGACTACATCACGCGTGTTCAAACCGTGGTGAACCAACTCAACCGAAACGGAGAAGTTTTAACTGATGCACGAGTTGTGGAGAAGATTTTGAGGTCGTTAACTGACAATTTTGAGAATGTCGTATGTGCTATAGAAGAGTCAAAAGACCTATCAATGCTCACGATCGACGAGCTCGCTGGTTCTCTCGAGGCACACGAACAACGTAAGAAGAAGAAGAAGGAGGAGATACTTGAACAAGCACTTCAAACCAAGGCGTCAATCAAAGACGAGAAGACACTTTATTCTCAAAACATTCGAAGTAGAGGACGTGGTCGTGGAAGTCGAGGAAATGGTCGCGGTGGTAGAGGTCGCGGTCAAGAAGAAAGAACATTCAAACCAGCAAAATTGGCGTGGAAGAGGACGTGGTCGTTGGAGAGGCAGTCGATCCAATTATTCCAACATCGAGTGCTACAAGTGTGGCAAATATGGTCACTATGCGAAGGATTGCAACTCCGATAAGTGTTATAATTGTGGAAAGGTGGGGCATTTTGCGAAAGAATGTCGGGTCGAGAAAAAGGTGGAAGAGACAACGAATTTAGTCACGGAAGATGTGGAAGCAAAAGAAGGTTTTCTCTTGATGGCACATAACGAAGTCAACACCAATAACAACACGGTGTGGTACCTTGACACGGGCGCAAGCAATCATATGTGCGGGCACAAGCACCTATTCAAAGAGATACAAAAGGTTGAAACTGGACATGTGTCATTTGGAGATGCGTCGAAGGTTGAAGTCAAAGGCCAAGGTACGGTTTGTTATTTACAAAAGGATGGCTTGGTTGGGTTAATCCAAGATGTATATTACGTACCAGATCTCAAGAGCAACATTTTGAGTATGGGACAACTCATGGAGAAAGGTTATTCGGTATTTATGAAAGACCAGATATTACACTTGAAAGATAAACACGGGCATTTGGTTGCTCGAGTTGAAATGGAGAGAAATCGCATGTTTAAGCTGAATTTGACAAGCGTTCGAGAAAAATGTCTGCGAGTCAACGTAGAAGACAAGGCTTTGCTGTGGTATCTCCGTTTTGGTCACCTACATTATGGTGGTCTAAACAAGTTGGCAAAGAAGAACATGGTGCACGGGCTACCGGACATGGACTATGAGAACAAATTTTGTGAAGAATGTGTGCTCAGCAAGCATGCGAGAACTTTATTTCAAAAGAAGGCAGAATATCGTACTAAGGAACCTCTCGAATTGATTCATACCGACATATGTGGACCAATCACTCCTGAATCTTTTAGCGGTAAGAGATATTTTATTTCTTTTATTGATGATTTCTCACGAAAAACTTGGGTTTATTTTCTGAAAGAAAAATCCGAGGCATTCGAGGTGTTCAAAAAGTTTAAAGTGGTGGTGGAAAAAGCAATCGGTAGACACATCAAATCGGTACGATCTGATAGAGGTGGCGAGTATACTTCAACAGCTTTCATGGAGTATTGTGAGGTGCAAGGCATAAGGCGATTTCTAACCGCACCATACTCTCCCCAACAAAACGGTGTGGCCGAGAGGAAGAACCGGACTGTTCTTGATATGGTTCGGTCAATGCTTAAAAGCAAGAAGATGCCGAAAGAATTTTGGGCAGAAGCCGTGCAATGCGCTATCTATGTGCAAAATCGGTGTCCACATGCGAAGCTAGATGATCAAACACCACAAGAGGCATGGAGTGGACAAAAACCAACGGTTTCTCATCTCAAAGTATTTGGTAGTGTGGCCTATGCACACGTGCCGAATCAGCGAAGAACGAAGCTTGAAGATAAAAGCAAAAGGTATGTTTTTATTGGGTATGACAACAAAACAAAAGGATACAAGCTACTAGACCCAATAAGCAAGCAGGTTGTGGTGAGTCGTGATGTACAAGTTAATGAAGCAAATGAGTGGGATTGGAGTAACTCAATGGAGGTTATCAATGAAGATGGAGAATCATCAACCGCTATACCAACAATCACACCGACAAATCCTGAAACAACCAGTGATGAAGATGAACCGCAACAACCCAGAATGCGAAGTTTGCAAGATTTGTATGATTCGACAAATGAGGTACACATTGTATGTCTTTTGGTAGATTCTGAGAATATAAGCTTTGAAGAGGCGGTGCGAGACAAGAAATGGCAAACTGCCATGGACGAGGAGATTAGAGCAATTGGCCGCAACAACACATGGGAGTTAACGGAGTTACCGAAAAGAAGTCAGCTCATTGGTGTGAAGTGGGTGTTCAAGAGAAAAATGAATGCTCAAGGCGAGATAGAACGGTACAAGGCGCGACTTGTTGCAAAGGGATACAAGCAAAAGGAGGGAATTGACTATGATGAAGTATTTGCTCCTGTTACAAGAATGGAGACAATCCGATTGCTCATTTCACAAGCGGCTCAATTCAATTGGCCGATATTCCAAATGGATGTCAAGTCAGCATTCTTGAATGGAGTGCTTGAAGAAGAAATCTACATCGAACAACCACCCGGGTACATGAAAAGAGGAGAAGAGAAGAAGGTGCTGAAATTGAAGAAGGCACTTTACGGGTTGAAGCAAGCACCGCGGGCATGGAATTCTCGCATTGATACATACTTCAAAGAGAACGGGTTTGAACAATGTCCCTATGAACATGCCCTTTACGTGAAGAAGATTGGAGGTAATATGTTATTTGTTGCTCTTTATGTTGATGACCTCATTTTTATGGGGAACAATGGTAAAATGATACAAGAGTTTAAGAGCACAATGGCACGGGAATTCGAGATGACAGATTTGGGCTTGATGAAGTTTTTCCTTGGTCTGGAGGTAAGACAAGAAGAGACGGGAATTTTTGTGTCACAGGAAACATATGCAAAGGAGATTTTGAAAAAATACAAGATGACACATTGCAATCCTGTATCAACACCAATGGAACCGGGTGCAAAACTCTCTAAATTCGATGAAGGAGAAAGAGTTGATGCGAGCAAATATCGAAGTTTGGTGGGAAGTCTTCGCTATCTCACATGCACCAGACCAGACCTTTCGTTAAGTGTTGGCATTGTAAGTCGGTTCATGGAGGAGCCAGTTTATTCACATTGGAAGGCGTTGAAGCGAATTCTAAGGTATATCCAAGGAACGGTATCACTAGGGTTATTCTATTCGAAAGAGGAAGATTACAAGTTAATTGGGTACTCTGATAGTGATTGGTGCGGAGACTTAGACGATCGGAAAAGTACATCAGGGTATGTGTTCTTTATGAGTAACACAACTTTTACTTGGCTTTCAAAGAAGCAACCAATCGTGACGCTCTCAACATGTGAAGCTGAATATGTGGCAGCATCTGGGTGTGTATGTCATGCAATATGACTTAGAAATCTGTTGGACAAATTGGAGCAACAACAAATTGATGCGACTGTGATACGAGTTGACAATAAATCAGCAATTGAGTTGGCAAAGAATCCAGTGAATCATTAGAGAAGCAAACACATTGACATTCGCTTTCATTTCATTCGAGATCATGTGAAGGAAGGAAATGCGGAATTAGTGCACGTGGCAAGTTGAGATCAAGTCGCAGATATTTTCACGAAACCGCTATCGACGGTACTTTTTGATAATTGCAAGAAATTGATTGGCATGAAGGATGGCAGAAGCATTTAAGTTTACAAGGGAGTTTTGTTGAATAAACTTAAATGTCGGTTTTAATTGGTTTTAATTCAGCAGTTTTTTGTTAGAATAAAAGATCAAGAGTTAACAATTATGTTTTTTTGATAAATGGTTATAATGAGTTTTGATTGTAGTTTATGGCTATTAATAGAATTTAAGTTTTTTATTTTATAAATAGATCATTGTATTATTTGACAAAAAGTGTGAGAAATATACAGACAATTTTTTCTCCCCTATCGATTTTCAATTCTACACATACCATGGAAATCTACATTGTCTTAATATTTTCAAAACTTACTTCTCATGTTTAATGTAAACACTAGTGGCGGCACGATATAGATCAAAGGCCATTTGTTCTCCTCCATCCTCTTCAAGAATCGTACAAGCATCAGTATATAGCTTAACAGCTTCGTCAGGCATAGAATCTTCCAAAGCACTGCATAGGGGAAAGGTATTGAGAGAGAAAGAGAGAATTATGTCACTGAATTCCCAATACATTATCATGTATCAAGATTCAATACGTATATTCATTATTGTTTGTTTAATACAGTTTCCACAAGTACCATATCTTGATCAAATGAACTAAAGTATAGGGAACATCATGATGTACTAATTTTAGCACATCTTTGGATGACATCAAATTCCATAACAGCAAAGGCAAAATTCATCAGATAATTGCAAAAACTAAAGAATACAGCAATACTGCCCAGTATGCATACTGAAATGTAACTCATTTGATCCCTATGAAGTTACTAATACACAATTGGAGTTTTCACGTTGTGAATTTCGACAGATGTTAATGCATAGCTTGTTACTTCAATATAACATTGAAGATTAAAATAATAATAATCATAATGGTTATAAAACATGAAATGCAGCTACCGGGCTCCCTTTGCAAGAGCATCTGATGCAGGTTGTGATCTACCACACTCAATGTACAATTCAGATGCCCTTCGATACAAGTCACAAACTTCTCTCCAATTGCTTAGTTCTTTTGACATAGCCGCGGCAGATTCCATGTTCTTAGCTGCATCCCAAGGTCTGGTTTACTTGTCAAGGACAAATGAAGAGAGAGGGTTTAAATGATAGAAGAATACACAAAATACAACAACAACAAACAACGATGATCATTTGCTTATTCTCTTTAAAGCTAGAAGACCATAAAAAAATGGTATAAGGATACGAACACAGCATCTCATGTCCTTTAGAAGCTTTCTCAAAAGCTTCTTTTGCTCTCTCGTAGTTCTTGGCTACTCTTAACCCATTAGCTACAGAAAATAAGAGCTTCGTAGATTTATCCACGTGCTTTTTTTATATAAAACTTTCATTTAGTTTTGATACACTTGATGCTAAATTATTTGCATATGCAATCCAGAATTAAAAAATGCACTAGTGTTTTACACTTTTACCAGCTTGCTCATAAAGTACAGTAGCACCTCCCCAATCTACACTCCACCTTGTGAGACTGAGCGTTGTTCTGAAGCCAAAAAGAAACTAAAGGTAAATATTAGCTACAGCTGGATTTTGATCACATTGAGAATGATGACTACATAACCATTCTAAATGCTTTAACAACACACCCCATTATCCATGACACATGACACAACACAAAAGTAAACAATTGTTGGATCACATCACACTAATAGAAGTTAAGGCAAACCAACCTCATCAGGAACCAAAAACATTCTATGATGCATATATTTCACGTTTGTATGATCAGAACATGGAAATCCACATGAAAAAATCACAGCATGCAGGATCTTGTTTTACGTTGACTCATCGATGGCATTAACCTTTGCATTCATGGTAATGGTCGTCTCCCAGATTCTGGCATCCCGTACACTAATGTTATGATTATTTAATTTAATTGGTTTTATCAAAGAAAGGCCGAAAATGGGTCATCAACAATTTTCCAAATACTTTTAAGTACTGTTCTATGCATGCATACATGAATGCGATGAAGAAAAAAAAAGGACGGAAAAAATGAACCCACAAGTTATCAGCTTTGCTTATCAACTTGTGGGGATCAGACATGGTGACGTGTCGTTGGTGTTAAGGCTACAATACGCCTTAAGAGGGTGGTTTTGGCTTTGTATATTTTGCAGAAGAAACTAAGTGCAATGCAAATGGCGATCCTGGTTCTACACTTTACGTCCAATGAACTGTGTATGATGAACGGATACGGCATGAGATCAGAAATTCGCATTACATAGACAAATGAGGAAATTCTAAAGATTGTTGGAGTTTTTGTAGTTGCATTTGCATACAAGTTTAAATATATTTTTATTTAATTACAATATTTTAATTTTGTTAATTTAAAAATAACTTCTGTCAATGGTATATATCTAGTCATGTTTTTCAACAATTAATTTAATATAACATATATGATGTGGTATGTCTATATATTCTATTTCATTAAATATTATTTAAGGTATATAATATAAAAATAGATACTAATTATCATAAAAAAAAAAAACTAAACAAAGGATCCATGGATTGTGATTTGAAGGTCCAAAAGTAGAATGCTGAACTTTCGGAACTTCAAATGGGGATTGATACGTGAGATTGGAAGGAGCAGAATCTCACACACACACCCCAAAAAGGCTTTTCTTCTGTTATGGATACATTCAAAGCGAAAGCTGCCAAATTGCTGATGACAGTAGAATCTGGTTCTCTTGCCATAAGAATATGCACTTCAATAGCTATTTTGAAAGGATTGTTCCTTAACATGCATGATATATAATGGCCCATCACTTTGACAAGTGCTATCCTGAGACAAGAAACTAGTCAGTGTGAGTTTAATATTTCTAAGTGAATCAAAAAATATACAGGCACTACTTTGTTAGTGACCAATATTTTATCACTTTGCATACCTTTATTTTTATTGCAGTGATATAATTTATGAAATATATGAAAATTGATAAAATATAATTGCACGCCAACTATTTTCTTTTTAAAGCTAAAATGTTTCACATTATTATAATAATTTATCAAAATCTGACAATCCTGCTTCAAAGTTGCGATTTAACAAACATAATATCTGGTTAAAAGGGAGACGAGTGGGGAAATATTTTTAATATTATCTTTTCAAAGTTTAAATATATTTTTAATTTTTAAACTTTAATAATTTTTTACAGCTGATTTGATCAGTTAAATATTCAATTTTTTTTTATCAAATTACATGAGCGGGAAGAACTAAAAGTAATAATTTATTAAAATATAAGAATTAAAAAAATTATTTAAAAATACTAAAATAAAAAAGTATTAAAATATAAGAACTTAGAAAAATATATTAAATTTTTTTAAATTATAATTATAATATGATTTGAATAATTAAAGTAATAAAAAATGATACCAAATATTAATATATAGTATTAAAATAAATCTTTAATTAAGTTAAAGTAAAAAAAAATCCATAATTTCACGTGTAAATTTTGTTGAAAAAGTGATCTGAAGCACGCGTGGATCTCATTGTTAGAGCTAATCAACAAAGCAAAAAGATTCGAAAAAGGGAATTTAAATTTAGAAGAACAGTGTCACTATGACATGTGCGGAAAGGCAGTGACAGTGCATGGCACCGAACCATGAATGATGCATCCACTTTCTTTGTTTGAGGGCACAGCCATTAACGCACTGCTTTCAATTTTCATATGTTAGGTTGAAGAAAACACCTTCATCCCATGCCCCACACTGCTTCCTTTTTTAAATACAATACGATACGAATATTCAATATTCCACTCTTCACTAAATTAGGAAAACGACAACACAAGCACCATTGCACGACCGCATTCATAACTAGACGACAGCACAAGCACCAGAATAAAGAATGCCATGCATAAATATTAGTAAGAGTAATTTTGGTAGAATTTAATTAAAAATAAGTAGTCATTTATAGGGTGTTAAAATTATAAATTTACAAGAGAGAAATGTCATATTACCAAAAAAGAGTTTGTTGCATATAATGCAAGTTGGTGTTGTGTTATTAATAGAAGAAACTCACAAATATACAATGAATTTGAAGCTGGAAAAATTATGTAATTGTTTTCTTGTAAGGTTAGAGGTGAGAATGTGTGTTTAAAAATATGATAAAAAAATTTATAAACGCAGTAACCTTAAAATAAAGATAAATATTCAACTATTTTATTCACTATTCAAGTGAAAAGGCATTCATATTATGCATTTATCTCTTAGAAACGTAAAAAATCACACTTTAACATGTACAGCACCCAAGATAGTTTCAGATTCTCCATACTTAAGCTATTAATACTGTCAGAACCTACCTCAAAAGGTGATTCAGAACCGTGCTTTATTTCAGTGCCGGGTTGGCTTCATTTTACACTTCCACTTCAGCCTTCACAAGAAACTGCAAAAAAAGCACACTGCTTTCCACTATTTACTTAACTTTTATACACAAGAAAAGTCAAGTCTTGCACTTGGGGATGGACTATATGTGATGCTGAAAATTTGTTGTCAGTTTCTTGATCATGCTTGCATTCCAAGCCCAGATGGGCATCATGTATTGGCCACATTTGGTTGTGTTGTGTTTCATGGGAATGCTTCTAATACCTTCCTTGTGTCAAGATGATGCAACTACAGCTGTGTACATTGTTATTCTCCGACAAGCTCCTGCTTCTCACTTTCAGGATGAGTTGACCAGAATGGGTAAGAGCTTCAGACATGGTGGTTCTTCTGGGAGGAGAACAACACTTCACAAACCAAGGTACCCCTTTTTTTTCACTACCTTTGTTTTAAAGTTTTGCCATTTCAGAAAGTGTGCTGTGTTTTTACAGTCCTTTGTATCACACGTTTTTAGTTTTCAAGCTCTTCTTTATCTAGGTTGAGGCTTCTTGTTGAAGTTTTGTGTTTGTGTTATGATTATAAAGGTTTGTTAACATGATTGCCTTAGTATCTAAACAACTCATGCCCATGGACAAGTTGTTTGAAAAATTTATCATTATTGTTATACTTGTTTGACATTCTAAATTCTTGTTACTTAGTGCCTTCCTTATTTATTTTTGCTCCAATTTATGGTCTTTTGATTTTTTCAGACATAATAAGAATGTTACAAACACAGAAAGGACACATGGTTCTTACTTTGCCCGAGTCCATAATTCATTGTTGAAGAAGGTGTTTAAAGGGGAGAAATATCTGAAACTCTATAGCTATCATTACTTGATTAATGGATTTGCTGTGCTGGTAACCCAACAGCAGGTGTGGTTTTACTTTTCAACATCTTGATTATGCTCTTATTCTATAAAGAAATATGTGTTTGTTTCCATTTGTGCATACTTTGGTGTTTCTATTTGAGATTTGATAAACTTCAACTCTTCAACTAACATGACTTTGGTTTTTCGAAATCACTTAATCTTGAAGGCAGAGAAGCTATCAAGGAGAAGAGAAGTGTCCAATGTGGTTTTGGATTTTTCTGTGAGAACTGCAACTACTCATACTCCACAGTTTTTGGGTCTACCACAAGGAGCTTGGTTGGAAGCAGGTGGATTTGAAACTGCAGGAGAAGGAATCACTATTGGGTTTATTGACACTGGCATTGATCCTACGCATCCTAGTTTTGCTGATGATAAATCTGAACATCCATTCCCTATTCCTGCTCATTTTTCTGGTATCTGTGAGGTTACTCGGGATTTTCCATCTGGTTCTTGCAATAGGAAGCTTGTTGGGGCTCGTCATTTTGCAGCATCTGCTATAACCAGAGGAATATTTAATTCAACTGAGGACTACTCTTCTCCCTTTGATGGTGATGGCCATGGCACGTGAGTTTTTGGCATTTCCATATGAGTCTTGAATGTAGTTGTTGTTAATCATGATTGACCATTTGGTCCATTCCCCTCATTTTGATCATCTTCTATTTGGATGCAATGGGAATACCAATAAATCCATCTTTCTAAAATCTTTTACTTCATTATCTCTCTGTTTACTTCCCTCCACTTGAACATTGATGAATTAGTCCTAGCTTTTGTTAATCAGAAATTTGAACACAATTAGTTTTTTTCCCGTTCTTTTCAGCTGCAATACTTTAAAATAGTAATAAAAAATTGTTGAAAAAGGTTTGGAATTGCTATTGCCCAATATGATTTTAGCTGGTGGTTGAAAATTGAAAATGAACTTATATATTCGTGTCAAGTCCTATCAATCAAATTTCTTCCATTCACAAGTTCAATATATGATAGTTATTTTAACAAAATGTATCACGAAACTAAACAAATTCATCTTACTTATTTTTCCACCGAATGTTCATCCTGATGTATCTAAAACATACAGGCACACAGCTTCTGTTGCAGCTGGAAACCATGGAATTCCAGTGGTTGTCGCTGGGCATAATTTTGGCAATGCTAGCGGGATGGCTCCTCGTTCACAGTAAGTAATTTCAAACTTATAAGTTAAAATTCACGTGTCATTTTGTTAGGATACCTAGTTCTACGTATAATCAAGTAAGTCAGAAGTCTCTGCTTCTGGTTTTGAAGTCATATTTATGTGATTAATTAACTATCAATATCTGTAAATAAGATTTGCAAGGTGAATTTTAGCAGTTAAAAAAATCCCTCAAAATTATATGGTTTTCAACAATAAAACTGAAAGAAAACTCCTTCAATGTTAGAGGCAGTTTCTGAACCATAATAGTTATCTGCCCAAGGAGATCTTGTCAATGTACTTTTCTCTATGTACATTAACCCATCATTTCATCACTTTACCTTTTGTTGTGTGATATGCTTTCCCTTAATTTCTCTACCTTGGACTCTAGCACTTACCTGTTTTTGTGCATGTGGAATATTTCATTTCCATGGAAGTGATCTCCACATAATTTGGTTTTCTAGAAACCAACAATTTATGTATAATGTAATGTATTTGGCGCTTGAAAGATTACAGAAACGACGTATGTAATTTTTCTTGAAAAAACAGTGTATCTGTTCTAGCTTGGCTTGGATTTCTAATAATTCATGGGAGCATAATTCATTTTTATTTTATTTATATAACATTTGAAAGCATTCCATTTCAATCTTTTGCAGCATAGCCATTTACAAGGCACTATACAAGAGATTTGGAGGATTTGCTGCCGATGTTGTTGCAGCTATTGACCAGGTATATGCATAGATAAACATACAGTATCGTACAAAACATGCCATTTATATGTCAGCAATTACTGATAATTTCTTGCATGTGTTCTCTTCAAAATATTTCCACTTATTTGTATCCACAATTTTGCATTTTTGGTAAGGCTAATACAACAATCAAGCCTTATCTCACTAGATGGGGTCAGCTCAGCTGATAGTGTAATAAATTGTTCACAGGCAGCTCAGGATGGGGTTGACATAATATGCTTGTCAATCACTCCTAATAAGCGTCCTTCTGGTATAGCAACTTTCTTCAATCCAATAGATATGGCATTGCTCTCAGCCGTGAAAGCTGGTACTTTTGTAGTGCAAGCTGCTGGTAATACTGGACCTGCACCTATGAGCATGTCCTCCTTCAGTCCATGGATTTTTACTGTTGGTGCCACCTCTCATGATCGAGTTTATAGCAACTCTCTATTTCTTGGAAATAATGTGACCATACCTGGAGTTGGACTTGCACGTAAAATTCTGTTGCTCTAATCCCGGTTAGCTATACATGACTTATTTTAGACTAACAGTCCAGAGTTGTGTATTATGTATTTTTTAAATGATTGGATTCCCTCTTTGAATTACTCTCTCAATTATGAGCGTCAATGAGGCTACTTCGTTCAGCATTTAATATTGATAGATTCAGAAAAAAAAGTAAATCATTTGGGAATTTGTTTGCGCTTTGTCATTAGTTTTGAAATTGTGAGGAGATTATTGGTGTAACATGTTCTGATTGGCAAATATTTCTCTGCAAAACCAGAAACTTCTGCATTATAGAGCAGGGTGAAGATTCTAAATTCTTTTGGAATGATCTTGGCTTGCTAGAATTACTGAGTTATGATTCATTCTATGTGAATGATGTAGATATGACCTTGGCGCAAATTATATTGGAAAAATTACAAAACATAAGCCTTGGAAAAATATTTTAATTTTGGAACAATTAACCATTCTTTGAACATCCTTAACCATTTGAGCGTTTAAGTTAACAACACCTAACTTGGCAATGCTTTCACTGAGAATACCATTTTTTTTTTCAATTTTCCCTATTATTCTAAGGGTACTCCTACTGTACTTCCAATGCATGAGTATACGCTTAGCTATGCTTGTGTATTCTTTTGTATTGTTGGTTACTTGGTTGAGAATACACCAAGTAAATATCATTCACTAGACTATGAATCCTGACCATGAACAAGAAATCAAAGATCTAAAACTGACTGTGCAATTATAATTTGTTATATCAGTATGTCTATTGAAATTTATTCATTACCCTATTTTTCTCTTATTACTTTCCCCAGCTGGCACATATGAGAACAAGATGTATAAACTAATTCATGCACGGCATGCTGTGAGCAATGACACAACAGTTGCTGATGATATGTATATTGGTGAGTGTCAAGATGCAAGTAAATTCAATCAGGATTTGGTCCAGGGCAACCTCCTGATCTGTGGCTATTCAGTCCGATTTGTACTTGGACTTTCCACCATCCAACAGGCCTTAGAAACAGCCACGAACCTTAGTGCAGTTGGTATTGTTTTCTCCATGGATCCTTTTGTGACGGGTTATCAGATTAACCCAGTTCCAATGAAAATGCCTGGCATAATAATTCCATCAGCAAATGATTCCAAGGTGCATTGTTAAATGCACAAGCATTCTTTCTCTTTCTTTTTTTTAATGCTTGTATTTTATTGTACGGCATATGTATGCCATCTTTGATTCTCTCTTTAAATACCTAATGTCACAACATCTATCTAGTCTACATAAAAACCATGATGTGGACCCTGCTGCTAACTATTCACTTTGTTTTCAACTGGACAGATATTACTGCAATACTACAATTCTTCACTGGAAATAGATGGTGATTCAAGTAAAATTGTTAAATTTGGAGCCGTAGCTAGCATTGGTGGTGGATTGCAAGAGAACTACAATAATGCTGCCCCAAAGGTTATGTATTACTCTGCCAGAGGACCAGACCCAGAGGACAGTCTTCCACATGAAGCTGACATTTTGAAACCCAATTTGGTTGCTCCTGGAAATTTTATATGGGCTGCTTGGAGTTCTCTTGCCACTGATTCAATTGAATTTCTAGGTTTGTCAATACATAAACAGGTTTTTACTAGAAAATAAAACAGAGACAAGTTTAAGTTGTTCTTTAGGTCTGTTCCGAGTTAAACATAACATCTTCTAAATTATAATCTATACCCTACATTAGGAATTTTTTATTTATCAACTATAGTGAAGTGTGAATATCATGTGCATTGTTCCAATAGGTGAGAATTTTGCTATGATGTCTGGCACAAGCATGGCTGCACCTCATGTTGCTGGTCTTGCTGCACTAATTAAGCAAAAGTTTCCCGATTTCAGTCCTGCAGGCATTGGGTCTGCACTTTCCACCACAGCTTCTCTCTATGACAACAATGGGAGGCCAATAATGGCTGAGCGATCTTATCCCTCCCTTGACCTAAACCTATCTCCAGCAACTCCCTTTGACATGGGAAGTGGTTTTGTGAATGCTACTGCAGCATTAAATCCGGGATTGCTTTTTGATTCTAGTAAGTAACTTATATTAATTCCCTTTTGAATCATTATATTTATCATGTCAATGAAAGGTCTAATGTCTTAAAAATTCAGCAACAGTTGCTGTTTAAGTTGAATAACTGTGTGTGGCTGTGCTTGATTAATAAACCAACCTGATTTCTGACATTTCAAGTGTGTTTACATATATTTTTCTGTGTAGGTTATGGTGATTATATGTCATTCCTATGTACCATCAATGGTTCAACTCCTTCAGTGCTAAACTACACTGGTGAAAACTGTTGGAGTTATAATTCTACTGTATATGGACCTGATCTGAACTTGCCCTCAATCACAATAGCAACGTTGAACCAATCTAGAGTAGTGCAAAGAACTATCCAAAACATTGCTGGAAATGAAACTTACAATGTTGGTTGGAGTTCTCCATATGGAACCTCTATGAAAGTGTCTCCTACCCACTTCTTTCTTGCCAATGGAGAGAGACAAGTCTTGTCTGTGATCTTTAATGCAACCAGCAATAGCTCTGTTGCTAGCTTCGGAAGGATTGGCCTGTTTGGTCATCAAGGTCATGTTGTCAACATTCCTGTGTCAGTCATTGTTAAAATATCATAACATGACTATGACTAACAGAGTGCATGTTTCGCTTAGATTATTTTGAAGAAATAATAGCTTGTTTTTGCTAACTTCCTGCTAAAACTTTTACATAATAAGCAATTATTTCTTCAAATTTAAACGTTTCCAAACATGCACCTAGTGTCTTTACTTTCTTCGTCTGTAACTGTAATTCATTTTGATTTTGTTGTGTTTTCCTTATTTAGTCTTTCTTTCATTGGGTTACAAAATGTATTAAGCTAATTTTTCATTTGTTATAATGTAAAAAGTTACATATATATAACAAATAATGTTACAGTAAGTAAGTGGTCTAGTCTTGTATACCAGATAGAAATATGTAAGATGGGTTCCATCGTATCTATACTGTCTGGTATACATCTAGACTACACCCAGCCCAAGTTGTTAACAGGGACATTGTGTAATCAGTGATAATTATGAATTCTTGAATATTTTTGTTATGGTATCAACGCAATACAGAAGATTGGATCGAATTTAATTGGAAATAAAGAAAAGTAAGAGAATAATGGAGACAAGATTTTAACGTGAGAAAAAACTCCAAATCAGAGAAAAAATCTATGGACAACGATAAGCAAAATAATTTCACTATGTAAAGAGAGAGTACAAGAAGTCCTCTAAAATTATGAAGACAGAGTAATAAATTTCTCTATTTTTCTCTCAATAAATACTCTCTCAAAATGGAATAAGAACTACAAAATAACACTTTCAATTTTCTCTCAATGTTAATTGATCCGTGAATGATCGTATATCAACCTCCGTTGCTTCATTGCCTTTTATAGGCAAAATTTGTTACAGTGATTTGTTATTTTTTTTTTTAATGTTGCTACAGTAACTTACTGTAGCATTTTGACAAAGGAGCAATGCCTACACTGACGCCTATGCCCTCGTTGACAAAGCTGAAAACTGAGACATCCTTTTCATTTTGACTAACAATCTCCACCTTGGATTAGTTTTAATAAATTGCTCAACGCCGCTAAAACCCCTGAAGGGCGTTCAAGTGCTATAGAGACCAACCAAGTCCAAGCAATGCTGGAACTTGGCCTTTGGAAGAGGCTTAGTAAGCATATCAGCTGGATTCTCAAATGTATGGATCTTCTCAACCACGACTTCACCCTTAGCAACAATTTCTCGAATAAAATGATGTATCACATCAATATGTTTTGTCCTGTCATGGTAGCGGTTATTCTTGGTCAAGTAAATAGCACTTTGATTATCACAAAACACAGTAAGAACATTCTGTGTAAGACCAAGTTCATTGATCAGACCTTTAAGCCAAAGAGCCTCTTTCACACCTTCTGTTGTTGCAACATATTCAGCTTCAGTCGTAAATAATGATGGAAGTGACTGAAGCTGAGCTTTCCAACTAATAGCACAATTATAGAGAGTAAATATGTAAGTAGAAAGAGATCTTCTTTTGTCAAGATCGCCACCATTATCGAATCAACAAAACCTGTAACTTTAGTTGTTGCATGATTTCTATCAAATATCAAGCCAATATCAGAATTACCTTTTAGATACCGAAAAATCCATTTTATAGCACTTCAATGATCCTTTCCAGGATTATGTATATACCAACTCACCATACTAACCGCATATGCTAAATTAGGTCTAGTGCATACCATAGCATACATAAGACTGCCAACAACACTAGCATAAGGAACGCGTGACATACGCTCAATGTCTTTCTTTGTTTCAAGACAAACCTGTCAAACACTTTCTCAACGTATTTTTGTTGAGATAGGAACAATTTACCAGCTTGACGATCCCTGCAAATCTCCATACCAAGAATCTTCTTAGTTGCACCCAATTCTTTCATCTCAAACTTATTATTGAGTTGAGTTTTCAATTTCCTGATCAGAGACTTGTCACGTGATGCAATCAATATATCATCAACATATAGTAACAAGTATATGTAAGATCCATCAGGAAGTATTTGAAAATAAATACAGTCGTCATATTAACTTCTGCGATAACCTTGCCCAATCATAAAGGAATCAAACCTTTTGTACTATTGTCTCGGAGCTTGTTTGAGTCCATATAAAGATTTCTTTAATCGGCAGACAAGATGCTCCTTACCAGGAACAATAAATCCCTCAGGTTGCTCCATATAAATTTCTTCTTCCAGCTCTCCATGCAGAAAAGTTGTCTTAACATCAAGTTGCTCCAATTCCAAGTCAAATAAAGCAACAAAAGCAAGCAAAACACGTATAGAGGTATGACGAATAACAGGTGAGAAAATCTCATTAAAGTTAATACATTCCTTTTAGCTGAAGCCTTTAACAACCAATTGTGCCTTGCATCTAGGATCTTTAACCCTGGGAATGTCGTCTTTCTCCTTATAGACCCATTTGTATTTCAAAGGTCGTTTGCCTTTGGGAAGCTCTGTTAAACTCCAAGTGCCATTCTTATGAAGACTTTCAATTTCTTCATTCATAGCCACTAGCCATTTTGAAGAATCAGCACAAGAAACAGCCTCAGTATAGCTGGTTGGTTCAATGTCATAATTTATTTCTTGTGCAACAGATAATGCATATGCAATTAAATTATCATCACAAGCATAATTTGCATATCTAGTTGGCTTAGTAATCGTCCTTCTTAGTTTGTCTTGGGCAATGGAATACTCCTCTTCCTGTGGCTGAATTGGAGAAGTGGTAATCTCATCAACATCATCATCACCACATGTATCAGTGCTAGACTCATTGATAGAAGAAGATGGAATATCAACATTAGGAGCCCTGCAGATTATTAGTACTAGTAGAAGAAATCACAGAAGATTGTTTTTCAGAAGATAATAAAGCATCCTCGTTAAAAGTTACATCTCTACTGAGAATTAATTTTTGTGACTTAGGATTCCATAAACGATATCCTTTAGATTCAGATTCATAACCAAGAAATATGCACTTAACAACTCTTGGAGCTAATTTGCCATCATTGACATGTGCATAAGCAGAACATCCAAAGATTCTCAAATTGGAATAATCAACAGGATTACCTGACCAAATTTCTTCTGAAATTTTGAAATTAAGTGATGAGTGTGGAGAACGATTAACCAAGTAACAAGCAATTGATACTGCTTTGGCCCAAAATTCACGTCGATACCATAACCCAGCATTTGAGAGCATACAACGAGCTCTCTCAAGTAGAGTCTTGTTCATTCGTTCTGCAACACCATTTTGCTGGGGTGTTCTTAGAATGGTTTTATGTCTAACAATTCCATGATTTGCGCAGAACTCAATAAAGTCACCGTCATAGAACTCCAATCCATTATCCGTTCTGAGCTTCTTGACTTTTCTCCCTGTCTAGGTTTCAACAAAAGCTTTCCACTTCTTAAAAGTGGGGAAGGTCTCATTTTTATACCTAAGAAAATAAACCCAAACTTTGAGAGAAAAATCATCAATAATAGTCATCATATAACGGCGTCCTCCATAAGAAGGAACTTTAGAAGGCCTCCAGAGGTCAAAATGAATATAATCAAAAATATCCTTTGTACGATGAGTTGCAGTAGAGAAACATACTTTTTTCTATTTCCCAAAGACACAATATTCACAAAACTCCAACTTACCGATACCTTGATTACCAAGCAAACCTTGCTTGTTCAAAAGATGCATGCCTTTCTCACTCATATGGCCCAGGCGCATGTGCCATAATTTGGTGACATCATTATCAAGTATAGAAGAAGATACAGCTGCTGAACCTGTCACAATAGAACCTTGCAAGAAATATAAAGTACCAACTCAGTTACCTTTCAACAAAACAAGGGCACCTTTTGATACCTTTAGGACTCCACCTTCAGATGAATACTTGCACCCAAGAGATTCAAGGGTGCCAAGAGAGATGAGATTCCACTTTAATTTAAGAATAAAGCAAACATTAGTAAGAGTCTTAATAACACCATCATGAGCCTTAATCTGAATAGTACCTATTCCTTCAACTTTGCATTGGGTATCATTAGTCATCAAGACAATACCATCATTAACTGGTTTAAAAGTGATAAATAAATATCTATAAGCACACATGCGGTATGTGCATGCAGAGTCAAGAAGCCACTTATTTTTGCTTCTCTTGTCAGAAGAGACAACAGATGCCATAACATCTCCATCAGAATCAGTCTCAATATTAGCAGCTTCAACAGGTTGTTTACCTTTTTCTTTCTTCTGTTTATTTTCTTCTTTTTTCTTTAAGATAAAACAATCAGAAATGTCATGCCCATATTTTTTGCAATAACGACAAGTAGCGTTGGATTTTCATCCCCTAGATTTGGATCTACTCTTTTTGTGACTAGTACTCCCTTTTATCAGAGTTCTACCTCTAACACTTAGACCCTCACCCTTGTCCTCAGAATGAATTTCAAGATCAAATTTTTCTTTGGACAATAAATTAGATTTAATATCTTCAAAGGATAAGGTGTCATTATTACCATACAACATAATTTCTTTGAAGTGTTTGTAAGTAGAAGGTAAAGAGACAATCAACAAAACAACTTTATCTTCATCATCGATTTTAATATCGATATTTTGCAGATCCATAATAATAGAATTAAATTCATCAAGATGAGATTGAATGATTCTGATTGTCGTTATTGCAAAAAATTGTTAGTATTTTAATGATTTTGATTGTTTTATTGCAAAAATTGTTAGGATTGAATGATTCTGATTGTCTTTAAGATTAAACTCATAAGAAAATTTGTTTTTCCAAAAATTGTTAGTATTTTAAAATATAATTTTAAAGATTTTAAAGGGAGTGACGCTTCATATTTGCGACTTGTTAGGATTTCTTCTATACATGACTAGAGATTCTTTGGCCTAAAAAAGTAAAATATTTGATCATTTTATGGACAATAAAAGTATTATTATATTATATATTTTTAGTCATATTTCAATCCCCAACTTCACTTCTACGTTATTTGAAAATAGTTTTATTATTTAAACATTTAAGATTAATACATACGCAACAACATGTAGTATTATAAGTACTTTTGGTGTTCTCGAATTAAAATTGAAAGTTTACCTTAATAATTTGCATAATAAAAATTAACATTAAAGGTTGATATGTATTATTAATTTCAAATTTTAATTTTAGTTATACAACAATACAAAAAGTATTTATTATACTTAAGCATTCTCCTATAATTATTTCTATTTTTATATCTTTTACATGCATCTCAAAATTATTGTTCAAAATTCAAGGAGAGATATATCCCATTATAGATGTACGTGAAACATTTTCCATTTGTGAGACATAGCTGGAAAGGATCATCCACGGTGCCAAGCATCACTCTCCATACAATTCACTTTACTGAAACGAGGAAGTAACGCTTGGTAGCGGCAGCAGCAGTAGGACTCTTGATATCAGACAGTTTCAAAAGGGAGTCTTTAGCAGCTTTTAGTTGGCGAAAAGCATCTCTAATGCCCATGCGGTCATCTGGATTTTCTGCAGTGCAGGATATGGCAACTCCTACAATTGCATCCACCCAATGGAGTTGTAGATTTGGTCCCATAGCTGTGTCACCATTATAAATGAGGGATAGCAATTGAGGGTCAATGACTTGCACACTCTTCTCTTTGAATGCTGATTGCACCCATCTTCTTATGCTTAGGCCTCCGGTGAAGTACTCATCTGTTGGGCTTTTCCCAGTGAAGAGCTCTAGTAACACTATGCCAAAACTATATACATCTCCAGATGTTGATGGTTTCTCTCCCCATCCATACTCTACATTGTACCAGTACTTTTATTGTTAACCAAAGCATAAGAGAAGTAACAATACTAATTATCAAATGTTTGAGAATTTATAATAAAATTTAAAAGGTTCATAAAGAGAAACATATAGATATATCACGTATGCATTAAGGATTTTATATTTTAATGATAAGAAAAATTATTGCAGGGAGAAATGAGTTGCAAGTTGTTTGCTAACCTGGAGGTATGTAACCAATTGAACCCCTAAGGACACGAGTAGAGCTAATGGAAACTTGATTACTTGGTCTTTGAATCAGCAACCTAGCCAATCCAAAGTCACCAACCTTTGCTGTCATGTCTTTATCCAGTAGAATGTTGCTAGGCTTCAAATCACAGTGCACAATTGGAATTTCACTGTCATTGTGCAGGTAATCCAATGCACAAGCAGCATCTATAGCTATATTCAGTCTTTCCATAAGGCTCAACCCATTTCCATTTTCGTGCTTTCTCCTCCCCTTAATCCAGTCTTCCAAGCTACCATTACACAAGTACTCATACACCAGAGCCAGAAAATCATTGTTTTTGAAGTCAATACTAGAGCATGATGTGATCAGCTTAACCAGATTTCGATGCCTTGCGTTCCTCATAGCTTCACACTCTGCAAAGAAACTGTTCAAAGAACCGGTTCTCAGAGGGTCAAGGACTTTCACTGCTACAGTATTTCCATGACTTAGATGGCCTTTATAAACTGAGCCAAAGCTCCCAACTCCTATTAAATTTTCCTGGCCGAACTCTTCCGTTGCCAGCCGAAGCTCATCATACGAGATCATTTGAACTTGAGGTTTTAGCTGTTCAGATGCTGCAGCTGTTGTTACCTTCACTTTTCTCTTCTTTATATATAGTAGGAAGCCAATTGTGAGACATAGTATCAATGCTACCACTATGGCTATGATGATGTAAAGTTTTACATTTGTTCTTCCTTGGCCATGAGGCACGCATGCAAAATGCAAGCAGAGTTTCCTATTGCCTTCAAAATGGACAGCTGAGAGATTTTTAAAAACTCCACCACTTGGAATTATTCCTTCTAGATCATTGTAAGAGAGGTTTAACAGCATAAGGATATGTAGATTCTGAAGTGCATCAGGAATGGATCCACTGAGTCGGTTGGAGGACAGGTCCAAAGTTTCCAAGCCTCTCACATCTCCAAGAGTCTTTGGAATGGGACCCGAAAGCAGATTCCTGGCCAAAATCAACTTTTCCAAGCTGAGACAATTGCTGAATGAGCCAGGGATGTCACCAAACAATTGGTTGCTAGAAAGGTCAACGGAGGCAACGCTAATCAATTTCCCAACTTGGGGAATTTGTCCACTCAAAAAGTTCATAGACAAGTTCAAAGCACTGCTCAAAGTTGGGAGATTGAGGATTTCAATTGGAATGCTTCCATTGAGTTTGTTGCTGGATAAGTCCATGTAGAGCAGGTTTTGAAAATTTCCAAAACTAATAGGTATTCTCCCCACAAGTTGGTTTCTTGACAAATCAATTTGGTTTAACTTTAGAAGATTACCAAGGGAATTTGGAATACTTCCGGATATCTTATTTCCTGCCAGACATAGCTCTTGCAATTGCTCTAACTGGCCTAGCTCATGTGGGATTTTTCCAGAGATTGAATTGTAGCTTAAGTTTAACAACCTCAAACCATTAAGACGACCAATGGAGGAGGGTATGCTTCCATTGAAACGATTCTCTCCCATGTATAATTTTGAGAGTTCCTTGGAGAGATTGCCAATGGTTTCAGGAATCACACCTTCCAGCATATTGCCATCAATTGCTAGGAAGTTCAGGTGGGTGCTATTCGTCAATGAAGTAATGAAGTCTAGGCCTCTCACACCTGAACTCACTATCCTATTATAACCAATATTATACATGTGAAGAAATGGTAGATTTCCCAAACCAGGTGGCACTGTTCCTTCCAAAAGGTTGGAAGCCATGCGAATGATCCTAATGTTGGTGAGGTTGTGCAATGACCCTGGAATTCTACCTGTGAATTTATTGAAGCAGAAATTGAACACCAACAGTTTTGGGAGTTTGTGACCAACATCATGAGGAATCTCACCCCACAAAGAGTTTGCAGCTAAGGCCAAGTTAAGAAGGGAAGATAAGTTATATATAGAAGGTGGAACGGTCCCAGTTAGATTGTTAAGAGTGAGATCAAGCTCAATCAAATTATGGAGCCTACCCAACTCACTTGGAATCAAACCACTGAGAGTGTTGGTGCCAAAGCTGATATTTTTGAGTGAAGAAATGTTTCCTAGAGATGCTGGGATTGCACCATAGAGGCTATTTCTTCCTAGTTTCAAGACTTCAAGCCTTTTCAAGCTGCTGATATCTTCAGGAATGTTGCTGACAATCTTGTTGGAGGATAGATCAAGAATCTGGAGCTGATTCAAGTTGGTGATGTTTGAAGGAAGATTTCCTTCAAATAAGTTAGAGCTCATGTTTAGAACTCTCAAACTGAATAGATTGGAAATTTGGTGAGGAATCACCCCTGTGAGTTGGTTATTCTGCAATTGGAGAGACTCGAGAAAGGACAAGTTACCTATATAAGCAGTTAGCTGACCTGAGAGTCCCAAGCCTGAAAGATCAAGGCTAGTCACTCTTTGGCCAAGCTTGTCACATAGCACACCAGTCCAATTTTTGCAAGGGGATGAACTTTGGTTCCAAGAAGATAAAGGGTTGAGAGTGTCATTGCTCAATTGAGACTTCAATGAGATCAAGGCTTCTGTGTCTGTGGTAATGCTTAAAGTGGCTGATGATGCACCAACTAAATCATGGTTGTGTAAACTAAAGGGGAGGAGGATGATTAGTAAGGCAAAATGAAGAAGTGGCTGAGAAAACAAAGGCATATTTGCTTCTTTGGTTTGGATTGCATGCATGTTTTTGATACTCATCTCGGAATAAGACGTGTATTTATAATGATCCAGTGACAGTTGCTGCAGCATTTGCGATGCTTCGCTTTTTTCTTTATTTATCATGGTTTTATTAACTTTAATCTTAAGCTTTCTTTTAAATATATAAAAATGTATTAAAAAATAAAAAATAATTAAAATTTAATATTTTTAAATACTTAAATTCAAATTTAATAAACAGGCTAGTAAGCCGTTTATTTAATTATCAGTCTTTTTCATCAAGTGTCATTTTCATATCTCAGTTTTCACTTGCAAAGTCATCAACATTTCACACGCAAAATTGACAAATGTACGTAGAAAAAGTCAATGTGTTCACAAGTAGAACAAGTCGTGTAAGTATTCAATGCAACGTTAAACGTACATAAAATCATATTTAATTAATGACAAGTGTATTTTAAACACAGGCCACATGATTTTTCATATATTTTTAATGTTTAACGAGTCCAGTAAGTTACTAAGATCGATTGACTAGTAGTGATAAGGTTGATTCATTCATTTAAGTTCATTATTTACTTAAGAAGTTTTCATCACCACCATATATACCATACATTCAAGAATTATATATCAGTAGCAACAGCATAAACAGTGGCAATAATAAAAATCAAAATGATGATGAGGAAGTAAATTCTCAAATTATTTAGTTTTTTTATTAAAACGATAATATAAAATAAAAGAACTAAAATAAAAAAATTATAAAGGAAAAATTAATAAAATATTTTAAATTTTTGAATATTTGATTAATATAATTTTAAGAATTAATTGTATGTATGCATGTATATTATGATGATGATATTAATTCATATCCATGTAAATGAAAAACCCTGTATTCACTAATTAATTATATTCATCTATATATATTTAATTAATTATACTATTTTTTTGCTAAAAAAACATAGAGATTCAAAAGGAGAAGAGACTAAAATTTTCATTGTTAATAAATATTTTATAATTTATAATTTTTTCATATACAAATCAAAATAATAGATTAATATAAGTTTCATATATTAAATTTTTATTGAGTTTTACAAATGCTATATGATTATCTTAATTTTTATTTTATTTTCTCTTTTATAGTTAAAGATTTACATGGGAATCGGAGGTTAATTGTGTACATTTTTATCCTTGTAATTTTTTTTCAATTTTAGTTGTAATTATAATTTAAAATTTTAATTTTAATTCCTAATTTCCTACTATAAATAATGTGTTAAAATACATGTCCTGTAAAACACAACTTTCTATTTAGTGTTTAGTATATTTAAATAATCAAAACTTAAAACAATACAATTATAGGGACAAAGTTAAAAATAAAATTATGCGGACAAAATTAAAATTAAGATGAATTATTAGGATAAAAGCTTCATTTTATGTGTGAAAATTAGCTAGCAATGAAGAATAAACTTGTATTAAGGGCATTTGACAACAGCCATCGAAAATTAAGGTCAATTTGTAGTCAACCAAAAGACCGAGTCAGTGATTGTGTAAAACGTAAGATTATTTAATATATCTGTATATTTATAGTTTAGTTTGGATAAATTTTTATAAAATTAGTATAGAAAATAAATTTTATATTTTAGAGAAGTTAAAAAATCAAATTTTTTAAAAAAAATTAAAAAATAGAAAATATAATTTTATTTATTTTATAAAAAAATTTCTAAAAATTTACTCAAACAAAATCACATCCCACAGATGTACTTGCGGTGTCAAGAAAAGTTAGTGATAACAAAAAAAAATCTATATTGAAGAAATTGTAATCAAAGTAAAATATAATTTTGAAATATTTATTAAATAAAAAATTTAGTTGTGGGCTGCCTTATATCTTCAACATCTTAATTTTTATTGTTGAACAGGCCTTAGTTGGGCCCAGTTTCTCTGTGGGTTCTATCTTTATAGAACAGAAAAAATAATACAAAATAGAAACGACAAAAAAGAGACAAGAAAAATAGCATCACACTAAATTTTGTAGTTCATATATTAAATGAAAAAAATATTGTAATTATACGAAGGAAAATTGTATTTTTCTATTTTGATTAATATTTTAATTAAAAATATAATATGTTTTTTATTTTTTTTCCATCCAGTTTGATCCATGGTGAGTGAGTTTTTTTCTAAAAATTTTTATATACATAAAATTTAAATTTAAAATTTTATTTAAGCGATATCAAACTACTTGCTTTGTACTAAACTGTGGTATATTTATTAAATTACTGTATAGTTTCCTTTTATATAAAAATCTCTAAAATAACGATAAAATATTTATCCCTCGTTTTCTTTCCTTCTGCAAGCCAACAAAGAAAAATACAATATAACAACAATTGATTGCGACGATTTCAGAAGGGAGGTGACTCAAGTTTGTCAAAATTCTAAAATAAAAATATACGCCGTCCGAAGCTTTGTTTTATTATATTTGTTGGTTTTCTACTAAGAAAATCTCATATTATAATTTTTACAAAAAGTCATCTATTGCAACAATAGTTTTTGAAGTTCTTTTTTTCTTTAAAAAAACATATACACAACAATGGTGAAAATGATTATTATAAAAGCAGCAATATGAATCATTGGTAGTAGCAATGGAAAATGCAAATGTAAATAGTGACCGAAAGTGATAATTTCTAAGAATAATAGTGTTAAGAAAGAATAAAAGAAAAAAATTAATGCATCCATAAAATGTTTTAAGACCTAAATACCAAAATGTTTGACAAATATTTTAGTAATATATTTTTACCATGCAATATATTATATATGTCAATTAACATGAAATTTTAATATTTAATTATTATGTGTTGACAATGTATAATTCAAAAAAAATAATTAATAAAAATAAAAATTAAAAACTAATATAACATTTTAAAAATTTAAAAAATAAAGTGTTTGATACTTATTATCTCAAAAAATTAAAGTAAAATTTTAATTTAACTATAGTCAAATTCTCTAGTAATACCAACTAACGTAACAAGACATGATTATAGTCATCAAGTGTTTTAAAAGATAGTATATTTAAATATTATTTAATAAATTAAAAAATTTATAAACTTTTAATAAACTTTTCCAAACAAACTTTTAAGCACTCTAATTCCGTGGATCTACAACTTTTTCTTAATTTGATTTATGTAACTATTCTATAGGTGCATTGTTACGTGCTATATTTTCTCTGATTTTTTTATTTATTTATCATTCAAGGAAACTATACACTTTGGCTTTAAAAAAATTTGGTAAATCAATTTTTTAAAAATTTTGCTTTTTATTAAATTATTTTTTATTAATATTAATTAGTTTCAACGGTAGAAGTGAGATCAGATATACTGAAATAAATAATAATAATAATTGAAAATAAAATCTTTCAATTTTAATTATTTTTTTATTTACTTTTTTTTCAGAGTTTTATTTTGATTTTAGTTTTTTTATTTGGTTTGTTATTAGTTTATTTTTTTAAAATTAATATATTTTTATTTAATTTTAATATTTTATTTATTTATTTCAGTGATGAAATAATATTTTATCATTTATTATTGATCACTTAAATAGATGAATGATTCAATTATATTTAAATCCATTATTAATTTACATTTTTAATATAACATAATTTAAATTAAAATAATAAAATAATAGTTTATTATTATTATTATTATATGATATCAACTAGAGAGGCATAGCATGACTTAAAGACCTATATAAACACAGCTCAACACTAACATGGAGTGTGCAATTAATGAATTTGTGTAGTTTGAAATGGATGTTCTCATTCAGTATTTGTCACTTACTTTAATCACCTTGATTGCATCTACCTTTGTTTTCCAGAAAAGAAGACTAGGTGGATCTAAAAGCTTGCCCCCAGGTACTTTTGGGTGGCCTCTAGTGGGTGAAACCCACCATTTTTTGTTCAACAAGATTGAACATTTCATTCAAGAGAGGGTAAAAAAGTACTCTTCAGAGACATTCAAGACAAACATACTAGGAGAGCCAGCAGTGGTTCTATGTGGTCCTGCAGCAAACAAATTTGTCTCTATGAATGAACCAGAACTCATCAAAGTTTGTTACTTGAAAACTCAGCGCAGGCTCTTCAATATTCCTGATCAGCCACATGCAGCTAAGCCAAAACAAGAAGCTATAGCTGCTGCTCCAGTGAAGATCTTGGGGTTTCTGAAACCTGAAGGACTAGTTAGGTACATGGGGAACAACATTCAATCCCTCACACACCAACATTTGATGACACACTGGGAAGGAAAAACACAAGTGAAAGTGTACCCTTTGGTGAAGGTCTTTTCCCTTACAGTTGTGTATCAATTCTTCTTAGGCATTGATGATCAACACCATGTAGCCAAATTTGCCAACAAGTTTGACAACTTGTACTCTGGAGTTTATTCAGTTCCTGTGAATTTCCCTGGCTCTACATATGGTAGAGCACTCAAGGATGCAGCTGCAATTCGGAAAGAGATCCAATTTTTTATCATGGAGAAGATTGATGCTTTGTCCAAGGGCCAAGTTATGGACGACCTACTAGCACACATAGTTGGTGCTGTGCAGGATGAAAAATATGTGCCAAAACTTGAAATAAGCAACATCATCATGGGATTAATGAATTCCAGTTATATATCAATAGCTGTCATTCTATCTTTCATGATCAAACACATTGGACAGAGGCCTGATATCTACCAAAAAATCATATCCGGTAATACAAGACATTATTTTTATGTATGTAACATATTGTAGCCCCTTTAAGGTAGTGTGAAATAAAATATGATTTTGGGTTTGGGCCAATTCCAGTTAAATATGCTTGATTTTTTTCCTTTCTAATATATAATGCTTCCTTTTATTTGAATCAGAGCATGCTGAAATTACAAAGACCAAAGGTTGTGGTAGAGCACTAGATTGGAACAGCATACAGAAATTGAAATACACATGGGCTGTTGCACAGGAGACCATGAGACTCTACCCAACTGCACCAGGTGCATTCAGAGAGGCCATAACAGATATCACATATGAAGGTTTTACTATTCCAAAGGGATGGAAGGTACCTTGATAGATCGTTATGATATGTTACTTGATACATGTAAATTGGCTTGTAAACTAAATTTTTGTTTGTAATTTCTGGGCCAATTTCTAATTTCACAGATATTTTGGGCACTTATTGGAACAAACAAGGATCCCAGATACTTTGATGAACCAGAATGTTTTGATCCCTCAAGGTTTGAAGGGAAGGTTCCTGCACCATACACTTTTGTACCCTTTGGAGCTGGACCAAGATCTTGCCCTGGAAAGGACTACACAAGGCTTGTGGTTCTCACATTTATTCATAACCTTATAACCAAGTTCAAGTGGGAAGTTCTGCTTCCTCATGAGAAAATATTCGGTACTTTGATCCCTACCCCTGCAGAGGGAATTCCCATTCGACTTCATCGCTTATAAGAGTGCATCTATTGTCAACATGAAGCCTAATAAAAAAATCTTTGGGTCTATAGTCTTTTAATTTCAACAAATTGGTATCAATTAATTGAAGTACACAATACAATGTTAAATTGGTCACATAATAAGAATATTCTCAAAGTATTCTTGTCATTTTCTTAGAATAATAATATTTACAAACTTGCACAATATTTTCTTTTCTTTTCTTCTCATTTTTTTATATTTTTCATCACATCATATTATTATTATATTTTTTACTCTCTCTCTCTCTCTCTCTCTCTCAAACATTCATAATAGGCTATATGATTAACATTATTCTTTTCTTGAGGGAAAAACTATTAGCAGCAACGTGACATTTTAATTAGAAGACTGAGCAAGTTATATGCAATTTGAATGCAAATTTATACACACAAAAAATGCAAAAGTCGTAGTCCATTCTGTACGATGAAATCTTAATAATAGAGCTGTTGGTATCAATCAATGGTGCAATTAACATCGACCCTAATAGAAATGTGTATTTTTGTGGCAAAATATGGATTTGATTGTTATTGAAAGCAGCGTTGCCAGTAATAAACTAATAATCAACATTCATTGGACAACTAGGTACTGGACCACTTTGACCCACAAAATAAAATAGACCACAAATTAATATATAAACCAATAGCGACAACGCACAACACGTAAAGTCCTACACAATGTATGCATAATGACAAGGACGATAATGCAAATGCATGAGAGCAGTGAACAGAAAGAAACATGGAGAAGAATGAAAGATAAAAAACCAATGGTAATTAGTGTGAAAAAGTCAACAGATTAATACCTCACCTTTATGTGATTGATTAAATAGATAAAATACTATTAAAAAGGTTATTAAATTTAACAAAATATCATTATTTTTAATACACAGTTGAAGGTTTATGATATAGTTGAAATAGGAAATAATTTTAAAAATTTTGAATTAGAAATTTGAGTATTTTATAATCTGTGAAGTTAATATTTTAAAGGGGATACATATTTCAAAAAAATTTAATTTTGAGTAACATATGATATTTTAATTGGTGTGTTTTGAGTGAAAAAAGGGTCATAATAGTTTAATTAGTTTAGTTCATGATGTTTTTTTTTAAATTAATTAAGATAAAAACTAGTTTTGAAATTATTATAATAATTATAAAGTTAAGAAATTCAATTCAAACAAAAAAAAAAGGTTCAAAATTATAGATTAATGAATTATCAAAATACACATAAAAAAAGTATCCAAAACATAAATAATCTGAAAAAAAAAAAGATTGCCAAAATTAATGAATTAGTGTTCTTACCAATAATGAAATCAACTCAGAAAAAGAAAAAAAAAATTCAACAATCAAATAAAATATATCTTCAAGAAAAGAAAGAATTGCAATCACCAACGGGGTTCAGGGTTTGATTTATTATCAATGAATATCAGATGTGACTTTATAACTTGCGTTTTGGATTTGTATCATGAAAAAAATCATGAGTATCAGAAAAGATAAAATAAAATCAAGTGTTATAAATAAATTAAAAAATGGGATTTAAATTCACAACTAAAAAAGAATATACCAAAAGATAAGAGATTTGACAAAATGAAAAAGCCTTGAAACAATTGAAAACCTAAGAATCAAAATCAAAATGCCTGTCAGGATTTGGGTGAAAATCACCAATGAAGATAAAATGTGAATAATTAAGGAGAAACAAAATGCAGAGAAGTTGAACGCAAAACAACTTCATGCTGGTTATGGTGATGGTGAAAAATGAAACGCCTTTTAGGTGAACAAAGCTAAGAAAAACAATAATTTGTCATCTGAGAAGAGAAGAGAAGAGAAGATCCTAAACAATAATTTGTCATCTGAAAAAGATTTTAGACACAATAAATATCTGAGAAGAGAAGAGAAGGGCGAAAGATCCTACCCAATTTCTTACAGTTTTCATCTTACATTGTTTCATTAATTTGTTAGCCTTATTTCTAAGTTAAAATTACAGTTTTAATTCATGAATTAAATCTACTAAATTAACTCCAATTTGAGCATGAAAAGATGTTCTCACATTACTTTTTTATATACAAGATTCTTTTTTTGATAAAAAAAAATGCTTTCTTTGATTTTATTTTATAAGTATAAGCATTCGAAGAAAAGGTTTAAAAGAACACAAGTTCATTTACATCAACTTTAATAAGACACGCCATTGACTTAAGGTGAGGGAAGAAATTGAAGATAGAGAATAGCCATCAATACCATAGCCTCAGCATTATATTATTGGATCATATTATGTGGTCTTTCTATAGAGAATACATGTAACGAATGGACTATCAACTCCCCAAGAACAAATTGCCCAATACCAAATCACTATGGACTGAAAAAAGAAGGAAAATGAAATCTCAACCCCTCTTTTAAGATATCAATAGAAGTGCAGCAAGACATAAACTCTGTGGGGGTGTTCTTGTAGTCTTCTGCTATGCTAGAATTCTAAATAATTCAAATTATTGCATTTGAAATCCCATAACCGTCACGATGAGATTTCTGCCATCTCCATGCAATCTTCAAACTCTCTTGAAGATCAGTGTGCTTTGCAGTCCAGTTCAATTCGCGTTTGATCTTTGTTGGGTCACTATAGACCTCTGCATAATCGCCAGGACGGCGAGCAAGGAAGTCAACTTTAATGTCTACCCCTGTAGCCTTTTTACAAGCTTCAACAAACTCCTTCACTGAACTACCTGATAAACACAACTCCACATGAGAAAATCTTGAAATATGTCAAGTTATTTTACTACCAAGAAAATTAAAGCACTACATTCATAATCAGAGAGTTTCAGCCTACCCTTTCCAGTGCCAACATTGTAGATCCCAACTTTACCAGATTGTGCCTTTTCAAGAGCTTTCACATGAGCATCAACCAGGTCGGTTACATCAATATAGTCTCGTACGCAAGTTCCATCAGATGTTTTGTAGTCTGTTCCTCTAACCTGCAAAGTGGCAACACACACAATGAGCACACTTGCAAGTTTCCAGTGAATTTGGACAATATTAAACGCGTTTAAACATATGATAATCTAGATCACTTTCAAGCAAATTGCAAATAACAGGTAAAAGAAATAAGTTATGATTGACACAGGATTTTCATGTACCAGAAAAATGAAATGGTTAAAGCTTACAAACTATTTCTATGGACTAGTATGGCCAAATCCTTCAGATTTTGTATGGTAGCTTATAAAATAACATTTACCAACCAACATTTCAGCATAAATGAAATGAAATTACTACAAACTTTAACGGATAAAAAATCATAGCACATAAAACAAACATGGCAGGAAAGTCATGACTAAGCCAATATGTTATTTGAGTACTAAAGCAGCTACAATTTAACACACCACAGCTCTAAAGCTTTTCACTTACAAGAAAATTTTGTACATTATTTCTGATATTAAAAGATTCAGTTAAACGCTGATATTCTAGACCAAATGTAAGGGAAAAAAATAGATTTATCAAGATTTTGATAGCTCTGAAAAACATATCAGTTTAAGCTGGTTGGCCTCTTATTGGTTCTCCGAGTTCTGACAATGAATTCTATATACAATGCAGTCTCCTTAGCAAGAGCAATTTTTGTCAGGTAGTGTAACGAAATAGAATTCCTTTCTGGCCAAAAACAAAAATGAAAATATCAGTATCAACATACCTTTAAACCAGGTATAATACCACGAGCAGCATCAAAGCAGGCACCTGATATTCGACCTTGCTCTCGCAGTTCAGGTCTAGGAGCCTCGCCCAATCTTCCCTCGGGGTCTGATCCAATCACATTGAAGTACCTGGTGGTTTTCCCAAAGAAAAAATATCAATAATTACCAACATAGATAATTCTAAAATAGCATCAACTTCCAGTGATAGGCTACATTTAATCCAAAATCAAACCTCAAAACAGTATAAATATCAATAGTCCAAACATGAAGTGGACAGTTTTGTTATGGCAACAAATCCAAATACAAATCATGTTTCCATTTTTATCAGATATGGTAAGAATCACTTACAGCTTTCACAACAAAGGACACAAGGAATAAGATAAGAAAAACTAATTGAAATGAGGGGAAATGTAAATCAGAATACGAACCTCAGAATCATTACTGCCATGTCCGAATTTTCTGAAAAATCAAGGATGATATCTTCTGCCATCTTCTTGGCTTTCCCATACGGATTTATTGGGACCTGATATATAGAACATCAATTTTAAGACAATCTCCAAAAGAATTAGAGGCTCGGGATGCAATGAAAAACATAGACATTCTCAACCAATGCCCACCTGCTTTGTTCCTTCTGTAATGGGCATCTTTTCAGGTTCCCCATATGTTGCACATGTACTAGAATATATCAATGTCTTGACATCATGTTTAGCCATAGACTCCAATACCAACAAGGTGTTTGATGTAATATTGTGATAATACCTGACAAACATGCAAAATTTGACATGATTAAATAAATAAAGTAAATCCAAAGAACATGAATCCAACCATTATTTACCATTCTCATAACTACAATTGATCTGACCCCCAACAAAATCATATTAATTATAAAGAAGAGCAACACCATAATGCATTTGTTAGAGTACCAATTAGCAAATAAGGGTACACTCAGACAGTTTTTGATCCTCTAGATAAAAGATGATTTTAGTAATGGTCCAATTTATCTACCACTAGTCTGGTATTCATTGCAAACATTACATCAACAACTACGTTGCAGGTGTCTTTGTAGTTCTTATCCGCAGTGTTGAAGCGTAAGTTGAAAATAGTATTATATCCAATATATTATCAGAAATGCACACATATCCTGCATCTCAGTTTGTATATCATCCCAATGCATGACTTTAATGACAAAGTGAGACCATAAGGGAAACCTCTGTATCAATGTACAAATAATGTTAAAAATGTCAATGTGTATCAAAAAAGAAAAAAGGTGACTTTTGGTACTTGGATATAGATGGAGAAAATTAGAAACTGAACACAATTGCTACTTTCCATAACTTATTCGACTGGGATTAATGTGACTGAACAAAATCCAGGACCAGAAGTACTTACTTAAGAGGATCCATAGTGCTTTCTCCCACATAGGCAACAGCAGCGAAGTGCATCACAGCATCAAATTTGTTCTCCAAAAATATTTTGTTAACCTGATAACCAGTCAAGTAAACAATCTTTCTTGGGAATTTCCCATATATGTATCAACAAAATAAAAAAGTGACACCAAAATGTGTCTTATAACAGAGCATAACATAAGGATACAGATTTTGCATCTCCCAAGTCAGCGTATATAAATTGAAGCATTCCAGGTTCTGGAAATAAGTCTTGAAGAACCCTGATGGCACCCAAATTTCCTCGCGACAAATTGTCCTGCCAGGAAAAAAAAAAAGTTATGACTAGCAAATACTTATGGCTTTATCAGAGAACCATATTTTATAAATAGACATACTACTATGGTGACACGATAATTATCCTTCAGAAGTCGTAGAGCGGCATGTGAGCCAATATAGCCTGCACCCCCCGTTACTAAAACATGAGTGACCCCAGGTTCATGGATGGAAAACTGAAAAAGAGGGGGAAGGCAGAAATAAAACAGAAGAATTAGCTAGATGACTAAAAGAGAAAAAAGTAATGTAGATTTAAATCCATAAGTAACAAGATTGAGCAAGAAGAAAATTCTAATTGAAAAAACAAAAAAAAAAAACTCCTTTCTTATCACACACACATATTTCCATATAAACTGCTCCCTATCTTACATTCTTACTTTCCCCTAATTTCTTTCTACTTTCTCTCACATCTCTGACAACATTGGTGCACCAACGAAACATGCCCAAGCTTCATTCTTTAGCCAAAGATCTACCATCTTAAAATATCTTTCAATAGGTAATTATCAAAAAGCCAAAGAAACTAATTGAACAAATACAAATCTGTCAAAGAGAACATTCGTTATAAGAACTGACTGAACTGCCCAAAGGCCTTATCTTTATACACTTCAATATTAACCATACAAAGGTAAGAAGATGGAAACAATCGATGTGTTCAGTTAACTTGACAAGAATCCATTAGTGTGACTCCCTTTTTTCCCATAAACTGGAACCAGAAATATCCTCAGAAATCACACTGAAAAACAATAACAACAACAACCAAGACTTATACCCCTAGGCCGTGCTATGCAGTAGCTCTCTTAAATCTCAATGGCGTAATAATTGTCTCTTTTATGATCCGATACAGTCAAATAAAATGTGACAGATTATTGCTGTCAAGAAAAATTTATATTTACATATCTACATACATCCTCAAAGTCTAGTTCTGATTTTTGTGAACAAGCATATTGCAAAACCAACTACAACAAACAATATAATATTTCAATCTACAGAAAGAACAAACATAACAGATGCACATACACACATATAGATTGACCATGGTAATGGTGTATGGCATTTTAATGGTATCAATGGTACAGGGATTACCGGACTGGGGGAATTCAAAGATGGAGATCGCTTGATCATGATAATGCATAGTGTCGTTAATACAGCAGCAAGAAATACTTTCCCAACAAAATTTCCCTTCCTTTTTGGATCTACATAATCCATGCCTACAGTACAGTGGAACATAAAAATGAGAAACTACATTTTTAACGACCAATTATAAGAAGTGGAAAAAAATTAACAAACATGAAATAAATTACAGGACATTGACAATTAAAGAATTCACAAACACCTTATGTTATAAAATCTTATACCTGCATGCGGTCTATCCTATATAGAGTATAGTCAAAGGTTAAAAAAGTAAACATTTCCAATCTCTTTTTCAAATTGATTAATACTTTAACCAACCAGGCTTCATTCAAGGAATAAAATAAGAGAGTCGGTAGTACCCCCATTGGAGCTCAAATTTAGATGACAGGATCTTACCTCCCATTGATGAAGTTCTGGCTGCCCTTGGCTGAGTTCTGGACCTGCCAAAATTTAGCATTTGCAAAAGCCTTATTGTTTAGTGTAGAGAATGAGGTCTTATTCCTTAATATCAATGACCAAATCAAGTTCCACTCCCCAGATAGATCTTGATAGACATGCTGCAGCAAAAATCAGACCGTATAAGATGTTTTCCCCACTAGAATGGCCAAACAACCCAAATAAATAAAAAATGAAAATCCACCAAACAAGGAAAGGGTTGACCCCAAAAAACACAGTAAAGATAAAAAGGATTGGCACTAAAGCAAGAGAGCAAAAAGGAAGGGAGACGAAAGAAAGAACTTAGAATTCAAATGACCATAAAACTTCTGCAAATGAAAAACAGCCCCAGCAATTCAACAACAAATTCAAAACTAAAACATGGTGGATGAAAGAGCGTACACCAAAATTCCAAGATCCACATAAAGCAGTACAAGAACAAACCACTAAACGATTAAAAAGAAAAACACAGACATTACAGGCAAAGGAAACACAAAAGACATGCCAATCAATTGCTCCTCAGAACATTGAAGGCGAAGGAACCCAAAGGGGACCACGTTCCCATTTAATATCCATTGAAAAAAGCTACAATTTTTTTGCAAAAACACCCCAAAAGGGAAAACAAAACAAACCCAGAAGACTCCACAGTTTCAAGATCCAACAAATGACAAAAGCAAACAAAAAACCATCATTAAATGTTTCAGCACAAGCACAATTTAACACAACCCAACAACCAAAAATTCGAAATCCCACAAAATTTCCAGAAAACAGAAACGAACTCGAAGCTCAAACTACCCCCCAAAAGCGGTTGATCAGCACCAGACCCAAAAAAGCACAGTTAACTCGAAGGAAAGAAAGAAAAAAGGAAAGAAAAAGAGGAGCTTTGAGAGTTTTCCCCAAGATCTTAAGAAAAAAATAGAATAAGTACAGAAAAAATGTGTACCAGAAGAAACGGGGTAGAGAAAATAGAAAGAGAATGAGAATTGCACAGCAATATGGAAGGGGGTCCAGAATTGTAGGGTGCTCTTTCTTGAGACTTGAAAATTGATATGTAGAGAGAGAGAGAAGAGAGAGAGAATGACGGAGAGTTCTGTGCGTGGAGTCCATGTTGTCAAAGCGTTAGAGGGCGATAGAGAGAGAGAGAGAAGCGACCCTGAATCAAAGGAACAACAACATCATAGGACTTGTTTTTCTTTATTATTGTTATTTTCCTTTTTTGATTTAAAATTTCTTTAAATGAAAATAGTTTTAAGAATAAAAAATACAAGTATTAAAAGCGTTAGGAATTGAAGCATGAAATTGCAACACCTTTATTGAGTGTCCAATGATGTGCTACCATTTGTTGTCTAGTGTGCGCTACCAACGCGGGACTTTGTTCTCTGTGTAATCACAATCTGCATGCCATCATTCGGGCCTGCGTTTTCCCACTTTGGGACCTACGTGTCTGTCAAACTCACCTCTTTCAAAATCAATAATAATAATTATTATTATTATTATTCAAATTTTTTTACATTAATAATAATACTTATATTTTTAACAATTAAAATAAGAGTTTATTCTTATAGTATAATTTTTTTTCCATGTACATTTGTAATTTTCTACTAATATAATGTTTAAATGTAATTAGAATAGGTTAAGTTTATGAAGAAAAAAAATTCAAAGGTGCTTAAAAATATGAGAGATGCTTTAAGAAGAAAAAACCAAGTGACACCAATGATGAAGCTTATTCTACCTAAACTTAGAATCCTGGGGATGGGAACTCATAAATGCCAAAGCCACGACCATGTGGAAGAGTTAATGACCTTCTGTGAAGGAATGTTCTTTCAGTTTATGCCTTTTATAAGACTTGGTTTATTTTATCATGAAGTTTGTCTGACCACTCCTTTTTTCCTTGTTATTTTATTTGCTCATGGTCCCAAATAAATTACTTTTATCTAGATATGCTAAAATTATTTTTTGCAATGATACAGTTGCTGTTAAATTATTCAATATTTTATGCATTTTTAGTACATATGTGCATTTACTGTTAAACAAAGTAGATTATCCATTTTGGTATGTAGTATTTTATTTTTCTGAACTGTCATTATTATTTACAAGAAATCAAACTACTAAAAGTTTCATTTGACACTCAAAAGACCGAAGTTCGAGGATTTATGTTCATGTGAATATTCTGATTAAAGATAAACAATTTAAGTTTACAAATAATTATAAAAATAAGATAATAAAGGTACATCTCACCCTTCTTACCTTTTCAAATTCTGCGCCAAAAAACACATTTCTATTAATTAACAGAGTTTCTTATACAACAAAAATAATGCAAAACAGTTATAGAGCTTCTTACAATTGTTTGTTCATCAGTTAATTCAAAAAGTAGAATGTGATTTTCTTTTGTGTTTGTCTATGGTTCCCCACCCACCAATCTGTGATGGATCTCTTCGTCTTACGTCTAATATTTTTTTTTAACGGTTACAAAGTAATGCAAAATATTCTACCTCCAGCTTATATAAAATTTACATTTACTTATTTAAATCAAGTGAATTAAATAGTAATAAACTATTAAATAGTTTAAATATAGATGTTAGCATCCATTTATATCAAACTGAAAGCCTTTTAAATACTTTATTCTTTCAAATTTCTTTAAAATATTTTATTTTCTTAAATTTTTAATGTTTCTGTAATGTTGTGACGTCTTTGTAAAATATTTTAAATTCTCCTTATTTATAGGAAGAGGGCTAATAGCCAAGTAAGTATTCAGTATAGAATAATAAATGTTATTTAATATTTTGAAGTCAAATTTTTTACCTGTCTTTTTTACATTCCTTTTATAAGTGTGATATTAAGTTAATGGGCCTGACGAATTAACCTTGGATTAACCTTCTAATTGCTTGGATACACTACTAAAAAAGCGCTATTTACAGACGGATTGTTGAATTTTTATTTTTTAAGATTTTCTAAAAAATTCGTCTGTAAATTCATCTGTATTACAGACAAATTTTTATTCGTTTGTAATGGTCGTATGTAGTTGACCCACCATTTGCGCAAAGTATTATAGATAGAAATTATAGACGGATTTTTTCATCTCTAATTTGAAAATGGAAGGGAAATTTAGATTAGGAGTTACATACGGAAAAATTTGTCTATAAATATTGCCATTTTTTATCGACTTTTCATCTGCCAATTTACATATGGATTTTTTCATCTATAACTGTATTTGACAAATTTATAGATGGATAAATCCATCTGTAATTTGAAAATTGGAGAAAAATTTGGAGTGGGAGTTACAGACAAAATAGATGAAAAAATTTGTCTATAAATATTGTCGTTTTTTACTGACTTTTCATCTGAAAATTTATAAACAAATTTTTTTTGTCTATAACCATATTTGACGAATTTATAAACGAATAAATCTGTCTGTAATTTAACCTTTAAAATGCACAATTTCATTAAAATATTTACAGACAAATTTTTTCGCTATAATGTGCGAAACACATAAAAATGCGCCTCCTCCTTCTTTTTCTCATTTTGCATAATTTCCTCTCTCTTTCCTCTCTCTCTCTCTTAGAGCTTTAGTTTTTTTAGCTTTTGCGAGTGATTGGAGCATTCATTTGAAAGATAATTTGTATCATTGTATTCTTGATATGATACTCTAACTTTTAATCGGTTTAGTTTTTTTATTTTTTATGTATTTTAGAGACTTAAAATTTCTAAGATAGAGTTGTAGGATTGGAGATTGTATGACTGGGGGGAAGGGCGTAGAGATCCTTCTCTGAACCTAATTATTGTGTGTTGTGGGATTATTTGTGTTTGCAAAGTTTGTAGAATATGCATGTTGTGAAGTTACAAGGAGATGTGCTTTAGAACGGTTTAGGATTGTGATGTGTTTGTGTTTTATACATTGATTAATATATTGTTATATAGTATATTAGTTATGTGTGGTAAAAAAATTGATTTCTGTAAAAAAAGTGGTAAACAAACGTAAGGAAATTGACATGGATTAGGGGATATTATGCCAAAATTTATATTAAAAATTTGTGTAATGTATAATAGAAGGTTGATACAACATTCTGTGTTTGTATTAGGTTTATAAGTTCTTTATCCAGATGTTTCTCAGAAAATCGTCAGTGGATGTATGATAAGTTGCACCCAAGTCGGTGAGGAATAAAACCTGAATTCTTTGAGGGTGTAGAGAAATTCATACGTGTTTGTTGTAATTCGCAGCAATTCATCACCAACCAAAAAGTTAGGTGTCCATGTTCTAAGTGGAAGTGTAGAAAGTTTTTGGATACTGATTCAATTAGGTATGATTTGTATAAATTTGGATTTAAACATAACTATTGTATATGGACTGAGCATGTGGAAGTAATTAATGTGGAAAATCAAGTAGGCAATTCAAATATATTGCAATCAGGTGAGGATGTAGGTAAAGTAAGTTGGGAAGAAAGCAATAGTCGTTATCAAGAAATGGTTTATGATGTTGTTGGTCCTGAATTTGAAATTTTTCATGATTTTGAAGCTGAACAAGAACCTAATAGAAAGGCTGCAAAGTTTTATAATATTTTAGAGGCAACAAACAAGCCTTCACGTGTAGTAATAGACACTCTTATCCCTCCAATTTTATCTTCTCCTTTGAATGAAATTGAAATAATTGACCTTTCTCTCCAAGCTTTAAGAAATAATGAAATGGATGACATGACTTAAGATGAGGAGAAAAGATTTATGGATGACATTTCATCGAGTGATGATGAAGGTAGTCTTGAATTATCAGAGTAATAGAGGTAAATTAAGTAAGTTTTTCAATTTACTATGTTTCTATGATTATTTATTTTGAGTTATTACTAATATTAATCATATTTCATTAGATTATTGTATTCATCTCTAAACATATATTATATTTGATTCAGATATGACAGGTAAAGGTAAGAAAGGTGTTGCTCAACGTCCTGATTATGGTAACACTCCTTCATCCACCGCTCCCACTTCAACTTCCACACTAGCTATAGTGCAGACCTCCCAGGTTAGGGGCAAGAGCAATTTATCATGGTGCCCAATCCTGGGTATATTGTTTCTCCCCCTCTATTATAGCGAGTTTCACACTTTGCACCGCCTACTACACAGGCCACACAGTCACCTTTTACACAGGGCACAAGAAAGGGATTCATTACTGTTCCAGCTGTAAGTGGGCAACAGTCATTACAAACTCAGGCATCATCAAGATTGTTAGAAGCTTTGAGATAGGATGGATCCACTTGGTAAGTTTTCTTCAAAGTATGCCTAACATTGTGGACTTTATGTGAATGTTATAATAATTGTTTTATTTTATTGTGTTATTAGTTGGATACCACTACAGAAAGGTCTCTACCAGGTCACAGATACCATTAAAAAGATGTTTGAGGCGCCTTACACAAGCTTTACAAAGGTGCAAAGGATACAAAGATGGAATGGTTCAAAGATTGGAAGGTAATAATAATATATTAATTTTAACTACGTATAATTACATATGACTGTTTGTACCTCTTCTAATAAAATTGTGTTTATGTAGAGCAACTTCTTCATTCCTCCCAGGACGAAAAGATGATTTTCAAGGCCTGAAATAGTCGCACTGCAAAGCGACTAAGACATATGTACACAGAGGCTCGTCAGGACCCTTCTAGTACTGATTGGATAACACCCAACTTTCTTCATACCTTGTAGAAATATTGGAGTACGGATAGCACCCAACTTTTTTTCGTCTGTAATATATAGACGAATTTTTCCCGTCTATAATTTTTTACCAATGAGCATATTACAGATGATTTTTGTCTGTTTTTGTCCGTTTGTAATTTTAAAATCCATTTATAATGGTTCAAAAGTCCGTCTCTAAATCCGTCTATAGATACAGATTTTGTAGTAGTGATAATTAATTTTTTCTTTATTGGTTATTTATCTTAATTAACTCGTTAATTTATTTTGATATGATTGAGGGGTGTCAGAACCTTTCATCCAAAAGGATGTTAGTACTCTTTGTCCAAAGATGTAACCAAAAGGGTGTTAGTACCTTTTGTCCAAGAGTGAGGCCGAAGGAGTATTTAGTTACTTTTTCTGTGAAAATGACCGAATAGTGCCCTATCCAATACACTTAATATGTTTGATAATTTTTATTTAATAATTAATATATAAATATAATAAATTTATGAAGTAATATTTATCTTTTTATTCATAACTAATTCGTTTAAAGTTTAGATAAAATAGTTAGTTATTTTTTACATTAAGCATGTATTTTTTTAATTAATGGTATTTATTACAGTACTCTTGATTTTAAGGGAGCATTATATACCCTCTCAAAATTGTAAGTTTTAATTATTTTAATATCTTAAAATTAAAGGATATTTATATATTTTTTAAATAAATAACTAATTTTACTATTTATTAATATAAAATTTATGGTCATAATTATTCCATATATATTCTCATTTTATAGAGTACCATAAAATTTATTTTTTAATTTATTCTTACGTTTAATCAGTAAAAACCCAAGTCAATCATTAAAAAAAAAATTGAATCAAATTAACTAGCTTTCTAATGGTATATATGATTTTTGAGGTGTGAAGAAGAAGAGAGAAATTTTTTTAATTTTATCTTATTTAAGTTAAAATTTTGAAAAAAACAAAAAAAAAAAAAGGAAAGTTTTCTATTTTCTTATCTTTGTTTCTTATTGAATATTGAAAGATTTATACCTTGAGAAGGAAAAGTAATTTATAAGTTTTTAATTAAATGTATTTTTTGTTGAGAAACATAATCTCATCATATTGAAAATATTTTCAATTCAAATAAAATTATTTTATATAAAAGATACATGGGATTCATAATATATATATATATATATATATATATATATATATCAATAAAATTATCTTTAATATTTTATTTATCTTTTCCTCTTTTTTATTAATACTTATAATAGTATAAAAGTATGTTATCATTATTTTCTTTTCTCTTTTCTTATTAACTAAAAAAAACAATATTTTTTAGTCAATAAAAAACAATATTATTAACTAAAAAAAATAATATTTATAATAGACTTTACTATCTCTTTCTCATTCCTTCAACCAAACTAAATAACAATATTTTTTTCTTTTCTCCTTTCTTCTTTTGAAGCAAATATGATATAAAACTTATATTCTTATCAAACCTATCGCCAGTAGCTTAAGTAGGTTCAAGCATTGACTGTGTAATACAGCCTATGTTGACTTCAAGTTGTGGCCTAAAATTATATAAAACCAAGAAAAATAAACAAAATGTGATTAACTTGTGACATTTTCTTTTTTACATCTATTCATTGAATGAACCATGAAAATAGGAATTATAATTATGATGATAATGAGAAAACATTAGGGGGAACGCAACACGTTGCGTGGATTGTGAAATTAGGTAGACTTTGAATACTTAATATCTACTTGGGAAGCTTTCCACCAAACAAGACATGATGAGGACTTGAAAAGCACAAAGAAACCAATTAGGAGAAGGGCGTGTAGTTAAGCGACAACTCACTTTGCCATATGCATTGCATTATATTTTATATTTATTTACTTCAATTAACGACCGTTGAACTTGTCCAATCTCTTAACCTGTTTTCTAACTTAGACATCTTTATTCGTAATAAAATAGGGTGGATTCAGTTCACTTAATAACTTCTCTTTCAACTTTAAAGCCTTATAAAATTAAGAATTACTATATTTTATTTTTTATCCATTATTTTTAACACGAATTGAACTTTTTCAACGGATTTTCTAAACCAGGTTAGTTTTATCCTAATTCATTTTTAGAGGTTTTAATAATGGGTTGGGATAAATCAACTACGCAACTAACTTTTCCTATTCTTTTTTATCTTATCAGTGTCAAATGAGAAGAAACAATTTTTATTTTGAACGGGGAAAGGGATATCTTTGCTATTAACAAATCATACAAAAGGCGTGTAAGTCTCTATTTAGATAAGAAACTACTCATGAGGACAAACAATCAAAGATAAACGTTAACCGTGCAGGAATGACTTTACCTCTTCATTTTCGGTAAATATAAATATATATTTTTAATTTTTATAAAAAATTATAATATTGTAATTATTGATCCAATCACTACAAAGATATATTCATAAATTTTGTAAAAAATATTAGTTAAAATATTAACTACACAGACATTAACATGCATTTTATTTATAACTTTTTTTTTCTGTCATAACTAACCATGCACATTATCATAGAGACGATGAGCAATGTGGACTCTTTCTTTGGTTAAGAGCAATGTGGACTTAAACATGAAGGAGAAACGAACTAGTTTGGGCCCCAACATGAGCCAAGCCCCATCTTGCCAGTTTTTCTTGGATCTCATAAACAGAAGCCATCACGACCACAAAAGAAATAACAGCAGTCACGAATCACGATATTTCTTGCAGCTGGAAGATTGTGAAGAATGTAGAAGCGAGAAATGGCTAAAAACTCTTAAGCAAAGCAAAGCCACCAATTCATGGAATGTTGAAAGGGAGCTTGGAGGAAGAGTTTGGGAGATTGTTGCAGATGAAAGAATGAGAAAGGAAATGAGGGAAGGGTTCTGCTAGAACCTATCTGACATTTACAGCAGCAATCTTTTTGGTTTATTTACCAAAATTTCTATACTTCTACAAGCTTCCTAATGAACATTTCATGGCAAGGAATCAGAGCTCGTACCAATTCTCAAGTAAACAGTACATGCAGATTGTAACTTGTTTTTGAGATCAAATGTGAAGTCCACTTTATCTTCAAGAAAACCTTTGACATGAAAAGAAGACGATTAAAGGAAAACCTTTTGACAGATTAACCAATTTCCATGAAAGCGTTCCTATATCTTCAAGAAGACATGGATGAAAATTACACAATTTTTGTCATGCTGTTTCTAATACTTTGTTCATGATGTGGTTGTTTCAACCTTCTCACCCTCCAATTGCTTTAACTCCCTACGCCAATCTTCCAGTTTTGCTAGCTTGTCCAACTGCTCTGGTTTCAGATCTTGTTCGGAAGTTTTCTGCTGCAGTGCTTCTGTATGTCGAATCTGAATTTAACAGTAAAAAGATTAGGCTAAGAAAAGTGAAACCACTATTTGCGCCCTGATAGATAGTTCTTTAGCAAGACAGAATAAAACCACATCCACATTGTCATCCATCCAAATTATCTACATGATAGCCAAAACAATTTTACATTTAATTATTGAACAAAGTTGGTTAAAAGGAAAATAATCCTATTGAAATATTATACTTTTCTATTCCTTGGCTTTCCTCTCTTTAATAACAAATGCTCTGTTTTATTAAAGATCCTACAATTAAGCTGCATTAACTACTTTAGTTTCTGGACATATTTCATTAATAAAGACAAGGATACACATTCATTTGATGCAACAAGTCAACCAAATAAAATCAACCGAAGTCCCAAGTGCCACCCACAAGGATTGTGTCAATGTGAGTGCATATTTGGAGAAATAAAAGGATTCTTCACTTAGACCAGGGCTAAAATATTGGCCACATAAACCTACTTGATTTTGTCTAAGTAACAATTGATAGGAACCTATCCAAAGCTCCAAAAAGAAGAAACAGATTCCAAAAAATTCATCAGGAACAACCATCAATCCTCCAGCAGTCTGTCTTTTAGTTATGTTTTCTGCTGAATCACCATCAACTACAAATTTCAATATCTCTTATATGTATTGATCAAAATTCATTTCATTATCTTACTGTAACTTACAGAATCTAGTCACATGAGGAGATGATAGCCAGAATGATGGATCTAGTGAAACACCTTGCATCACTACATAGTGTGCTTGGAGTTTGGTCTAAAAGTTTGAGGGGAGAGATCAAAGGTGGGAAAATGAGTGGGCAAAAATCTGTCCCCTTCACTATCCCCCCCTCCCACCTCTTGGCTCCTTCTCTAACATTTGGTTTGATTTTATTTTCCCTCCTCTGCCCCTGTTTGAACCAAACAGTCTATATTCTGTAAGTGCTACAGGATCTTGATCTTTAGTTGCATGAGATTTGTTAGTTCATGGAACAACATTACTCAAATATCTTATTTATTTCATTTTTTGTGGGGTTCAGAGGAGGGGAAATGAGTGGACAAAAATCACTCCTCTGACTCCTACACTATTCCCCAAACAGTGAGTTGATTTTATTTTCCCTCCCTTCCCAATTTTTGAATCAAACATTCAATATTCTGCAAGTGCTACGGGGTCTTGAGTAGCATGAGATTTGAAAGTTCATGGAACCAACCACATTGCTCGAATATCTTCTTTATTTCATGTTTTCAACAGATATAAGAACATTAACAGAAAGAAAGGAAACAAAAGAAATCCTCTTATAAAGGAAAACGAAAGTAGCACCGCCACAAGGCTAAAAAATTGCAACAAAGCGGTTCTTTTATCCAAAGAACAATAAAAAAAAAAGGCCCTCCAATCTAGCTGTACATCAATCTTTGAGAGGCAGTGAGTAGTAGATCACCAAAGATATGCCAAAACCACAAAAAAATTCCTATATCAAATGCAAGGTCAATAAGACACACTCAAAAATAAACGATCGTCGCCAACCAGATAAACAAATAAGATCTACTCAAGTCAAATACTCCTCAACCATAAAACGATGCTTCAAAGACAGCAGCATTATAACTACTTCATAACGAACTTGATACTATTACTGAAAAACGCATGATAACAAAAAAAGCGTGAAAGCAAAGCAAGCACACCTTCTTTTTGAGCGCTCGAATTTTTTTATCTAAATCTTGGGGGGGTGGCTGGGCAATTTCCGGGGAATCTTCAACAGAATGAGAAGTAACATAAAGCCGATTAACCTGGGAGGTCAACGAGTTGACCGATTCTTGATCTGCACTATCTTCAGACACAGTCGCTTCCGCATTCTTTCCCTTGTCTATAGCAGCCTGCAAGAAAAACAGAACGTAAACACAACACAACGAATTTGGCAGCTAATTTCACAAATTTGAAAAGAATAATACCTGAAGCCGTTTTTCCTTCTTTCTTTCGTTCCTCTTAACGGATTTGGTCTTGGGTTTATCGTCTTGCGAAGGGTCGTAACCGGGGGGTCCCGATTGCGACGCGATCTCTTTTCTCAACTGCAGAAGAGAAAGAATGAGGAAATTGCGTAACGGAAATTGGGAAAACGGGGAGAAGAAGGGTTAGGGAAAGGGAACAGACGAGTGCGCCTTTGGATTGGTAAATAGCGACTTCATCTTGAGGAACGTAACCGCGGCGTATGCGAATGGGTTTGCGGAGGGTTCCGTCGGGTCTTCTTGTTGGTGCCAATAGCCTCTCACCTTCTTTTAGCTTTTTCCTAATCTCCTCCATTTGCTTCTCTTCTTCTTCTCCCATCTTTCAACTCTTTCCACCACTCTCCCTTCTCAGTTACCTCACTATTTACGACACCACACGTAAACCCTACCAAAACTTGCGCTTCCACTAATCATTTGTTTTAATTCCCTCCTACTGTTCTTTCCCCTAATCCCAAACTACCTACCTCTAAAGCTTTTTATTTTTTAAGTTAAATTAGTTTTAAACATTGAAACAGGTATTTTTTTAATTTAAAAATGTATAAATTAATCTTCTAATTCTAAATCAAACAAGAGCTAAGATTTTATCGAAAGGATAAAGCTGTGTTAAATATCATTTTGAAGGAAAAGAAAACAATAGCTAAAATTTACACACAAAGTTAAGTGACTCCACAGTTAAACAAGTTGAAGTCCAGTTAAAGCTGTATACACATTAACAACATAACAATTAACAGCAAGTATGCAAGCTAATTTCATCATTAGCTATTGTTAATTTAAAGTTAATTGATCTCATTCAATATTTGGAGACACAGGGTAAGTTACAAAAGTGGTAGATTTGCGGTAGAAAATAGGGCAAGATCCTTTCCAGTAATGACATGCGCTTTTTGTTTTTCTTTTTCTAAATCTCAGTGCTGTCTCTGTCATTTCTAGGTCCTTGTGTGATGTCTGGTCTGCAAAATCAAGCTGAGATTGGAGCGTTTTTATGATAGTAAATTTCCAAAAAATGAAAGAAAACTAATTTCAAGATGCCATTGCTTAACACAGACAAGAAATTTCTAAACACATCTAGAAATAGATACCAAACACAATTGAAATATATAGTGGGGATAGAATTACAGAATGTTCCTTTCACATGGATTCTCAAAACCAAGAATCGATCCCATTTTATCACAATTGAATTGTTGCATAATTTGATCAATTTGAATATAACTGATGGGATAAAATCTAATTAATAAGCAAATACATAGTTGGTCTCAAAGGTAACCTTAATTAAGCCTTCTTTTAACCTTTGATTTTATATTTTGATCACAATAATATTTTATTTATTTATTTTGCATAACTTTTTTCTTGTCAACATTTAGAAAATCGTTATTAAGGTAGCAGTTTTATAGAGTGAATATTTTGTTATCAATAATTATAAATTTCATTCAAATATATATAATATGCAACAAATTTTTAACTGTTAATATTTTTTTTTTTGTCAATTATTGTAAAACCATTTCTACAACATAGAATAACAATAATTTTTTTGAAATATTGATAATTTCCTTATCATCGGTCAAACAACCATTCTTAAAATATATAATAGATAATAGTTTGTTTAATTATTGATATTTTTTATATTAATGTTTATAGAATAATTCTTAAATCATAACATGTGTAATAATTTATTTAATTGTTAATAATAATTTTTTAACTGTTAACAATTTCTTTTTTAATTTATAGAATATGTTTAAAAATATATAATGGACAACAATTTTTAAGATGTGAACATTATTCGTATTTGATGATTGTAAAATAATTATTAAAATATATAATAAGAATAATTTTTGAAGCACAATAGATAACCACTATTAAAGGTATAATAACTTCTCAAACAAATTAAATGTATAATAATTTTGTAGCAAGTAGAATTAAATTGATCGATTTAATTTAATAAGATTGTTTATAAATTGATACTCATCTAATATTTATCATAGAATATGGGATTTGAATTGATTTACAAATTAATTAATGTCAGTTGTTTAGAATATACATAAAAGAACTAAATATAATTTATGTTAATAAATTAATTTTTCTACAATATTTTAAATGATTAAGCCAATTATATATCATAAATTCAACAATTTAAAACTAAAGTCAATTTCATTAAAAACTAAAGTCAATTTTTCCACTCAAATTCAAACATGAGTGAGTTTCTATTTGTATGGAAGAAAAAATAACGTTTAAAAAATCAAATTCTTATTTTTTAATTTTTCAAACTAAATTACTTTTTCTTTTCTTTTCTAATTCTTTCCTCCTAACCTGCAAAATTATCCTTATAAATTTAAAACACATACATTTTATAAGAAATTTTTTATGTATTTTATGTTTTATTTTTAAAGTAAAAATTTAATTACATCTAGTAACTTGCATTAGTTTTAAATATTGACTTCCATTATACAAGTTACCATAATACTAAATGTTAATTTTGAAATTCGAAAAAAGCATTAAAGGTACTTAAGAACTGCACCTCAATTTTTTCTGAATAATACTTTCATCTCCCTTCGGATTGTGAGACTCAAATGACTCATATCGTTCAGTTCAAAAATAGTTCATTCTAGACTCTATCCACTTCATATAAATATATTTCATTTGTTGATTCATATATGACTACTGATTCTAATTATCACATAAAACACAACACCAACTAGAGAAAGATAATTAATTTGCTGCTTCTACAAGACTCATACAAATTGAAAGTTTGAATTCAAAATGACAGACATATAATTCAGAAACAAAAATGAATGTTTGTATAACATATTGATGAAAGCAACATCAACAACCCTTCTATGTAGAAGTACCATCTGGTTTAAGAAGAACTGCTCCAAGGCCTATTTCACCACTAGGTATGAAGTTATTCACGTTATGATATAATAAGACCTCTTCTGGGGATGACTCATTTGGCTTCCCATGTTTCCACATACTGAGAAGTCGTTTATGGAACCTCTTCATTGGTGTTATCCTCTCGTATACTACCCGTGATCGTTTCTTTGAAGGGACCTTAGGGTTCCATAAAGATGAATCTTTCTCATCTAAGAAAAATTACCAATTAATGTTCGTTAAAAATACATATAAGAAGCCCACAAAACATATCTTCAGTAAAAAAGAAAAATTATTAGTTATTACTAGTATCTCAGTTACCTGAATCTGGATCATCACTTGAAGGGATAATATTCTTAACATTAAGACTGCTTCCAGGCATTAGTTTTTCAAGGTTACTGAGGTGCTCGGGTTGAAAATGTTTGGGAAGATAGTCATCAAGGCTTCCCCAGATCCTGTATCTTGATCCACATGCATTGCATAACACTGGCTTTTCTTCTGGTCCATTACGCCATAGTGGAGTACCTGGTGACACCATGCATGTTAGTGTTGAATACAAGTAATTTGGAAGAAAATGTGTTGCACAAATTAATTAGCATAGAATAAGAATGTTTCTGTTTGTTCATTCTCAAGGGCTACAGCACCTGTTTATAGAGACACAATAGTTTTCAAATGTTTGGTAATTTTACATACACAACTTTTCGCAGAGGCGCAATTGTTTTCAAGGGCGCGCTTTTTATATTTATTCAAATAAAAAAAAAAACGTATTCATGATTCCTAAGGTTACTTGTGGATTCATTTTAAATGAATATACATGTTTATGAGTTTTTACTGATTTTTCCTGTATTTTTAAAATGAATTATAAATGCAATACTCATTTGTGCTATTTATTTCAAATTAATAATATATGTCTTTCTATATAGGCATAATACTGCATTTCTATTTATTAATAAATACATTTATTTTAATAAAATTAGAAAAATACACAATGTTCACAACATTTTACAAATTATAATCGTAACGGTCAAAAACCAAAAATTCATGTTGTGCTCTTTCCATAAACAGATAAAAGAAATGTCATTTTAAGGAAATTTCTCTAAATTTTTAAAAGTTTTTTTATTTAATTTATCTAAAATTTAAAGAGAAAAATAAAATATATATATATATATATAATCTAAATCGTATATATCTTTTATTAGAAAGAATGCAATCTATATTTTTTATTAAAAATATTTAGAGACAATCTTATTTGAGTAAGATAAAATCACTATAAGTGATAAAACTATTTTTCTCTAAGTGTTTAACATAGTTATTTTTAATTTGTAAAGAAAATATTTTTTTAATATTAATTTTATTTTAAAATGATTGTTTAAAAGTTCATTCAAATTGAATCATAATTTTGACTGTTACTGAAATTAATTAAGCATGTATTTGTTGTATTTATTAACAATAAGTGAAGTATTAAGTATGAATTAGTAATGAAATGTCAATTTTTTTAACATGTAAAAAATAAAAAGTTATATGTAGTAATTTTTACTAAAAATTATAACATTTAATAATTCTATATATTGAATTATATTAAATATTATAATTTTTAATAAAAAATTACTATTTATAGTTTTTATTTTGTACAATATTGCACAGATTAAAAAATTAATAAAATATTTAAACATCTGCAAAATGATAATTACACAAATATCTTTTATAAAATAGTTTCATACTTATTAATTTTATTTTCTGAAATATCAACTAGCTGCATTTATTTTTACATGATTAATATTCTTCTAATGATATAATTTACACAATTTTTTATAAAAATATTCACTATTCTTTCAAGAATAAAATAAATGTTTTTTACATAAATTTATACAAAAATGTATGAGTTATTTAATAAGAAATAATGATATATTAATTTTATAAAAATATTATTTTATATTAATTAATAATACTAAACACAAAAATTAATATGACTTTTAACTTATCTCTTCAGGAACTAAATGTCTGCCATATAAATTTTTAAAATTAAATATTTATGAATAACTTAATATTAAGATTAGATAAGTTTTAATATTGTATTAACAATCTGACAAATTAGTTAGTGTCCGAAGATTTCGAGTATACTATAACGAAATCTTAACTTATTACTTTACGACACTTCTAGAAGAATTTTATCTTTTCGCTTAGATTACATTGTGTTTAAATTTAGGTAGGCTAACCTGAGTGTCTGAATTAATAATTAATAAAAATTTCCTACCGATATAATTTAAAGATAATATCAAATATTTGTCCTATTATTTAAGAAAAGACTATTTATTAATCTCCTAATACTATTTTTTTTACTGGAACAATAATAACCTTTCACTATGTTCCGAATTGATGGTAGTTTCTTTTAGTACTCATGTTTTATTTGAATTTTTTATTTGTACTCAAAATTATACTCTCACATCTCACAACTGTCACTCCAATTTTTTTTTAATGAAACTATAATTCAACATACACTAATTAAAAATTTTGAATTTGAATGCATCTAATTGCCCAAACTTCAAAGTTCATTGACTCAAGCAATTCATGTTGAGTCAATTCATTTAGTGTGTTAAAATATATATATATATATATATATATATATATATATATATATATATATATATATAAAATAAAACAACAACAAAGCAGTGATGAACATTAAATTGAATCTGTGAAATTAATAATAGTTAAAGTGAATTTAAAACAAATCCATTTATCATTAAAATATATCATTTTAAAAGTAAATGTAAAATTCTCATCTGAGTAGAAAAGTTTTTTTTCCTCAAGTTTAGAACTAAAAGTAATTTTAATTGAAAAAATTCAACGTTTATTATTATTTTTATGAAATCATAATTGAACAAATCCAACATAAAATGAGATTGAACTTTGAAGCTCTTGAGTGTCTTTCTACACATAGGCTAAAATAGAAGAAATGTTGAAGGGTTTGAAGAAGGACTAACCAGAAGAAGAGAACTTACAATCAATTCCGCAATGCAAACATGGACCTTGCTTTTTCCCCATATCTGTCAATTTCTTTTTTCCTACCAAAAGAAATTTTGGTTATTATTAGAAATCCAAATAATAAACTTAAAGAACAACTCAAAGATTATGTTAAAGAATTCAAGTTGTAGGGATAATGGGAGAATGAGAACAAAATTTCAGTCAACTTTCATTACATAAACACACAAGATTCCAAAATTTTCTTACCTTCCAGTGCTTCTTTCTTCTCTCTTTGTTCTTCTTTTTGAGGTTTCTTTTTTTCTTTTCTTTTCACTCTCTTTCTTCTTTCTTCTTTCTTCTCTCTTATATTCAAGTTATTGAAATTCGCAAGTTTAACAAGGCTACCTTACTTTGGAGGCTTTCTCCATTTCATCATGAAAGGGTGGCAAGTAGCTTAAATGCCCTCTAAATTAAATGTCTATCTGTATCATCAAATAAGTACAAAAGAATGCTGCCGTTACTTTCTACGTTACACATTATCTTTAATAGGAGATTAAAAAAATACTATTATAATATAAATTAGAAAAGAACAAAGGTGGGGTATGTAGAGGATTAGCACTCATAAAATATTATGAGAATGTTGGTTGTTTGCTATGTTTAATTGCTAGAAGTACATTTAATGAACCAAAAAAAGGGTGAATTTAATGAACTCTAAATAAAATTGCATTTTAAATTTATAAAAGTTGAGAAGGAAGTGTGATTAAATTAATTTAGGTGAAAATTGTTGAGACTTGAGAGTGTAGTAGCCATTATTTTTTGTTGGCAAAAAGTTTCAAAATAATGGAAAGTTGCTTCATTCCTTGGCCAAGGGCTATCAAAAAGCGCAAAGCCATACACACACGATTGCACTCTAATTTAATTACTTGTGTGATTTACATAATTATATATAATTTGAAATTATAAAAATAATTAAAAAATACTTAAAATATGTACAAATAAATAATAATTTTTTATGATTTAATTTATCAACAAATTATTCTGTTTATTAACACTTTTCAATGTTGAGATTGTCAAAATATAAAATTTTTAAAAATTCAATAAATGAAATATTCATATGTCTATCATAGTATTATATATGTATGCATATCACCTTTATTCTTATTTATTTATCAAGAGACAAAAAAATTTTACAGATGAAAGATTTTAATTATTTTATTAGAATTAATTACTTATCTTATTTATTTTATATTAATGGATTTTTTTTTACTTTTGATTCTTGAACTACTCAAATATATAAATATTTTTACTGAATAAAAGGACATTAATGAAAAATTGTTATTAATATTATCTTAAAATTTTCAATAAATATAGAAATAAGAAAAATAGTAATATATAAAAGAAAGTAGTTTTAGAATAATACTTATTTATATATATAAATTACGAATTTGGATTATATATATATATATATATACACTGTTATAATTATTTATATGACTCATTAGTTATATTATGTTATTAATCAAAATTTATTTAAAAATGTGTAAATTTCACTTTTTTATATTTAATTAATTTAATATTTTTCACTTTTTTATAAATTTATTTAAAAACCTGTATTACTAGTATTCCTCTAGGTAACTGGGCTTACCCCCTCTCCCTTCACACATACATCAAAAAAATATTATAATCTCCCAGCAATAACAAATCAATTTAAGACAGTATGAAAACATTTCTTTTACCTAAATTAGGATAAGTTCCGTATTTTAAATTTTATAAATTAAAATGGTAATTTTATTGTTAATAAAAAATATTATTACAATTAGCATTTATACATGTAAAATTTATTACAGTGTGACACAAGCATAGCATTAAATAATATAATAAATACACTGTAAATTAAAATACATAATATTATATTGGATATAATTTAATAAATAAAATAATAATTTAATTTCTAATTTTTATTAGTTAATTAATGTAAAATATTATCAGTTATTTTAATTTTAAATGTATACTAATGATTTTATTTTTAAATTTTCTTTCTTATCAAAATATTTTAAACTATTATATATATATATATATATATATATATATATATATATATATATATATACTCATCTGTAAAAATACTTTGAAGTAATAAATATATGCAAAAATAACAGCACTATAACATTAACTAATATATTAGATGTACCATACATAAATAAATATTATTTACACTTCATTAAAATTATAATTATTATTTATAACATATTAAATACTTATATTTTTTATGTTGCTCAGATAATTTTAAACTCAGTCAACAATATAACTTATAATCAAGTTTTATATATTTTTAATATATTTAAAATTTATTTATTTATTTTTAACGAAAGTCAGTAAAAATATTATTATTAATATTTTTTATCATAGTAAAACTTTCACGCATACTATATTAAAAATATGAAATATAATACAATATTATTATTAAATCAATTTTTATCATAATTATTAAATATTAGTTTCTTAAAAATAATTTTACAGTTTTAATAAAATTATAAAGGCAAACTTTTATCTGAACTATTAAATTTAAGTTATCACCATTTCATATATTTTCATGGCATATAATAATTTTATTTAACCTATTTTATATATTAAAATGAGCTTTTAAAAATTAAAATAAATCCATACTTCTTGCCGTCATAATATTCACAGTTAAACATAATTTCAGTTATCTTAATCTTCAAAACAAACTTCTTAATTTTTTAAAGTATTTGTCTAAAGAATGTATCTTATAAATTAAACAGTTCTAATTTATTAAATAAGATTATTTATTTTTTATAAGAGCTTAAATAAATTCTTATATTAACCTTCGTCCCAAACTAAAATGAATGACCTTATGCATTGCGTTGTAGATTTGTGTGCCTATAGTGTAAGAAAGTTATAAAACTAAGAGCCAGAGAGTTTGATCTGTAAAACGATTCTTTGAGGTGAGGCATTGAATGAGCAGAAAAGGAGATAGATAACAGAAAAACAAAAGGATTATGATATCCATAATATTCGTGAAAATGTGAGAATTGTTTTAACCTTCGTCATTCTCACTCATGACAACTCATAACTCTTAATATCAAAACTAAAATTCATGGTATTACTGCAAATTAATACAGATGCCATCATCCAATCTATTGATAAAAAGATAACTCAACCATCAATTACCAATTACAGCAAAGATGTAAACAAATTTTGATACACCCCCTCCTACTTACATGCACACCCATCCAATCCAATTCAGTAGAAACTCATTCCTCACACTATAAAACCTCATATTCCCTCCTCTCTCTGTAGACACACAACACATTCCTTCACCTCTTCTCTTTTACTCTCTCTGTCTCTCCAAGTCTTTCAACTATGTACCCTCCATCCCCCACCCAAGCAAGCCCACTTCGAAAAATGATTGTCGTGGCCTCTATTGCTGCCGGCATTCAATTTGGGTGGGCTCTGCAACTCTCTCTCCTAACCCCTTATGTTCAGCTTTTAGGTGTCCCACACACTTGGGCTGCCTTTATCTGGTTGTGTGGGCCAATCTCAGGATTGGTTGTGCAGCCTATAGTAGGTTACTACAGTGATCGTTGCACCTCTCGCTTTGGCCGTCGCCGCCCCTTCATATTCTACGGCGCTATTGCCGTCGCCATTGCTGTATTCCTTATTGGCTATGCAGCCGATATAGGACATGCTGCTGGCGACGACATTACAAAGAAAACTCGGCCCCGCGCTGTGGCGATCTTCGTGGTGGGCTTCTGGATCCTTGATGTGGCGAACAATATGCTTCAAGGACCTTGTCGCGCGTTCCTCGGTGACTTGGCCGCCGGTGACCACAAGAAGACAAGGGTGGCCAATGCCTTCTTCTCGTTCTTCATGGCCGTCGGGCAAGTGTTGGGGTACGCGGCAGGCTCTATCAAAGGCCTCCACAAAATCTTCCCTTTCACTGAGACAAAAGCTTGCGACGTCTTCTGCGCTAACTTAAAGAGTTGTTTCTTTCTCTCAATTTTGTTCCTTCTCATTCTGGCTATCATCGCTCTCATTTACGTGAAAGACCCAGTGATGACAACACCCGAATTGAGCAATGAAGGGGAGTCTTCGTGCTTTTCGCAAATATTGGGCGCATTGAAGGAACTGAAGAAGCCTATGTGGATGCTAATGCTTGTGACTGCTGTGAATTGGATCGGGTGGTTCCCTTACTTCTTATTCGACACTGATTGGATGGGTCGTGAGGTGTATGGTGGAGATGTCGGTGAGGATTCGTACGCTGCGGGAGTGCGTGCTGGATCGTTGGGTCTCATGTTAAACGCTGTCGTTTTGGGTGTGATGTCATTGGCGGTGGAACCGTTGGGTCGCATGGTTGGGGGAGTTAAGGTGTTGTGGGGAATAGTTAACGTTATTCTTGCTGTTGCATTTGCAATGACAGTGGTTATTACTAAGAATGCAGAACATGAGCGCCACTTGAACCCTGCAGCCATTGGACACCCCTCCCAAGGTGTCAAAATTGGCGCCTTGCTTTTCTTTTCTGTTGTTGGAATTCCTCTTGCGGTAATATTTTTTTCTTTTTCATCTCTAAAACAATTGCATTTAATCAATACTTTATAAATTAAAATTTTAACAAAAATATTACATAATTTATGACAAATATAGCATAATATGTACATTTAGAATTTAATCAGGCCTTAACAATTTTATAAAAATAGATGAAGGGTGATGTCACATACAAAAAGGGGTTTCTTAGACAATTAGAAAAAAAAAATGAAGAGGCATGAGAAAAACTTAAAAATGATGAGGAACCATAAACTAATACATTATTTTCCATACATGGTATACAGGTTACCTACAGCGTTCCATTTGCTTCAGCATCAATATACTCTAGCACTTCGGGAGCAGGCCAAGGTAAACCAACTCATAACTCATTTAAACTAGTTTACAAAACTAATTTTAAATAAATTTTCAATTCAAGTTGTACTCAATAATGGTTCAGATAATTAAATTGTTAGCAAATTTGGGTTATAGCCAAATTATATAACCTTTCTTGCTTGCCTTAGGTTTATCTCTGGGAGTCCTCAATCTTGCAATTGTCATCCCACAGGTTAGAACTCTCTTACTTCATTACGTAAAAAAATGACATTATCATATATGCAATTATTTGACAAACTTTGAACACATGTGTGTATACACAGATGGTGGTATCGGCATTAAGTGGTCCATGGGATGCTTTGTTTGGTGGTGGCAACTTGCCAGCTTTTGTGATGGGTGCAGTGGCTTCTGCCATCACCGCCGTGTTGGCAATTTTTCTGCTACCAAGTCTAAAGCCCGATGATGAGGCTAAAGCAGCTGCAAACATGGCCACGGGAAGCTTCCACTAATTAATGAAGATTTACATGTCCTATTCTTGGCCTTGCTTTACTACATATTGTAAAAAAAAGACAGTTTGTGTATATAATTTATTATAGACCCACCGAATGTTTTAAAATTCCTATTTCATTAATATTCATTTATCACGTAAATTTTAAAGTTTGATGTGATTGTACATAGATTATAAATAACAGCTTAACTTGATTAATTATCATAATTACAGCTTGATTAAGTACGTATTTATCATAACGATTGTATCTAAGAAATTTTTATTTAATAAGAATTTTATTATGCAATTTTCTTAGAATTTTTTATTTTAAATCATTGAAAATATATTCTTTATAATGATATTTTCTTTACATAAAATTTTAACCATTAAATATATATTATTATAATATAAATTTTGAAATAATAAATTTTAATGACTAAATTAAATATTACAAATTAAATTTTTTAACTGTACAGCAACAAACTACCATCGTCTAGCTATCGATTCTTATTTTATTATTTTGATATCATCATCTATTTTATTATTAACATCATTACTATTGTCACCTAAAAACTAAGTATTTTTAACTTAAACTTAACATAATTTTTTTCTATTATTTTAATTAGCAATGTTAAAATAAAAATAAAATTAAACTTAGAAGTATAATTTTATGCCTTTAATTTTTTTTATACTAAACACAAAAATCATGAATCTAAATCAATTCTAATTCTAATAGAATTAAAATTATAATTTTAAATTATATTTTAATTACGTAACCAAAACCAGCTTGCTAATAGATACATGATTAGTTTAAAGGAATCAAATTTCAATAATTTTTAGTTATACTAAAAGAGATCATACACATTGGTTATAAAAAAAAAATGAAACCTGATTTTATCCAGAAAATCAGTAAAAAAAAAGTATAGTTATTAACTTGATCTAAGATAGATGAGGAATCGATTGGAAAATAAACCACGCTATTTTTTTTTTTAATTCAAACTATAAGTCCTACATAAGAATTGTTATTATTTATTCATATTATTATTATTTTATCACGAAAGACATAAAATGTAATAATTAATTCATGTTAATTTAAAAATTTACCTAATTTTATTTCTTTAATTTTTATTTAATGTATCATATATATTTAATAATTATTAATTTGACATAAACTCAATCATAGTCATACCAATAAACTATGAACAAGTATGCTTAATAGTTTAACATGGGCCATTTAATATTTAAAGTACATTTCACATTCAAGAGTGTTTTTTTTTACTCTATTGGTGGGTAATATCCTATTCTCTTATAATCTTATAATAAGTTTTTAATCCATAACACAAATGTATACTGGTTAAAGTATAACAGAATGAAATTCTTTAAACGTATCATCTTGGATTTTATTAGTAATTAACATCTTATCTTCCCATTACTCGGTAATATCTGAAAATTGAGTTGTTTTCTTATAGTAAATACATGCTTTATATTAAGATCAAACTTCATATAGATGGATCGAAATGGTTTCTTTGTAAGGCTTTGTTTCAATTTCGATAATAATAATTTTCTATACCTGCAACCGATATGCAAACATTTGTCGAAGTTCGTGGTATTCACTAAACTTGAATTGCAACAAGTTTTCCTTACCCCAGATTTAGCAAAAAAATAAAGCTTTTTTTTTTGGATGCTTGTTGCTGTCAATGAGAAATGCACAGATGGCACTGATATATTACAGAATTGTGTTTTAAGTTGTAAATTTTTTGGATTCATGTAGCTCTTACATCATGTCTAAGACATTATCACGTCAAGCAAAAGGACATAATTTGAGTGGCAATGTGCCAAACTACCGAAGTTTTGAATGGAAGTGTTTTTCCTTTTCAAGAGTCATATGGGTGAGACAGGTTTTGAAATTTGAATGGAGGTGGGAGTTTTCCCTACATGAATAGTTGAAGTTAAATATCACCAATTATCAGAGGTAAGCTAAAAATTAATTGAAACATCTTTTATACTTCTAATTTAGCAGGGTTGGAATATCAAAAATTAATTCTCATACATCGTAGTTGAAATTTGTTCCTATACCATGTGGACCATCGTATCATATCCTTTAATTAGTTCTTTTAATTTTAGTCTCTTTTTGGGTCCCAAAGTATTAAATGCTTGCATGAAATTCAGCCGAAATTGTGGACTGAAATCCATTCATTATCATTAATTAATGTATCCTTGTAAGACATTTTTGAAAGAAAAGGGAGGAAAGACGACCATGGTGAGGGTGGGAGGTTGGCACATACTGTTCAGAAATGCGTTAGGCATTCCTCAAAATTCCATGGCATGACTAAATCAACCCTTCTCATTCTATAGCTTAAGTTATGTTAAGCATAATAAGATTATTGAAAAAAAATTTGATGTGAGTAAATAAATTTACTTTATTAATCAATTAAAATACATGATAAATATTATTATTTTTAATTATTTTAGCTTATATAGTATTTCATAATTAAATGGTAGTATAATTTTTTATATATTATCAGTGAATTCTAATAAAGACACATAAATTAATTAAAATTTTAATAAATTTTTAATCTTTTTTACCCACAAAAAATATTCTTATTTATCTGTCTATATAATAATTAAAAATAATAATAAATAAATTATGAATTGATTTTAATAAAATAATAAAATTTAATCCATAAATTATTTTGTAAAATAAAAATAAAAAGTCATGATGACACATGGCAGAGGCCATGCCTCCTGGTCACAGTGTCTGGACTAAGAGTCCTTCTATATTATTTAGTATTTACTACTTAACCAACCACCCATTAAGATTGTCGGCATCATCACTCCTCAGATCTCAATTATAAAACCAAACCTTAAGCTTTTTTCCGATTCACTCACTCACTTACCTTCAAATATATCTGATAGATAGTAAAGTAAGAGATGGGTGTGGGAAGAGGCAGTGCAATAGTGCTACTTCTATGCTTCTTAGTGCTTCACTCTGAGATGGCTTCTGCTGCCACTTACATCGTTGGAGGTTCAGGTGGCTGGACTTTTAACCTTGTTGGCTGGCCCAAAGGAAAGCGCTTTAGAGCCGGTGACACACTTGGTCTGTATCTTCATCTTCCATTATTATCACGTTTAAAGTTTTATTCAATAAAAACTGCTTTTATTTCTCAATTTATCTCCTCAATCTCCACCATTTAAAAATATATGCTTCAACTTATGCTGTGTTAGAAAAAAAAAATACTTTGTTTTTATTTAAAAAAACACGTTTATTTCATAATTGTAATGTATTTTAATATACTTTAAATGAAATTATTATTTGTTAATTTATTAAACAGTATCATGGAGACACTAGTTAGCAAGACTCTATGAATATTCACCAAATAATAGATCATAGAAAATGATAACATTAATTCTTTAGACTGATTTAAAATATTTAAAAGTAATATAATTTTGTTAAAAAATACTGCCTTTTTTATTCATTTTCCCACAAAATACACACATAAAAATTTAATTATTTTATTAAAATTGTTTTGTAAATTTCCTAATATATACTTTATTAAGGGTTTCTTTTTCACTTTTAAGGTACCCAACTAATGTTTTATGGGCACTAGTTAATTAATAACATTTTTTTATATTTTATTCTTTAATCATATTTGAAAGATACTGCTTGACATTTGCCATTGTTATGTAAAAGAATAGTATTAAAAAGTTAATATTATCTTAAACTTTTACGGAACAAATCTTATCTTCTTTTTGAATAAAATAAGTTGAGATCTGAAATGAGGAAAATCCAAAACTTAACATATGAAAGAGGTTTCCTTTTCTAATAATTGTTTCAGCAAACATTTATAAGTTGGACATTTATAGATATATATTGAATATTTTGTATGTGGGTTCAGTATTCAATTATAGCCCCGCGGCTCACAATGTGGTGGCGGTGAACAATGTTGGGTATAGTGGCTGCACGACTCCAAGAGGAGCCAAAGTGTATCGATCAGGAAAGGATCAGATAAGACTGGCTAAGGGACAGAACTACTTCATCTGCAATTTTCCCGGTCACTGTCAGGCTGGAATGAAAATCGCCATCAACGCTGCCTGAGTTTTACACTCCATTTTTCCTAAGTCATTATCTGTTTCTGTCATTCCCTACTCCTCAGTGTTGTGTTTGCAAGGTTGTGTCCCTCTATCACTGTACGTCCTTTGAATAAGTGAATAGGTAGGTATGAACAAAAAGGTATGCTATGTATGCTCCTATCAGTGTTACGTAAGAATAAATATCACCAATATTCTCTCTCTCTCTCTCTCTGGTAAGCTTTGAGTATGAACACATTTATTTAAGATTTAATAATTCAATCGTAATGTGTAAAATAAAGTTAAACCCAAAATTTTAACCAATTGACTATGAGGACAAAACGGGATGGGTGATCCATCCTTGCGTATGGGAAGAACGAAGACTGAGTAGTTGGGCTCAGATTTGTTTACTGATTTCAAGAAGAATGGGTTAGACAAATTGAACCTTTTGACCAGAAAAATATAAAGGCAAAGGGAAGAATGTTGGATCCAAGATTTATTGATAGCTTCATCTGTAATCATAATGTAGATTTAGTGCTCTTAAGAATCCTTGTTTCTTTGACCAGAAAAAAAATCTTTGTTTATGCACTATGCAGCACTAACTACACTTTTCGACTCGGAATCAAATCTTAATCATTTCCGTTTCGCCATTATGTTTGCTTGCTATTCTCGTTTCCACGTTAGATCATTCCTTTTAAAATAAATTGTAAAAAAATATTAACGTCAGTTCTTAAAAAATAATTTTAAGTATTTAAAAATAATATCTTTACTAAAAAAAAACATTATACTTTATATTTTTAATATAGGAATTTTTTAAGTAAAAATTGCCTATCTTGATTGCTTTAAGTTAACCCTATTTACTAATATTAATAAAATCATGACAATAAACAGAAATAGCTAGTAAAGTTTATAGCCACTAACATTTTATTGAATTGATGGCAACGTAAAGACTGAATTGTTTATTAAAAAGCAAAAGTCTGACATAATTATTAACTAGTTGGGTTCTTAAGCACATTGACTAAAGTTTGATTCTTAGTCATATATAAAAATACTTTATAAAAAGAAATAAAAGTCACTTTGATAATTTACATATCTTGAAATAATTAATCTCATCAACTGATTAGGATTCATTATTAACATTACGGGGGAGGAGTTAGAAGGTGAAATTTAAATTTACTCTATTTAGAGAAGTAAAAAAAAAACACACACACACAAAATAATAACTACCTAAATCAAAAGCATTATGATTCTATCCCAATACATGCCTTAAGAGTCATTATTTAAGAGGCATATGGGCCCAGCACTCTTCAACCACCCCATTACAATTGCTAGCATCTTTTGCTATAAATCCGTGCTCATAACTAGTCTTAATACAACGAAGTATTTTTTTTCTACCATTCTCAATCTTTACTATCATAGTGGAAGTGAAAAAATGTCTCTGGGAAGAGGCAGTGCAATGGTTGCTCTGATGCTATCATTATGCTTACTGCTTCACTCTGAGATGGCTCATGCAGCCACCTACACAGTTGGGGGTGCAAATGGTTGGACCTTTAACACTGTGGGCTGGCCCAAAGGGAAGCGGTTCAGGGCCGGTGATACACTTGGTTAGTACCTTTGGATCCTTTCTCTTATATTCATTGTAGAAAAAACGTTCAAGACTTCAAAAACAATGAGAAGGTTGTAAGAGTAATGAAAGAAATAAGAAGGTAAGCTAACAGCTTAGCCAAAATCACCTTGGAAGAGTTTGATCCCAGAATTACAAGTAGTCCTAAGAAACTTTAGCCCATAAGAATTATTTAATTTTTCTTCTTATATAAAATCAGATAAACAGGATTACTTTAGTCCATAAGAAAATGATGAACAATTAAAATTTACTACATTCTTACGCATTGTACCGATCGATGCAGTGTTCAACTACAGCCCTGGGGCTCACAATGTGGTGGCTGTAAATAAAGGTGCTTACAACGCTTGCAGGACCCCAAAAGGTGCCAAAATCTATACTTCAGGAAGTGATCAGATCAAGCTTGTGAAGGGACCGAACTACTTCATCTGCAATTTTTCTGGTCACTGCGAATCTGGCACCAAAATTGCCATTAATGCTGTCTGATATAGTGGATTTGCCTTTCAGATTTCATAATAATAAAGCGTATCTTGTCTCCATCTTCAATTTAATTATCATTAATCCTTATAGTGTGCTGTTAAACACTTAAAATGTTTAGGTGTACTGTGGCTTTTAAAGTACTTATCTTTAACATGTTTTCATTGCATGCTTGGTCTGTCACCTTTTAAAATAGGTTCAAAATTATTCACTTAATTGTTTTTATTTTTTGTTTAAAAATAAACTTAGTTAAGTAAAAACTAAATAATCCAAAAGAAGAAAACACATTACTAATTACATCACACAAAACACATCTGTCGTTTGACTCGTTCGAAATATTAAACCAAGGCAGTAAAATAACATCTCTAATAATTTTACATAATTTATGTTTATAAACATACAATTCAGTAGTAATTATTTATTTATATTTTAAGTAAACATTAAAATCTAATAAAGTGATAAAATATTAATCAGTATTTAAATTATATAAAATTTTATCATCTTAATATATTTTATAAAAACTTTAAATTAAATGATAAAATTAATAAAATATATTTTTGATACAAAATTTTTTGAAAGTTTCGTTTTATTAAATTTCATATCTAGTGTCAGAATGTCACACACACAAAGATACACAATTTTCTTTAAAAGTTGTGAATACAAAATCTATATACCATATTATTTTAGTAAAAAATATAAAAATAATACATGTTTACAATTTGAACAAAGGTGAAGATCAAGTTATATGAGTAAGTATAATTAAAATTATTTTATTTAAAGACTCTATAAATATTTAATAACTATACTTATTTTTACATTCGACTCACAATCTTATATAACGACCTATTATATGTAGTTTTTAAAAGAAAAACATATCACAGTTGGTGTAAAAAAATGAAAAAGAAGTGACAATGAAACACTTTGATCTTCTATAATTTTAAAATTTGGGTGCATGATCGATGCATATGGGACACCAAAACTATAATTAATTGGCACATCCAGTGATAAGTAGAGAGATGAAGAGCCTTAAAGTGAAAGAAGTGACCCAATATGCTTCACTTTTCTTCATTATGTGAGACCTTTCAATGATGCTTAATAATGTATCAAGAGCACACATTATAGGCTACAATTTATAGCTGCATGTGGTTAATGTTTAAAAGAGTTTATAAAAATATATGTTTTTTTTATTAATTTTAATATATTTTTATCAAAATAATTAAACCCTTTATAGTTATTTTACAAAAAGTTACAATTATATTATAAATAAGTAATAAAAATATTATAAACAAACACTTAATTAAATTATTTATCGAAGAGGAGGTTTGATTTCTGTTTTAAAAACAGAAAATTATAGCCTACGCACTCAACTAACGCAACACCATGTAGAGATTATTAAGGCCATATTTAGTAAAATTAATTAAAATTTTACAGCTGATAACTATTAAATTGCTTGAAATCTTATAATTTTTATTTAATTAATTAAATTAGAGTTGCATGATAAAATTAATTATATAATTAGTTGAAATATGTTAGATAATTAAAAAAAATATGTTAAGATTTTGTATGGATATATTTTGTTTTAAAAATTAAGAGTAAAAATGAAAAAAAAATGTAATTGAAAGTTCTATTAACGAAAAATCACGTAGAGTGCACGACTTTTGCATAAGATATTTTTTTAAAAAAATTATAAGCTCTTTTAAAAATTATAGACTCTCTTTACTTAAATAATTTTATTAGCTTATTAAAAAGTAAACTATAAATTCTTAAATAAATTTTAAGTTTGATAGATTCTGCTATTATATTTAAAAATTAGATTTAATTCACTTTTAAAAGTTAATTTAAATAAAAAAAAGTCCCAGTATCATTAATATATTTTTAATAGTTATAGAACTTCTTCACAAATTGCAAAAATAATCCACCGGGAAATAATTTAAAGATACGTTGCGGTCTTAATGTTTTCAAATAATATTGCATATATCAATAAAATTGAGCATAATCAAACGGTAAATTTCTGAATCCTTTAAACTTATTAATTAGGGTTGAATTCCTAATTCTGTAAATTGTTTCATGATTTAAGTATGTTTTAGTTTATATATATTTTTTATATTTGATTTTAATTAAAAAATGGTTTAAATTCTTTTTTTTTAAGTTGAGTATTTTTTGTCCCTTTTATTGATGTAGTAAAAACGAAATTGACACATTACTACCTTTTAGTTAATCATGTTATTGCTAGAAATTAAAAGTAACGAATTTTAAAAAACTCAAATATTTTTTTGAAATTCTAAAATCAAAATATCATAATTAATACCTTAACTGATGTGAGGATATATATGGCTCCCATATACGTAAGTATTTTTTTTTTCAACTGTTTCTAAAATAAATATAATGCTATGTGTTCTAATTGTACACATTGTACTCTCAAGTAAGTAACAATAATATTTTTCAATTAAAAAATATTGATGCGTTGTGTTCGGTTTAATTAATTTGAAATATTATAAACTCAATTTATTAATTAAATAATAATTTAATAGCTTGCATTTTTTTCTAAATCCAAACAAACCTAAATACGTATGAGAATCAAACCACTTGGTTCTTTTATATGTATTTATTCATTTGACCTAATTGAAAAATTATCCCAACAAAAAAAATACTAATAAACAAATGAAAGAATTATATTATATATATAATGGTAAAATTATTATTATTTTGTTTTAATTACATATTGTTTCCAACATGAGACAATAACCATAAGTAATTAAGTTAATTATAACAATAGACTAATATATTTTTAGGAGCTGAAAATGGAGGAGTGCACTGTTCTCTTGTTTGCAAGTATATATATATAAACTGACCTTCGTCTTCGTCAGTATTTCTTAAGGATTATAATGCAAAAAAATGTAATGAAAAACGAATTCTGTGATTGTAAAGATGAGCTGAATCTAGGCTTTTGAGGTCATTAGCTTACTCAATAAAAAATTCTTGAACCTGCCGAGTGGGGCTCCAAATTTTTAATAACTTAGAACATATATACCAGCAATTGCATAATCAAGTAATCATTCTGAACTTTAACATATAAGGAACTTCTTGTCATCAATTTCTTTCTTGGCCTGACCCCAGTGTCTAAGAAAATGAAAGCTGAGAAGTTGGTCCCGCCAAAACAAATTAAAGGATGAAAATAATGTCATAGGAACGAAGATCTAGGCAGGGTTTGTAAAATGGTAATCATTATGTTAGTTGCAATACATTATAGCTAGCCACACTGAGAAATTAAACTGTTTATTTCTGTTTCAAAAGGCAGAAGACTTATCTTTTGTTACATCAGATGATGGTATGCTGAGTTATATGTGTCAGCTCCAAAGGGCACTAATAGATTCCCCTCCCATTTACAAAAAATTGATGTAACTGACATAATAAACTTTTTGTTGGTGGTGGTGGTGGGTGGTGCTGCTAGCTGAGTATGATGGCATTATGTAGATAAGTTAGGGCAAGAGTTGGGTCTCCATTTGAAACACACAACTCATAATGGTGGCCTCAAATAGCATTGCTAAGTCTAAATTATAATCTAATGCTTCTAGGAATCCAATGCTGCAACCGCAGCCCTGGGTCTCCAAATATATCTGGTAGCCAATGGACTTTTAACAAGTGGAGGCACATACAGTTATCCACAACACTTTAAAGTTTAAACTTGGAAAAAGGTGCAACATTACCATCAAAGCCAAGACAAAAGTTTAGGACACTAACGAAAGGGAAAAAAGAATAAATTTAAATAAAGTATAAGCTTCTTCACAATCAAGTCCAACTTTAGTGGTTGACTTAATCATGAGCACCACAACATTAAAATAAAATAAAATAAGAAAATAGGGTATGATCAATAAGCCACGCCTCCAAGTTAATATTGACTCACCCCCAAGATCCTATTCATTAGGAAAAAAACAAAAACTTACCTTTGAAGCATATCTTTAAATTAGAACATTTTGATCACTCTTGCTTCATTCAGTCGAGAATTATCATCAAAGAAAAGGCACATAAACATGGTGTTTCTGATTATATAGAAGGAACCTGCACAAGTGCAAAACGAAAACCCATTAGACTCATATATAAGAAGTTGCCCAGAGAGAAACCAAAAGGAGGCATGCATATATAGTATATAATAACTCAATTGAATAATCATGTCCGTGATCAGAAGAAGATATGAAAGAGAATTGAGCCCTCAAGGGGGTTTTTCAAAGACAAATTCACAGAGCCCGTTTGGCCTCCTGGCCACCTCCATTTGTTACCTTCTGAAGTGATTCTAAAACAACCCATTAATGGAGGTGGACAGAATGCCAAAATGGCTATGGAACAAGGCCTCTGAGAAACCCAAGAGGCTGTAGAGCAGAGAAAAATCATAAGGAAATGGAAACTCTAGCTGAAATTTGAAGAATAGATCATAGGTTGTGACTGGTTAAGCAACAAGGATGAAACAAAGTTTTCCATAATGAGTTTTGAAATAAGAGTGGCTTTTTGTAGAAAGAAGGTGCATAAGCGTGCATGGAGTTGTACGGTATATTTAAATATGTTGGGAGCTTCTGTTGTTTTTCAAAGACTTTCAATTGCTTGGGTTTGTCTCTAGAAGTTTGCATGAATATATCTGCTTGTGTGTTATACATTTATGACAAAAATATCAGCTCTCTTTTGCAATAATGACATATGTGTCCTTACAGTACAACTGCTTGCTATCTTGCACATGGTTGCACATATTGAGGCTTTCTTTGACCATGGTTCTTAAGTTGTTATGTGGTTGTATTGTGATTTCACTGTGCTTTTTGACTTGCTACAAAAGGAGGATGCAAAATGGGCTGGCCATGTCTCCCACTCAGTTTCTAATTATTTAATTTGTCAACTCACTGTTTGTTAGTTCAACCTTTGACATTTATTATACTGCAACTTCCTAAAAGACAACTATATTCATTGTTTACAACTATTGAATGGCTTGTTTGAATGATGTTTGGTCAGTTTGGAGCTTGAATGTCTAGACATAACAAGCAAGCCTTAACAATGGCGTTGGTGGTATACAATAACCACTGTGGACAGAACACGCACATTCTTAAAATATTACTCCTGTTGAATATCATTCAATGTTCCATACTTCGAAGGAGCGATAAGTATTTTATTGAATCTTTTCAAAATTTTCGAAGAATCATTTTCATCACATAATCATTGCACACTTTTGTGGTGTGTAAAACACCCTCATTTATATGAATCATATGCCTTTGCATATAATCCTTATTCATTAAAGGGAAAAACTATATTTTCACATACTATTTTTTAAAAATATGCATATCAAAATTTGTAAATATTAAATAAAATAATAATATAATTACATAATTTTTTATTTTTATATATTTAAAAATATATTTTGAATTAAATTCATTCTATAGTTGTTATACAGGAAAGAACTATTACAAACCAGGTAAATTAATTTCTATCTTCGCTCTCCTGAATTGTCATATATGCAACACAAAATTAAGAAGTTTAAATTCATTGCTTTTGGTTGGGATATATTCAACAGTAAAGTTAATAATAAATTTTTTACCTATCTTAAATAGAGCAGTTTAAATTTTTATCTCCTGAAAATATTTTTTTAGCTGCTGTTATATGTATCAAGCAATTTACAAGTGCAGCATTTTCTATTTTTGAATTAATTATATTCTTTTCATGTATTTAATTTAGATTATATGTGATTTAATCTCTACTTTTTAAAGTTATTTAAATTTTTCTATTTTTAAAATTAAGTTAAATTAGTTTTGTTGATTTTATTCTGTCTAAAACTCTTTAATTCTAATTTTTACTGAGTATTTTTATAAATTCAATCAATTGAGTTGTCTTTTTATTAAATCTCATCAATCAAATTATCTAATTTCACCCAAAAAAAAATCTCGAAAGTTCTGCTCTTTAAATTTGATTTTATATCTTATAAAATTCTTTAGTTTTTAATAAGTTTTTACTATTTTTTAAAACTTTTAAAATTATTTTATATCACAAACTCATTATAAATCTCTATCATAATGAAGTTAAAAAACAGGTCTTTGAGAAAATACAGCTAAAAAATGAATAAATGTTTAAATTGTTAACATCCTTGTACAAGGTAATACATAATTTTTTTTTATTGTTAGAAATAATTTATTGTATAAAGAATAAAGTTAATATTTAAACAAAATTTTCAACTTTTAAAGAAAAATCTCCCCTCCTTTGATGAGATTTTACTTTTGGTGAGTCCCATCCCCATTTTCTCCTTAGATGTAATACTTTTTTTATTTAGTTTGTTTATTAATGAGGAAGACCATAACAAATTATTGGTTCTCCAATTTAATTTACTTTCCTCTTTGGCTTATGCAGAGATTTTCAAAGCACTTATTCCTGAATCTGTATATAGCAATTCCTTTATTTTGTTGTGTATTGGTAATAAATTGTTATTTATTCATCCCTTTTTCATGTGATAAATTGGAAACCTTGTTCATGTTGGAGTAACCCTTACAGTAGAGAAGATTACGAGTGATTTTCTTCGATCAAGTGTGGCAGATAGATGATATGTGACTCGTGAGGTAGGAGGTGTGTTGTTAAAATTATATTGTAAGCATACAGAGGATGTTCATGTGCTAGCTTTACTCTCTTTGGCTTTGTTGTATGGAAATGTTTGAGTTAGGTAGTTTTAGCAATTATGTAGTAAGGTTAGAGAACACCTTTTTGGATCTTCTTTCATTTTGTGGCATCCCTGTTGCTTGAAACAACATTGACCGTTGTTCGTTCTTGCTAAAGGAATCAATATTATATGAAGATATGAACGTATGCTATATTGGAAGTGTTTCCCCCTGGTAGACAATAAAATGTGCTAAAAGATCTTTGTTGATGAGGTTGTCCGAACCTTTTTCCCATTAGAAAAGAAAAAGGATATCAGCTTGTAGGTGATATTTCGTTGTATTAAAGGCTGCATTTCTTTTGAATGCTGATTTCAAGAGAAAGGTATCGTATGTTTGCTACTATTGAGTATGCTACTTTCTATATGCAAAATAGCTTCACATATATCCATGAGTATGCAAATTGACCATTTTAGATGCTTTATTAAGTTTGAGTTTGAAGTTGTCCTGTTGATTTTCTGTTTCAAGTCTAACTGTTACTTGTTAGGCGGTTCCTCTTTCAATGTTTGTTAAAAGAAAAAAAGCTTAATCCTAAAACTTGGAATATGCTACATTAACATTAAAACATCATTAGTTATAACCTTTGTATTGGTAGGATACAAAAAGTAAAGGAAAAAATTTAATCCAAGAAGGCAGAATTTTTTTTACATGAAATGTGATTGTTTGAGGATATCCTCAAGTAACTATCTTTGTTTGTGTTTAGCTAAAAATCAATGAAACAAAATAAATGCAAAGAAAGATGAACTAGATGTTGATTTCAACATTGACATTATCTTCATTCTTCAACAAATACACAATTTGCTACGACATGATCCTTATATTGAACATGTATGCCAATGGGAGCATCAGGAACCACCAACTCCGAGGTATGGCCTTGTAAGCTTTTGATATATTACATACAATCTGCTTGTCATGATAGGAGCACGCTGTTTGGTTCCTGAATTCAACAAGAATATCAGAACGAAAAAGTGGTGAATTGTGAGGAATATGATGCACTCATTTATATTTCTATTTCTTGAACCATGTGTTTGTCAAGAACAAACCTACCTTGATCCACAGAATGCCACAACAAAGTCTGCTTTTGAACATGTTATTAAACTTGTACGGTCATCAAGTGCAAAACTATATGCTACAGGACACACTTGTTTAAAAATTTTGGAGTAGTTTGAAGGCAAACATGTAGCAGGGTTTCCATAAGTCCCTCGGCAGCAATACTCATCAGTATTGAAAGCACCACAAGCACTCTTGCAAGCAATAACTTTGTCATTTTCCTTTGCAACAAGCTCTGATGGGCAATTCTGCCTCAAATCACCATCACACCCAGCAGTGCTACAATTACCAGAACCATTAATAGCTTTTACAACAATAGGCAAGTTGAATCCATCTACAAGACTAACATCATAATAATCAGGTTCACCAAGACTAAAGTCAGCAATTGTTGCAGGTGGGATTCCAGGGCCTGTACAGTTTATGCTTGTGCCACAGCTACCTGTTTGGCACTTGCCATTGCCATTGTTGTCAAAGTTGCAGCCTGTTCTAGCCCATATCCTTCCACTCCAATCATCAGGAGCAGTATATACTGTTGATTGCCCTGGCTTCAATGTGAAGCCATCACCACTGTGATTATCACTACGTGTTATACCAGGCCATATTGTCTCCTTACAGTAATTTACTATAGTGAAAGACTTGCTGCTTCCACACAGTTCAGGTGCTGCCAACCGACATATCAAATTACCAAGCATAAAAGTAAATTCCCATCTAAGCAAGTCAATTTGTTCTTTGAAAATAAAAAGCTCCTAGCTTTAAGAAATTATCATTTGGTTTACTAGTTACCAAACTATAAGAGTTTAGTATGCATGGCAATGGTAGGGGATTACCAGTTACCAAACTATATTAGTGATGAATCGAGGAATACTATTAAGTTGAAATTTAAAGTTTTTAAATATAAGCCTAACTATATTTTTACTTATAATTTGACTTTAATCATCCAATTTTGTTTTTATGATTTTGGTCCTATAAATTTTTAAACTTTTAAAGATTATCTTTACATTGTGATGATGTGATATACATTCAATAATGTCCTGTTAGCTATTATTCTAAGGTGACAAAGGACGTAACATACATGTTCTGACATTAACAAGTGATAACCTAGATCAATTTTCAAACATTTTAAAATTTATGAGGATTAAAACTAATAAAAAAAAATTAAAGACTTAAATCAAATTTAATGGTATCTGCAATGATTAAAAATATATTTCATCTTTTAACATAATATTCATCCAAATAGGAATATCAAAGTTGGGAACAGAGGAAGCTACACACAGGATCAACCTCTCCTGGGCAGAAGAATCAAGAAAAATAAGCAGGCTTTAAATGCTCCATTTATTATATTAAGATTGACCACTAATGAAGCTTAAAGAATGAATTACCTGAGGCAATAACAATGAAGATGGAGGTGAGTTTGAGTAATGCAATGTATGGATTAGCCATTTGCTTATGCTCTCACTCACTCTGTCTCTTAATTATGTGACATTTGATGTAATGTGAAGTGTTGTGTTATTTATAAGGTTGAAGAGGACAGTGGAAGAATACGTGAGGAAGAGAGTTTGTGAAAACTAATATCATAAAAAAGCTTCCTTGCTTAATCAATCAAAGGATACCTTCCTCACCTTTGTCACTCTCACATCTAAGTATCATTTGTTCTACACCTTTACGTACTTTTCACTGATCTTACAACCCTTTCCTTTTAATTTTTATTCTGTTTTATTTTTCATCAGGTTTGAATGAATCAAATTTGCAATCATGCTATTTTTTCACTGAGATGTCAATGTCGTATTATTTGTTATAGATTCAAGAAAAGAGGGAAAAGGTTTTGTTTTAACTGATGTTCAGTCAAGATATTGTGCTCTCTTTCTCTCTCTTTTTTCATTTTCCCTTTTTTTTCTAAATTTACCAGAAAATGGCACCACTTGAGATGCAAAAGCACATTTAATATATACAGTTTGAATTATTGTTTACCATTTTCATTTGGCTTTTTCAAGTTTAAGTTATTGCTAAATATGTATTTATCTTCATTAATTTTTGCTGAGTATTTAATTATAAGTTATTATTTTAATTTTAAGAAGTTGGTGCAAACATGTCAAAAAACATTTGGTCATCAACTTAAGTCACAATAATCATAATTAATAATATTTCAAATTGAATATTTAAGAATACTTAGCTTTATTAATAAATATTTTTAAAAAAATTTGAATAATCCTTAAAATATAAAATCTTTTGTAAAAGACTAAAAGGTTTGCATCATACAGAAATAAAAACCTTACACAAAATTCAGTATGTATTTACAATGCATTTTCATTTAAGAATTTAACAAACCCGTGTAAACTATGAGTCAATAATGATTGTCTACATAAGCCATAACATCAATTAATAATAAATTTAAATTGAATTAATTTATCAAATATTTACATATTTTTTTTTATTAATAAACAATTTCTGGGATGAATATGCTTTAGTTCTTAAAATATATTAATAGAAATTATTTTGTAAAATATTATAAAATCAATTACATAATAATTTGATATTAATAAAATGAAATAACAAGTAATTTTTATTACAAAAAATTATTTGGGCTCAATAAAAATTAAATTTATTTGAAATATTCATTCAACATAATATAGATGAAAAAATCTATTAATATATTCTGTAAACAACTTAAGATTAGTGAAAAAAAACTACAAAATAAAAATATTTTAGTTAACATTTATATAGATAAGTTTTTCTTGATAAAACTATTTAATATAAAATTGTTATTTAATTTATTAATTTAACTAATATTTTTTATTAAATTTGACACATAATTCATTAATACCAATTTTTAATAAAAATAATAATATTATTAGTTTATCATTATCATACCCATATATTGCATGGATTAAAATACTAGTTATTAATATTGAAAAATTAAATTAAATCTCAACAGATTTAAATTAAGTGGAGTGAAAACTAAACTCTTTGTCCTATTTCTCAGTACAAGACTCAAATCGATAAATTTAGAAAAACAAAGCTTGTTACCACTGAAAATAAGTGTCGATAAGTAGTTAATTGAGCTTTGTTGTATCCTCTAAATAGTCTTTTTACAAATTTTAAAATAAGTATTAAATAATTTTATTATTATTATGCTAAAAATATAAGGTATATTAAATATTTTTTAATTTAGTAATTAAAAGAATTTATGGGAATAGAGGAGAATTATTCTAAGTAATTACTAATGAGCTTGATCATGACCTTTCTTTCGGTGACAATCAATCAATCAATCATGGAAGGCTTCCTAGAAAACCCTTCGAAGTTGGATGCGTTGGTGGATACATTCCCCGAAATTATATGTCTTTCCAAACCTCAACAGTCAAACAATGTGTTGACTATGGTGCTTCTGTTGCAATGAGTTGCTTCGTTATTCTGCTAGGAACCAATTTTGGTATGCGTATTCAACGAGTCAAATATATGTATGCATGTAACGTTCAATCAACGTCAAAATTCATTTACTTGTGGGCTACATGAAAGACTTGAAATAAACGGTACATAAACTAGACGAGTTGACTTGGAAGACTTGGAACGGAGAGAGATTCTACGAATGTGAGGGAGGAAGGAGGAATGTAACTTGCTAAAAAACAACAATTTAAAGAAAAATAATATGTTCACACCAATGAAATAGTGTTAATTAGGTGAATGGAAAAGAGAGATAAGAAGAAAAAGAAATGTGAAATATAATATGGTAGAAAATTAATGAGCATAAGCAACTCCTCTAAGATAGGTGTGTGCTCATTCAAGAATAATACGAAAAAGTGTTGGAAATGAGAACATTCATGACTAAGATGAGTGTGCATAACAGATCCCTTCAACATCTAGCGGAGTTTATTGCAATTTTTTACCTACTAATCCAAGGACATGTTCTATGCAATGGAAGGGTCATTGCCCAGTGCTTAAACAGTGAAGCAAAAGCTCTTCTTCATTTCAAGGAAGGCTTTAAAGTCCATTCAAATCGCTTATCCTCTTGGGAACCAGGAAAAGATTGTTGCCAGTGGAAAGGAGTTGGATGCAACACAACCACAGGTCATGTTATCTCACTTGATCTCCATTGTGCAAATTGCTTAGATAAACTAAAGGGTGGTTTAGATTTATCTTTGCTAGAATTGCCATATTTAAGTTCTTTGAACCTTAATGGCAATGATTTCATGCAATCTAAAGTACCTGCCTTTCTAGGTTCTATGAAAAATTTAAAATATCTTGATCTATCAAATGCCAACTTTAAGGGAACTCTCCCTGATAATCTTGGAAACCTCTCTCTACTGGAGTCACTTGATTTAAGCGGCAAGGATAACACCTTAAGAGTGGATGATCTAAAATGGCTTAAAGGATTTTCCTCCTTGAAAAGTCTTGATTTAAGTGATGTTGATCTTAGCAGTAGTGCATATGATTGGGTTTTTGACATTAGCATGCTGCCTTCTCTTGTAACATTGCGTTTATCAGGTTGCCGTCTTCACAACCTTGCTCCTTCATCTCTAGTGAATTTTGATTCTCTTATAACCCTTGATCTGTCTCTCAATGATTTCAATAATTCCATTCCTGTTTGGCTGTTTGAAAATTGTCATAACCTTCAACATCTTAATCTCAGAAACAATTATTTACAAGGCCCAATTCCAGATTCCATTGAGAGGCTAATGTCTCTTGTAGCACTTGATCTGTCAAAAAATGAACTCATTGGTTCAATACCATCATCATTGGGCCGAACACATGGCCCAAATAGAGCTAAAACAAATCCTCGTTTGAAAGAGTTGCGTCTTTCAAACAATCAACTGAAAGGGTCACTGGAAAGAAGTCTTAGCCAGCTTTCAGAATTGGTTGTGTTGGATTTATCTGAGAACAAGTTGGAGGGCAATATAAGTGATGCTCATCTAGCTAACTTCAAAAGCCTCAGGGTGTTGGACCTATCTTTCAACCGTGTAACTTTAAATGTGAGCAAAAACTGGGTCCCTCCTTGCCAACTTGAAACTATAGGTTTGGCGAATATTCATTTGGGCCCACAATTTCCAAAGTGGATTAAGACGCAGAAGAACTTGTCCCATATTGATATATCAAATGCCGGTATCTTTGATACTGTGCCAAATTGGTTTTGGGATTTGTCTCCTAACATTGAGTATATGAACCTCTCTTCCAATGGGCTGAGAGGATGCGGGCATGATTTTTCACAAAAGTTGAAACTTGCCACACTTGACTTGAGCAGCAACAACTTCTCATGTGCCCTTCCCCATTTGCCTCCAAATATGAAGGAGTTGAATGTGGCCAATAACTCATTTTACGGAAATATTTCACACATATGTGAGGTGTTGGCTGTGAATAACTCATTGGGTTTTCTTGACTTATCTTTAAATAATTTATCAGGAAACATCCCAAACTGTTGGAGATATGGAGAAAATATGATCATTCTTAACCTAGCAAACAACCATTTCACTGGCTCAATCCCGGATTCCCTGGGTAGCCTCACCAATCTGCACATGTTGAGCATCAATGAAAATGATCTTTCTGGAAATATCCCAGAATCGCTGAAAGATTGCCGAGTGCTGACTCTGTTAAATTTGGGGTCTAATCGATTTTGGGGGCCCATACCATCCTGGATTGGTGAAGAAATGAGAATACTTAAAATTCTCATCTTGACGGCGAACTCGTTTGTGGGAAACATCCCAACAACGTTATGCCAACTCAAGTCTTTATCGCTATTAGACCTTTCCCTCAATCGATTGACAGGAGCGCTTCCACGGTGTGTGTTTGCTGCAATGGCTACTGAAGAAAGTACAAATGAGATGTCCTATATGGAGTTTCAAACAATTAAGGGAAGCATTTCCATATACGAGTCTAAGATGAAACATAGACGATCGTTAAGGTTACTTGACTTTTCATCAAATCGTTTAACAGAAGGCATTCCTGTAGAATTCACAAAGCTGGTCGAATTGAGCGCATTAAATTTATCGAGTAATCAGCTGGTGGGTTCCATTCCTTCAAATATTTGTGAAATGAAACTTTTGGAGGTTCTCGATCTGTCACGGAATCAGCTATCGTGTGGCATTCCCACCGACATGGTTGATCTTGATTTCCTCGAAATTTTGAACTTATCACGCAACAATTTGTCCGGGAACATTCCAACTGGCCATCAATTTGACACATTTGACATGTCCTCCTACGAAGGCAATCCATACCTTTGTGGTGTTCCACTCCCAAAAGAATGCAGCAGAAACATTTCATATGAAGAGATGCGTTGCAGTGACAGGGACAGGGAAGGGAACAGAGAAAATGAAAAGAATTCAGACAAGAAAGTGAGGGTACAAATATCTCCATTCTACATAAGCATGGGAATAGGCTTTTTCATTTCATATTGCCTCTTCTGGTCATCTTTAGTACTCATTACATCTTGGAGGTATGCTTACTTCCGTTTCTTGACCCGAATCAACGACCGCGTCTATGTCACTGTAGCTGTTGCCTTCCGCACAAAATTTCACATCCAACACCAAATTTAAACTTTACTTTCTTTGTTCATTCAGCAAAGAATAATAAAACTGATTTGAATTGGTTTGGGTATATGGTGTCATTAATCCGATTAATCATAATTCATTTAGTTTTTAGATTTATCTTTTACCAACCCAAACCAATTTTAAGTAAATATATCAATATGATGTGTAAAGCTGTGACTTATAAATTTGAACAACCATAATCGATTTTGATATTTTCTCCCAAAACAAAAATATAAGATGACTTATAAAACGTAATGTGTAAGCAAGGTTTATTAATATTAATATATGATTGGATTTTTTTAAAACATATTAAAAAGGGAAGAGGTTATATTCATTTTGACATGCTTTAAAAGATGCTACTCTTAATAATTAATTAGGGACACCTTTAGTTTATACTAAAAACATATATAAGTATACATTATTTTTATATTTGCCTTTTTTTCAAATAGCTATTAAGCTCCTTTTTTATGGCATATTTGGACGGAGGTAAATAAAAAAGGATAAAAAAAGAAGAAGCTACTTTTATATATTGTAAACTCATTTTTTCATAATTACAAAAAAAAAATCATTTATTTATGTCTTTTCACTCTCTTTCTATCATTCAAATAAACAATTTTTTTTTCTTTCTATCTAATTACTACATCATTATTATTTATTTTCCTTTTTACTTATGAATTTAATTTTGATGTACTATAAGTCCTCAAAAAATTTTACATTATCAATCAATTAAAATATACAGTAAATTTTATTTTATATTAATTATAACAAATTTTGTTTATATAACAATTTACGATCATGAAAATAAGTGTTACACTGTCAATGAATTTTAATTTTATTCATATTTTTTATTTTTATTCTATTCATCAAGTGTATTTTAAATGTGGATTCATTAAAATATTATAAATTATAACTTTCACAAATGTGTGTTAAAATGAACTCTTCTATGTTTAAAACTCAAAATAAACTTCAATTAAATTTAGTTAGATTAGATGGACTTACTTAAGGAGACAAGCACTAAAATCAATTTTGAGATTATTTAAAAAAATAAACTCGTTGTTACTTAAATTTATAAAGTTTGATAAGTAATTACTAATTAACTTAATCATGAACTTCAAAGATTAATAAAAAATACTAAGTAATTTTTTTTAAAAAAACGGTAATCCCTCAACTTATTCAATAAGATTAGATGTTATAACATTTTAAACTGATATTTGAGATATTAAGTTTATGATAAAATTATTTAAAAAAAACTAGTGCAACATACTAATATTTTTTAAGAAGCAATTAATACTAATATAAATATGAATTTTCTAATATACATCGAAAACAATAAAAAAAATATTACAAATAAAAATTTAGAAATTTTATAATATTAAAATACAATAAGTCCGAATACAAGCTTATTATTTATTAGTCTGGTCATTATTTCGTAAAAAAAAATGATATGATAAAAATAGTGTGTGTAGTCTGGTCATGCTTTTCAAATTTCGAAATACAGAAATAAAAAACTCTGCTTCACTTTCAAATTCCCGCTCCTTTCTCTCTCTCTCTCTCTCTCTCTCTCTCTATATATATATATATATATACACCCACTGAACCCCATCGAGATCTTCCGTGTTACCGATTCTCAAATTTCCATTGGGTAAGCGCTCTTTCATTCATTTGGTTGATTGTTCTATATTCACCAAATTTGTGTTGAATGCATATACATGCTAAAAATTATGTATTAGAATATTGTTATCAGCTATGGAGTCTCTCCCTGATGCTATTCTCCAATACATATTGTCCCATGTCAACAATGGTCGTGACGTGGCAGCTTGCAATTGTGTTTCAAAGCGATGGAAGGAATCCACACCCTACATCACAACCCTTTACTTTCCTCGCAGTGTATTTGATAACGTTTCTTCTTTTGTTGGTGAAAATGCTGACGCCATTGTCAGAAGAATGATATCAAGGGTTGTGCAATTGAAAGAGCTAATTGTGTATTGCCCATTTTCTTCTTCTGGTCTTGCATCGTGGCTTTCATTGGTGGGTCTTTCCCTTCACCAGCTTGAGCTCCGAATGGACAATCTTGCTACTGCTGACAATCAGGGTTTCCATGAAAGTCCTTCAAAGTTGGATTGTGTAAATGCAGCTAGGAATTTGAAGTCTTTGAAACTGTGGAGTGTGTTGATGGTGCATTCCCCAAAATGGCATGTTTTTCCAAACCTCAAGAATCTTGAAATTGTTGGTGCAAGATTGAAGGACTCTGTGTTGAATGTGGTGCTTCAATCATGTCCCTTTCTCACTAGGTTGTTACTTCTTGCATGTGAAGGGTTTAGATCAGTCTCAATTGACTTGCCATATTTAGAGCAGTGTAAGCTAGATTTCTATGGCACGGGGCACTGTTATCTTACTTTAACCTCTCCCAAAATTGAATCCCTGGAGGTACAAGGTTGTAGTTGGATTAGGGTCCCTGAAACCAAGAACTTGAGGACTCTTTCCATATCCAATAGTGCAGGTAATTAACTGGTTAAAATGGTTGTTGCATTTGTATATTTGTTTTTGTGTTAGAAAGATAATATAAAATTATTTAACAGCATAAAAATTTCTGAGATTGTTGGATCATGATGTGGTATCATAGCCTTAATGACCTAGTGATTTATATATATATATATATATATATATATATATATATATATATTTCACGTATTTTTGCTTCCAGGGAGAGTGTATATGGTTGATTTTGGAGATCTTACAGCTCTGGAATTCCTGAGTATGAGGGGAATCCAGTGGTGCTGGGATGCAATATGCAAAATGTTGAAATTAGCAAGCGAGGTGAAACATCTCTATATGAAGGTTGAATTCACTGGGGATTATGAGGTTCTTCAACCCTTCCCAGAGATTGATTTTGTTGATTTTTTCAACAGTCATCAAAAGCTGAGAAAGTTTGATATTCATGGAGCCATGTTCGCGGCACTGTGCCAGAAGAACAGTCTCCAACACGTAAGCTCATTATGACTTTGATATTACCCTTCTGATTGAGGGTGTTCTTTTATGTTTCATCTAATGATGATGTTTTATTTACAGGTGGATTCTGGATTTGTGATTCCATTTTTGGAGGAGGTTATAATCACTGTGAGGTCACCACTTAATGCTGAACAGAAAATGGGTACTCTTGAATCCTTGTTGAAGTACGGGAAAAGTCTTAGGGCCATGGTTATAAAGATTCTTGGGATGAAGAGCTGCCATACTAATGCTGATGAATTTTTTGACGACATTTGCGGGTTCAGATACATGAACCGTAAAATAGTTCGAATAGAATAATGCTCAGAAAGAGACTTATTTTGATCCGTTCTTAATTTAAGGCACTTCTCTAGGGAGCTAATTAATTTGTTAACTTTCTCTGTTAAACGATTTTGTTGTTTTTATTTAGAATTTCATATGATAGTGATCTCTCGTTTTACTGAATTTGGAGAATGAAATTTGGGATCTCTTATTTAAAATCATAGAAGCCAAAATGAGCAGATAGCCAATGATGTCTACATGACATGAGTGTTGGATAGAAGTACAAAGGTAAACAAAACGACTTATATCACAATTCACGAGGGGGGTAGCGTATCCTCTCAATTATTAAACTTGACACGGTCTAGATCTAAGATTTCATCCTTTATTTTTGTAAATTTCATTTTTTAAAATAAAAACATTATATTCATAAAATATCTTTAATGTTCATATTTTTTATAATGATAACATCAATGCAAAAAAAATTATTCTAATATAAGAAATTTAAAGAATCTTTAACGTCAATTGCATAGTATTATTTTTAAAAATTTGATAGAATAAGGAACCTAAGTAAGGTGCACGGTTATTTATGGTCTTATAGTTGTTATTGAAGTCATATATGCAAATATCTTTAACAAAACTCTAATCGTCACATGCTATTGGTCTAAATATTTGCACGATGCTAATCCACTTGACATGCTTTTAAGTGCCATAAATAAATGAAAAAAATAAGCTAATGTGTTTTCTCTCTCTTTTCCCCTTTTTTACTTAACAAATTTTTGCTTTTCTAAGCAACCGTTGCAACACAAGTTCATCACTTCATTAAAAAACTAAGATAAAGAACAATGTTAAAATTACTCTAATGCTGCAAGAAGTCTTGCAACGGAGGTTAAAATGAAACACTCAGCAAAGATGCCTTGGCTTAACAAAACAATAAAGTGAAACACCAAATAAAACAAAATAATAGGACTTCTTAATTTATTAGCCGATCATTTAATTTTTCATATTAGGGTTTTAGCCCTATATCGCTACCAAACGCATAATAATATTATCTGTTAATGAACATAACTTGCCTTTCTTTTACATCCTCAACACAAGCAATCGAAATACTCAACCATGACTCAGCATATCCTTAATGATCTTATCCTGTCCAACAGTTCCCCATCACAGAGGTAGTAGTTAATAAAAGGGTATGAAGACCATCCTTTTATCCGAGTATCATTCACTAAAATTATTTTACCTCTTTTCTGACGGTTTTCATATCCCAGTCATATAAAACAATTCATTGTAATAACCATCTGTGGATAAGAAAAGTTGAAAACTCTACTAGTGGTATCAAAAATTCCTGTCTACTACTTGTAAGTAGAGTTCATAAAAATGCTTAAGTTGTTGTAAGTTTGCTGTATCACAAATAAAATCAAATTAACACTAGTACAATCTATATAAGCTTCTTCTTCTGGAAGAACCGCTTCAAATACCATAATTGCAAAGCTGAAACCGCAATGCACATACCCAAGGACAGGATACTAAACCATGCCACTCTGGCATTTGTTTTTTCACTCATAGTCCTCATCTCAGCTTCCCTGAGCAAATAGCCCAAAAGGCAAAAGTTATACACAAGTTAAGAATGATTTGCAAAAGATTCCTATTCGAGGAAGGTGTTGACTTTATTGAAATTACCTGCCCTTGAGATAGAGCAAATTCTCATGGATGGCCTCTACTGCTCCTTCTAGCTTTCTCAGCTCAAGCTCGACTCCCTAGGTATCAATAGAGAGAAATCAGCAATAAGAAGCATCCAAGAGCAAACAGAAGAGTATATAGATTTCAATTCAGATTCAGTTTCTCTCGGGTTCTTTACTCTCATGTCACAACAGCAACTGCAGTAGCACCTCCCATTATTTGTGTAGGGTCCAATAAACATTCTTTAGTGTCTTTCACTCTCAAAACATTTGAGGGAACATGAAATAAGGAACATGAAATGATCCAAATCTTTTTAATTCACAAGCAATTACTAAATGATTCAAGGAAACTACAAACCTTAAAAGTTCTTAAAAACCATTTCAAAACAGTCCATCAACTCATTTTTTATTACACCTTGAGTAAATGTCAACCATTGAGAGGTAAAACTCTTACCTTCTTTTTACGCGAGATTTATAGTATAAGATTCAAAATTATAATTATCTCTTATATGTTTACCTCAATCTTCTCTTTTCTAGCAACTGAATCCCAATCCTTGGCTGCAATTCCAATTTTCCAATCAAGGTTCACATTGACATCACCACTTCCTTGATGGCCATCAATCCAGAAGCATGCCAGGTAGTTCCCAGTCTCTTGAGTTGTAAATGCAAAATTACCATGAGTTGAGTTCTCCTTGTGATGAAGATTGTTTCCATATGGTGATGTCACCTAAAGGAAACACAATACCATTAAAAACCAAGAGACAAGTAATAGACCTTATTAACAAGATATAGAAGATTGTTTTTCACGATCCAATCAAAGTTACATCTTCATAACACAAGCAGATCTAAACAACAAAAATACACACTATTAGAACTTATTACAAATCTAGAATATCTCCATGAAGTGCATGCTTTTTTCGATATTTCAACCCTATTTCTACTCAAACGAGATATTTTTATGTGAATTTATCAGGCAATGGATCCACAGCCCAGGTAGCTAAGGTATTTGATAGAAAACCAACTAATAAGTTGGTCGTTTTTATTGCTGAACCACAGAATTCAGACCATACAGTAAAGGGTTGCTGTCCCCCGAGTCTTATGACTCCAACAGAGATTATTCCTTGTCCAAACTTGCAGAATTACAACACACATAACTCCCTTCTACACTAGACTACATGTATATTTAATAATGCATAAATTCTCCTAACTTCTATTCAAAACTGCGTACATGACAATAATTATTTCCCATTATTTCAAATAATACATAACTGCTCATGAAAGTTATAATAGGTTTCCATCAGTATTAATGTCTCCAGGTTTGCCATCTTTGATCTTCGCAACATCTCAGTATGGAAAGAATACTACTCTGCAAACCATGCTGTAAGACATTTCCACCATCAGAATAAACCTATTCTCAGTTGTTTGCCCCTTTCCACCATCAAAACATCTCCATGTGAAGAAAGGGTCAATTTGTGGATACGATTAACAAATAACTGATTAAGACTATGCAGCTCAGGCTACATAAGCATAAATCAACAAAGTTGAGAAGTTTTGAGCAACAATAATTACATTCACTGATAACTACATTTGCAGACAAAACAAAGAAGCGATAACTATCAAATTCATAACATAATAACACCACAGATAAGCATTTCCAAAGCTATTAGGATAATGCATTTCCAAAGCAAAAACCTAAAACTAGCATACACAAATGAAGATCCACAATATGATAATCCAACTAATCAGTTAAGCAAGCAGCACCTCTGCAAAGTGTCAAATAATAAATCAACGGAAAACATATCACCAAATCGTCTCTTCCTTTCTCGTTCATCAACTAATTTCACCAAGTCAATCCTAAATCTAACAAAAATATTATCAATATACATATTTTTATCTTTCAAATTACCAAAGGCAACAACATGCAGCAACACAAACAAGAATTTTCCCAAACCATATAATAGCGAAGACACGACAAAAGTCTACCCACACACTTTTCCAATATTTAATATAGGCGCATAAAACGCAAATCAACGAACTCAATACAATTCCACCTCAATTTTTTCAGAAATCAAACAAATCCCAACATGGGTAAGAAAATCGGCAATAATTTTTTTTTTTAAAAGTGCACGACGAAAGTGATGAGCAATCGAAGAGCGACCCAGGAAAGAAATCCGAAAAGGGTGTCATAGTTAAAGGGAAAAACGGTACCTTGACGGCGATGGTGGCGCTGTGGGAATGATCATCGGGAACGACAACATAATCAGCCAAAACGACGACGTTGTTCTGGATTTCTTCGGAGACGCACTTAGTGCCTGAGGCGGGTAGGGTGAGCCAGATAGCCAGAACCGATGGAATGAGATTTGTTGAGAAGAAGCATAGACTGAGCAACAACGTGAACACAACTCTCTTCCCCATACCCTCCTCTCTCTCTCTCTTTCTCTCTCTCTCTCTCTCCACACACAACACACACACCAACGTCAATGTTTTTCTTTCTATTTTTCAGGTTCAGCACATGGATCTGTATCAAGCATTAGGCAACGATGGTCGATGGTTTCAGTTTTTTTATTTTTATTTTTGGAAATCCTCTAATTTTATTTTATTAATTGTCTTGCTTGTTAGTTTTTATGCTCTCTTTGGCTTAACATGGATTTCTTTCCAAAGTTTATTAATTATGAAAAACTTAATGCTTAGTGTGTGCGAGACAAAAGGTTAAAATTTGTGATGAAAAAACGTTTTAAGGGATATTTTCTTACTTTAAATAATAAAATTATTTTAAACATAAAATTGATTGCTATAAATGATTGTATATTAGTTTTTAAATATTTTAAACAAAATTAATTTTCATATGGTATATTTAAAAATAAAGTTTATTTATATGATTGATCATAACAATAATAAATCATTGAAATAATCTTTTTGCATCAACTCAATCGCATACTTTATAAATGCAACGTACAAATGTAGTGACATAGGATTATCATTACTATTTTGAAAAAATTAAATTATTGATGTTGGTAGTACATACTCAAATTTTATTTTTGAAAGTTTGACTGTAATTTTAGTTCTTTTATTATAATTTATGTGCAATTTTACTCATCTGACAATATTTTCTTGAACTTAGTCACATTACTTTTTAAACTATTTTACTTAATTTTATTGTATCACTTTCACTGATATTGTATCACCTTCAGCTAAACTACTGAAATAAAATGCAAACTCAGTTTAGTTAAGAGAGAAATAGAAAAATAATTTAAATAAAAATAAGATAAACATTTAGTTTATTTAATATAAGATAAACAGTTTTTTTTTTTTATTATTTCGGCGTTGAATTGCCCATTTGCTGGAGTACCATTAAGGTCTGGTTCAAGTTCACAGGCCAGACCAGACACCTTAACGGTCACCCACTTGTGCTGTGTTCCCCACCGATCAATACCATTTGAGATCCTATTTTGCTCGTGAATTGTCAGAATCTACCTCACATTTTTTACCTAAATTATTTGTTCATGTCCCATGAAAAGGAATTATTTTACCTCAAGCATTTACAACAATAGCATTAACATTTAGCACACACATCACTTTAATTTTGTATTTTTTTATCATTTAATCATAAAAATCAGATTAAAAGAATCCACAACTATGGTTAAGAATCCACAACTATGGCGAGTCTACACTCTACAGAGAGTGTTCTTTAAAAAACAATTGTCACAGTCACTCAAAAAGCAATATAAAAACGTTATGTGAAAAAGAGCAACTCACAGCACTTGCTGCCAAATAGAGCTTCCGTTGAGCTTCTAACTTTTGTGGGTCTCATAGTAATCATTAACTCAAAAAGCAATTGTGTTCTGCCTTTATATGATTTATTTAAGAATTTTTCGAGTAAAAAAAATAATTGAGTTACTCACAATAACGTGAAATAAAATTAAATAATCAAAAGTACATAAAATAATTTTGAGCAAGACTTGCATGAAGCCTTGAATGAAGTTGCTCGAAGAAAACATACCCTATCCTTCAGACCAAGTCTACACCATGGAGAAGCTTATTCCTTAGCTTATTCATATAAATAAGAAAATGGTTTCCAAGTTCCAACGGCTCTCTAAGCCTTTTTCACACCATAATGAGGTATAGTTCATTAAGGAACATATATCTAATCAATTAGTTTTTTCTTAACACCCGAACAGAAAAAGAAAAAGAAAATAAAGAGAGACCTAATAATTACATAAGATCCTATCTTGCTAGTTTTACTGTCTCATACTCGAAAGATTAGGTTCAACATGGGTTTGGAACCACGTGACCCTACGACAAATTCTTGCCCAACAAATTCTTAACGTTGTAAAAGGCCAAATACACGTCCTTTATATGATTCACCACTCTCTTTTTCTTGCACTAAGCTAGATTTGCTTGTTCAAAGAAAAATGGAAAGCCTCATTTCCCAGTTTACCTTCCTCTCAGATCAAGCTATAGTAGACAAAAGCTTTGACCCTTCCACAATCGAAGACCTGATGAAGCTATTCGAGATTGAATAATACAAGGCATGGGTAGCTCTGGAACTTGAGCAAGAGAAAGTGGTGGAAGAAGATGAGGTAGCAATGCAGCATGCGGAAGATCACCTTGAGTGGATCATAGATAGTGCCATGCATGAGTTTAGACACTTTGAAGAAGAGCTTGAGAGAATGTCAAAAGCTGAAATGGATAACTTAGTTGGAAATGCTGAGTGCTAGAGAAATGGGAAATTTCATGCACAATGCTGCTTCTGTTGTTTCCAAGAGGTTTTCTCAGTCCTTATGTTGCTGCTTTAACTAGAAAAGTAGGAGAATTAGATCTAATTTGTGCCAAATTTGAGAGGAGATACTGATTATTCAGCAATTACTGAAAAAAAAGGAGATTTATTGTTCATGTTACGTGGGAATTCAGGTATTTTTTTAGGTGGATCTGATAAAAAAAAAAGGCTTAGAATTTCAGACAAATTAACCTGTTAAAACATGTATTGAACATTGTATTTAGTAGTTTAGCCAATTTTCCTGTTTTTTATTAATTCTGTCATGTTTTCTTGATTAATTAGTGAGGAGACAAACATTCTACCATGTCTTATGCCTATTTTCTTTATGGATCTTGAGTAATGGCTAAGAAATTGAAAATATTTTTTTAATTAAAAATCATTAAAATCACAAAGATAAGTGTATTAATAATATTTTTAATAAAAAATTATTACTTTTAATTCTTTACTTAATAAGTCTTAGCCTTAAGACAATATTTAACGATTGCCTTTTTCCGTACGTGTTTTCAGCAGATTTGTCTGTTTGCTTTTTCATGAAGATAGAATATAACGTACTTTGCTATGAAGCATATTTAGAAATTCATGCTGAAGATCAATGAAACACTGTTATACTTTCAGCTGCAAGTACATTTTCAATTTTCCGCATATTTCTCTTCTCGAAACATAACCGAATGAACAGTTCTTTCTTGACACACAATGTAATTCTTAGTTCTATTCTGCAACTCTGAAGGTTTCAACAGGCAGAACCTGTCAGGTGGAAGTGGCAATCAGAGTTTAAATAATTTTCACCTTCACACAGCACATACTTCTTTCTTCACAGAAACATAACTATTGAAAAGAATCCAATCACTGAATTATTTAAGTGCCAAGTGAAGCTCAACAAAACAATTGTGCAGCCATAGAACCTTGAATTACATTAAGTTGTTTTGAGAACTGTTTGATGATTAATCTCTTGACCAATTGCAAGCTTATTTAGTTAAAAAAGGGAAAAAATATCTGAAAGAATTATGTGGAATATAAGTGAAATGAATTGATAAAATAAAATACTCTTCCTTTGAAACAATTAATTACAAAGAACGATAAAATCAAAAAGGAAAGGGAAAAGTATTCTATATATTCAGGGAGTTTCCGGGAAAACTTTTTTCTCCATGAAATTGATGAAACGTTGAGCATAAGTCTTGGGTTCCACAACTGATATAGACATAGGGTCATACTGCAGTGATTTGCAGGCATGCTCAAGTTTCTTTTTCAGATTGTATTCCTGCAATATATCAATTATGCCCATGTAGAGGACCACATCATAAACCTCAAAAAGCTCAACTTCTGATTCCTCCACCTTATCCTCTTGAAGCTTGCGCGTAGCTTGAGCTGGCATGTTTACTCCCAATTGCACTCGCAACCTGAGTAACATTGATTAATATAAGATATATATCATTACAATGCACGACAACGTAGCAAATGATTTATTCCTAGAATTGCTATTAAAGAAAATGACATCAAGAACAGTGGAAGAAACATAATGCACTTGAATTGTTATTATTGTACACGTGCAACTAAGACCAAAGAAGCTTGAATAGGTGCTGTATCAATGAATATTGAGATTGAAAATTTGAAACAATGAGAATAATCTAGTGCACAAGAGAAAGTAATGTTAGAGAAGATACCTTGCAGTACCAGGCAGTAAAAGATCAACTTCCTTGTCACCTATGGAGTATGCCCTCAATGTATTTCCTCTAATGTGGGGTCCAGGTGCAGTGTTGACAAAGCTGGGTTCATGGGCAACTAATAACAAGCCTTTAGGAATAATCAACTGCTCCCCTTGTTTGTCTGCATCTAGTGTAAGCAAAGCAAGATGAAAATAAATAATAAGAAGCCCCACAAATGCAAGAAGAAAATAGAGAGAACAAAATCAGTTTGTAGAGAACTTATACAGTAAAAGTACAAGCTTGTGTAGACCAGGATTCCCACATGCAGAGAGAATGACACAAAAAATATCATTGGAATGCTTAGTGACTGTATGGACTTAGGGCTAATAGGAATTAGGAAGGTACTAGATATTTTAGCTGGCCTGATCTTTTTCAATGATTGTATGGAGTCTGGGCCTAGGGCTAAATTCCCATTGATTCCACCTATGCCATGGAGGGATGAATCACTGAAATAAACCATGTTACCTCCCATTTTATAACCCATTCCAATCAATGCTAGGTGTCTTCTACAATCAATAATTTTTTAAAGAAAAAACCCATGTCACATTCTAATAAATGATATCAAAGGAGGTATTTACCATTGCCAGAAGGTAAGCTATATTGACGCTGCATTAAACTGGAAGGTTCCACTAAGGCCTTTAGATTCTCTGGAGCTCTAAAATGTAATCCCAACAGAAGGCTGTAATCAATTATATGCTGAGACTCCAAGAACATGCAGTCTAGAGAAATTTGTCTGCACCAGAAAAACAATTCAGGTCATAACTAGAAGGTGAACTTCCTAAACATCCAGTCAATGCGATATCAAACACAATTATCATGATAAATATTTTAGTGCACATAGACTCAACCTAGCAGTCACAACTCATTTCTATCACAGGCCATGAGTAAATCAATCATAACCCAGAGGTGTTCCAGTAATTGATATTTATATAGTTAGGTGGATTCCATCTAGTCATGATACAATATATGAATTATAATTTTACCAAGATATAGCTTCTATATTGAAAAGAAAAAGATAAATAAAATCCACTGAAAGAAGTGTCACCTTTGATAACAGTTTCATAAGTCATAACAAATTCAAACACTCTATACTAATTATCTCTAATGCAACACCTCTAAGATGAGTTTGGTTTTCCGATCCTAATGTGAACTTTACTTCTAGATTAAATCTTTCAAGTTGAAAATATGAAGAAGAAAATTAAAGATATAGACAATCCAATTGCATTTATACTTTGAAAGATTACCTATTTCAATTTTAAGACCTATGACTTTATGGTTTCAGGGGACCAATTAAACATCGTATTACAACCATGAATTATGACCATTATATTATTAATCCACTAATAAAGTAAAAGATGAACACTGTTAGATGCAGTAAACACATCTAGAATAAAGCAGTAAGAATTTCCTATGAAATAGACATTATATGCTCTTGAAGAAAACAACTGTTATATTCTTGAAATATGTCAACAAATATTCCTTACTTGTACAGAAAATTAAATTGCATCCCGATCACTTCAACAGAAGTAGCTCTTAAAATGTAGGAACTCACTTGAATAGGGATTCTCGTAATTTTTTATCCATATGAAATTCATATTTTAGATCAAGATCTTTCAATGTTGTATTGCTATTAATTTTATCTCCGTCTGTATATCTTCCTTGGGTAGACCCCTTTAGATCATATCGTCGGTGAATATGCAGTTCTGTGCAGAACATATTCCCCATCACTACGAAGCGCACCTAATGAAGAAAACAAGGAAATGTTTACACGATAACAACAGCCAACCCCTTTTCTCACTAAGTGGGGTTGGAAAACAAGGAAATATTTATATTTGTAGTACCAAATGAAAAGGAAAAGAAGCTAGAGACAGATATATGACACTACCTTTTTCCCACCTCTTAGTGTTATTCGATGAAGCCCAAAGAACTTTGTAATAAGCGTATTCTCATAATCTCCTACATGATGGTAGTATTTAGGAAGCATGTTGAGCAGAACCTACAAGGAGATAAGAAACAGAGTTCATAACCATAAACTTTGGTGTTTCCTTTCAACTGGGTAAATCAAATTCATTATTAATTGTGAGAGATGGAAACAAAAGAAAAAATTGGTTTCTATGTAAAAGTGATTTTATAACTAAAGAAGAACTTTCTTCCGAAAATCCCATCTAAACACAGCCTTAATTAGTCATTTTGGCATCGGAATTCATGAAGTTTGCCCTTAAAATTTGTCATCAGATTATTGGCACTAGAAGTATTATCGGTGACTATTGAACTACTAGAGACAGAAAGATGAACAATCATCTATTTTGATTTAGAATTACTAGCATAAAAAACGTGTCTCTCCAGAAAAAAGTCCATCATAATGTGTTCTTAATTAGATAGATGTTAGCACTGGATTTCAATAACTGTTTTTGAAAATTGTCATCCTATGGCACTACCAAGTCCTACCAGTGTTCATGGATTGCCAAAGATGAATACATAAGCAATCATCAATTTCTCTATAGAACATAAAAAACACTTTTATCCAGAAAATGCCCATCCATATGGCCTTGATTAGCCATTTTGGCATTGAATTTCACTGAACCTTGTCCTTAAAATTTGTCATCAGATTAGTATATGATGACAATGTCACCAAGTACTATCTCATACAACATGCTTATGCATCCAACTGCAGAACTCTTAAAAAGAAAAATTCATATATGAGTTGATGAATTCAACACAACACAATTCAATAAATTGTTTCTTGATCCATAGAGGAAAAAGAAGGCAATTACAAACCTTTAGTTCATTTTTTTTTAATGTCTTTATCACAAATCTATCATCTTGAGAAAGAAAGAAGATGCTGCCACTTTTTCCCGGTGAAGATATGTCCCTTAGACCAGAATCACCACAAATGGACATCATGTACTCAGCAGCATCTAATTTGAACATTTCTCTCAAATTCCTGAAAATATATGCTAATGTAATTATGCAAAGAAAGAAGAAAAAAAAAGGATACTAGAATGCTACATGTAATTAACTAGAACTGGAAGTCATAAATTAGTCGAGCACATGAAACCCACAATATCATTAAATGGAGAAAGTGTTAATTTGAAAATCTGAGTCGTTTATGTTAAGTATGCATCATGTGCTTCAAACCATCACCCTGACTAAGCACTCTAATATGCCACTTTATAATCACAAATTCATAGCATGAAGAATTCATGCATATTATTCTGATAATGACTATGTTCACATTTAAAATTGGACATATTTCTTTACTTCATTTAAACCTAAGGAAAAGGGTTGGACTCAACTTCAATGTTGATTCTTCAATTTGGAAATTCTTCATTGCAACAAATTAGGATGCAACAATAGTTTTATAAACTAAACCCAACAAATAAAAGTTAAAAGGACATAATGCTTTCATGTCTTACAACTTTGAAACCAATTGATCCTACTATAGCCATATATGGAAGGGTTCCAATAAATGATGCTAAAGATATAACTCATTAGGCATGCATGCAGTTAATAAATACCTGAAGACCATAGGGCAGTAATCTTTCCAGTAGAAGTCTATAGAACTGTGTGGAGGAGTCAACTGTGAGCCCTCCTTGGGGAAGTACATCCTTATCCTAGCTCGGTCTCCAAAATCAGATGACCGAACTTCACGTGCAGGCACTGGTGTAATTTTTCCAACAGTGTACCTGAGAATCCGGCCAAATTTGTTTGAATAAAAATTCATAAAACAAAATACCAAATGGAATAAACAACACTACAATTTAACAAGCACCCCCTCAATTCCTTCACCATACTGCTGACATATTAAGCCCTCAAAATTTCAACTTCCTTATTCACAATTATAACTAAATTTTTGCATTCTTGATCAAAGTTTACTGACTTTATTGTAGATCTCAACAACTACACTGCAAAACATTCTTATAAAGAACAGACGCATTCCTTCACCAACTAAACTTTTGCTTTCTTGAGGTGAAGAAGAAATTTAGTTGTCGATCAAGTTCAATGACATTGTGTAATCCATGTAACCAACCTCACTTAGTGAGATAAGGATTGATTATTGTTGTTGATATGAAGTATAAATCCTTCCGATCTGTTTTAGTTAATTTTTTTTGTGGTTTTAGTTTATTTTAACGAAGTTATGGATCAACATCGGGCAATAGGCTATACATGCTTTCAACACAATATCAGTGTCTCCTATCATTCATCTTCCTTTTATTTTCCTACTGGATCACCCTGGGTGACTTGTCTCGAATAATCATGTTCCAGCACCCAGGTTAATAGGAGTGTAAAAAATACTACTGTCAAAGGTGATCTAAACAATTCCTTTTTGACAGATGCAAGCTAAATATAATTCCTCCCATCTGCATTAAGACTCTAATTCATGTACTAACATGCTTAAGTTTTCTATCCATGCCAAGGACAACAAGAAACACATCATTTGTATAATCAATTCCTTATCTTTAATTTGTGAGCCAATCAGTATGTATGTATCATTACCCTCTAATGTACTATAACTTCATAGGCACTCGTTGAATATTACTTTAGCCATTACTTTGTGAATTCAAGTCATCTAATCCATTAGCCGAATCACTTTCTACACATGGTCTAGATTTTAAAATAAGTAAAATGCAGGAGAAAGAATCATGATATTACAGGCAAGGCAACAATAGATACTATATCAGTTGTTTCAAAGTAGTTTAGAAAGGTAATGTTAGATCAAATAATTTACCTGATGCCAAGCTGCAAATTAAGCTTCAGATAATAGCTTCGGCGGCCTCCAAAAATATCAATACATGAACTCTTCTTTACCTGCTTCACACTAAACTTATTTTGTCGTTTGTTTTTATGTGATGTATCTGAACAGTTTCTACTTTTTTCCATGATTAGAACTCCTTGCATATATTCCCTTTCATAAACCAATGAGTTCATATCAGATGCCTCAGATTGACTTTCATTAAAGGTCTCCAATAATGTGGGTGAGTCACGACATATACAATCTCCAGCAGGATCTTGAAGGTTCCAATTTGCATTCAATGATGAAGTTCTATGAGATGTTAGATGTGAACTTTTTGATCTACTACTGACTGGAATTTTTTCAGAAAGGCTACGCGTAAATTTTGGTTTTGGAGTGATATGCTTTTCTGTATTTGATAACAAACCATTATCATCACTGTTAAAAGAGCACCACTTCTTTAGAGATGGTTGTTTACTACCAGCAGGATAGAATGTTCCTTTTCCATCCTTTAGGCCTTTACTCCATGTCCCCATATAAAGGCCCCCATCTGCAAATCTATAAACTCCAGATCCTTGTCTAAGCCCATTTAACCAGCAACCATCAAAAATATCACCATTAGCCCACTTCATAACCCCTCTTCCCTCAATTTTCCCACCTTTCCAGTTCCCAATATACATATTTCCATTCTTCCAAGAATACCTTCCACAGCCTTCACGTATTCCTTCTTTCCATAAACCTTCATAAATATCTGAATTGGAATACTCCTTCCGTCCAATCCCATGATGAGCATCCATCCTCCAGCCTCCTGTATAAGTGCACCCGTTAGATCTTGTAAAGGTGCCATGACCATGAAGGTAACCCCCAGAGAATTCACCCTCATACTTTGCTCCTGATGGCCATGTAATCAGTCCTTTCCCACTCATTTTCCCATCTGTCCAGTCGCCTTCATACACTGTTCCATCTAACCATGTATACTTTCCTTTGCCATGGGGTACTACACCCTTGATTTTACCACTGTAGGCATCCCCATTCGAAAAGGACTTCTCTTCAAACCTACACTTTACAAGAAATAGTGATATCATCATACATGCATAGAGAAGAGAACAGAACAGACAAGACAGAGTCAAAACAACATAAAATACAGAATACAAGGGGATGAATGGGGATGAAGCGTTTCAATGAATATTACCTTCCACTGTCCTCCATGACTTACAGATTGTCACTGTTTTATTAAGATAACTCTAAAATTTCTATTTCCTTTAAATGATTGAACATATCATTCACTGATATGATAAGGAAGTTCATTTCTGCTTTCACCAGCTTTACGACCCTATTATGCTCCAGCATAAACTCTGAAACATATACAACGTCCATAATAAGTCTCAAAATGCAGTAGAAGAAAAAGTCACAGTAAATCCTTTGAAAAGGTTTCTGTACTAAAGAATGCTTTTTGGAATCTTTCTGCAAAATACAAAAAAAAATGAATATTTAGGGAACTTGCCATGTATTTAGAGAATATTTAGAGAACTTTCCACAAAATTGTCATGTCATGATCAAACGGAATATTTTGAGAACTTGCTAGAGGGAGACTTCACACACCGCTAATAGAAAGGTAGTGAAGTTGGCTGGTAATGTGCGTTTAGTGTACAGTACATGTTTGAAATTTCTCTCTCTTGGAATATTAAAAGTGATTCTTAATTTCTTATTATGCTGTACTTGTTTCAATTGGAACGAAAAAAGTCATACTCTGAAAACAGAGAATTAAGCTTACTTTTTAGCTAAGGCTCTGGGAGAATCATTCTCAATGAAATAAAGAAAGAGGCAACATATTACACAATTTGTTCATTACTATTTCATAATTCACTACAATCAAAACCTCACAACCTGCAGACCAACAACATATAATAAACTAATTTACAAGTCCCTTCTTTCTAAATTGAGCATCAGGTCAATGCAAACACTGCCTCTGCTGCATCAATGAAAATCCTCTAAAATCTACACTTCAAATGGATATGCTCATTCCTAACGGAGCCAGTGCAAAGCCAGAACTTTACTGTATTCCTTGTCAAAGAAGAGTAATTAAAATTAACATCTAAACATAACTGAGCAAAATTAACATCTCCACATTTTCACCAAACAAATATTATCATCACAAGATTATTCTTAGCATCATTTTGATTTTTGGGTGGAAAAAAGTTCATACCCCATTTGCACACTACGAATCAATGCCCCATATGCATTCTCGTATATGCATAAAATGAGTAGCTAAAGCGATATTCTTCCAGAAATTGTAATTGGGTATAAGAGAATCTCCTGTTGATGTAAGGAATCCACAACACATAAAATCCAAAAGTTGAAGACAAGAATCGTTGAACTGACCTTGGATGGATTGAAGAGGAAATGACTAATATCCTTCCTGAGAAACGAAGCAAAACAAACTCAAACCAAGAAGAAGTGAAGTCCCCCTCAAGAATCAAAACAAAACCTGAGGAGACAAACAAATCTTAAGATTAAAGCCCTTTCTAAAAGAGTTTTTCAGATAGGAACTCTGGAATCCTTGTTCAACTACCTTAGCCGACAACTACCCCACCACCCAAAAACTAAATATTTTAAATTAGTTACAGCTGATTATGCCTCCAGCTACTATATATACTATGCTCCAATAGAGACACGTCACCTCTCTCTCTCACTTGGCTCTTTTGTGCATCACTTTAACAGTTATTGAACACTACGGCTGTATCTATGTGCCATGCAATACCCAAAGCAAGATCAAGATGGCCCCTTTTAACTACCCTGAAAAGGGTACGGCGTCGTTTCAAGTTTGGAATCTGGAACACGTGTCAATCCCTCTTTTCTGTACCCATCGTCATCAGAATTACATGTACGAAACAATTATAACACGTGTGTAGGCTCCACCCCTAATTAATTTTACATCAGTGTCTTTGTTTATGCCTCATTCCACGAGAAGAAATAATCGTGAATCCACCACCACAGCTTGTAGCTGATGCTAAGTACCAAAAAGTATCTATCACGGAAAGGATAAAGCCCCACTCCACTATTTGCTGTTCAATAAGGAATAAGTAATCACACCCTGTTAAAGTTCACTTTTTCTTATTAAATACATCTAGTAAATCAACTATGATTGCATGATTCATATTCTCAAGTTTAATATCTTACGTGCATTCGTCTTACTTTTATTCTCTTTCGTTCCCATTGTGTGTACGGATAGAAAAATCAAAAGTTTAACAGGTTTCTAGATCAAATTATAATATATGTCACCTAGTCAAATTATTGGTTAATTATATTTTTTATACCACAGGTGATTTTTATAAACTTATGTTTTATTTTATATTATTAATCATAAATTTTATTTATTCTATATTTACAACATTAAAATAAATATTCATCCTTATTTATTCGAACGCATGCTATGAAATGTTTAATGACAACGGACGTGCTTTCTGGAAATTCTGTCCCACTTTCGTTGAAAACTGAAAAACCTACAAATTTGGGTTTCCTCGTCAACATGTAACACTACCGTGCTCACGTATTGCATTATTGGGATTTGGATTACCTTACGAAAAAGCTATTGAGATAGTTAACCAATTAACTGGAGTGTAAACACTTCTTTACATCATTATTATCTCAATCATTATATTCAAAATCCGAACTTTAAATGTTTAACAATATATAAAATCAATCCACTGTTAGACAATAGTGTAAACAAATGAAATATAAAAACATCTTATTCTACTTAAATGTGAACATATGGCCAATTGTGAGTCAACATGAATGCAAAGTTAAATTATTACATAGGAAACTTTAATTAGCGTAAGAGACAATAATAGAAAATTGCTGATGCGGTATGGAGTGCATGAAGAGAGATTCTCCCCCAAAAGAAGAGGTATCTTGAACAGATAATATGTGCTTTTTAATCAATTTTAATTTATAAACATTTTCAAATCATGTATTTTACTCTCTTTATTTATTTATCCTCATATCGTATTATCTATTACACTTATTTTTTATATATTTTTCTATACCTCATTAGGTGTAGATATTTCACTGAATATTTTCCTTCTTAAATATACGTAGTTGGTGCCCCAAACTTGAAGTCACGTTGGAACCATGATTATAAGAAAAATAAAGTGGTTAATCATGTGGGAATTGCCTTTGGACAACTTAATTATGTTATCTGTATTAATTTACTGATTGCTGATTAGGAAAGTTAGCAAGCATAAACAGTCTTTCATTATCATCAAGCATATGATTCTTCCACAATAGACAACTGGGATTGGATGTAAAGTTAATAAAAATATCCTTAATGAATTCACTGATTAACATTTTCATGAGAAAGTGCATGTGTGTGTCATCTCACGTCTTATTCTTTCACAATGGACAACTTTCATGCTGAACAGAGGCATCTATGCGTTTTGCATCCGATTCTTTTGTTCCATTTATGATTCTTATTTTTCTTTTTATTATTAGGGTTATGTTGTTCCCATGTTTGATTTGTATAATCTAAATTTTTAATTTTCTTTAGCTCAAAAAAAAAAAAATCTTTTGACTTAGTTTTACTTTAACAAAAATAAAAAATGAATAAATCAAATTACAAACGTGCAGAGTCCCCTCCACCACAGCGCTGCGGAATGGGAAACCCATACCCAAACCCAATTTCACCCTCCGAAACCCGAATCGGATGGATCGGAATCGGCGTAATGGGTCACGCCATGGCCTCTCGCCTCCTCTCCGCCGGTTACTCGGTCACCATCTTTGCTCGCAACCCTTCCCACCCCAATTCCCTCTATCTCCAATCCCAAGGGGCCCAACTCGCCCATTCCCCGGCCCAACTCGCCCAACTCACCGACGTCCTTTTCACCATGGTGGGCCACCCCTCCGACGTCCGCTCCGTCCTCCTCGGCCCAACCGGCGTCGTTTCCTCCCTGCGCCCTAATTCTGTCACTGTCGATACAACCAGCTCCCACCCCGACCTCGCCCGAGAAATCTTCGAGGCGGCGCGTGCTCGAGGCGCGTGGTCCGTCGATGCCCCGGTTTCCGGCGGGGACATAGGCGCGCGTGACGGGAAGCTGGCGATCTTCGCCGCCGGGGAAGCTTCGGTGGTGGAGTGGCTGAGGCCAGTGTTTACGGTGCTGGGGAAAGCGACGTACATGGGTTCTGCGGGGTGCGGGCAAAGCTGCAAGATCGCTAACCAGATAACAATTGGGGCGAATTTGATTGGTTTGAGCGAAACGTTAGTGTTCGCAAAGCGTGCGGGGTTGAACGTGGAGCAGTTGGTGGAGGCAATGAAAAACGGTTCTGCGGGTTGCAAGGCTTTGGAATTGTTCGGGGAGAGGATGATAAAGAGGGATTTTCGACCCGGTGGGTTCGCAGAGTATCAAGTGAAGGATTTGGGAATGGGGGTTGATGTTGTGGATAATGATAAAGTTGTTGTTTTGCCTGGTGCTTCCTTGTCCAAGCAATTGTTTTCGAGTATGGTGGCGAATGGGCAAGGCAAGCTTGGAACACATGGTGTTATCTCTGTTATTGAGAGGATCAATGGGAATGAATGAATGAGTGAGTGATATTTGGAGGTTCCAATTTCGTAGTGGTAATAAATCAATGCCCATGTTAGATTTTATTTTGACGTGGCATTAAAATTAAAATTGTCAAGGTAGGAGGTAGTGTGAGTGTGGTTTGTAATTGATTTTTATTTTAATGGCTGTGCTGTTTGGTGTTGTCTACATTTGCTTCTTTTTGTTTCGGAATTGCATGAGTTGCAACGTGCGTTTGCATTAGATAATAACAAAGATAATCCCCATTCACGACCCTCCATTGCACTAACTCTGTTTATGGGTGTTGAAGGGAGAGCATAAGCATCTAAAACGTTTTCTAGATTTCTGATTTGTGAATGGCATAATAAGCACGCAGCAAATTCAGCACCCAATTTCCACTTTCCCCATAAGCTACAACGGCTAGCCAGCATGGACATGCTCAGAGAAAATCAACTAGTCCCACGAGTGTAAGGAAAATAGGTCCGAATAAAAAATACAAAATGGTTCAAGTAGATTTTGGTCAAGCTTTTTTGTTTTCTAACATTTCAAATTGAACTAATTTAATCAAGTTCAAGTAAAATTCAGTGGTCAGAATGTATTTATATTTTTTGAAAGGGAAATACTAAAAGAAAAACCAGTCAAGGTTTGTCAATTTTAAAATTTTCAAACCAAAACTTGACAATGCATTATATTTGGCCTTGTTAAACTGATGAGCTAATATGAATTGTTTCTTTTATTTTCTGGGGGTCGAGTCCACTAGTCCAGTGAACTTGATTCAGTTCATGTACCACAAATTTCTCATTTGAGGTGAAAAATGTAGTATTTATTGATAGAACGAGTAATCTCTGAAGAATATGTTTCAAAATAATTCTAAAACGACAACATAGATACAAAATCTCCAATTCCCCGACATAGATTACTCTATTGTTCTGTTATTTAAAAGAATTACACTATAGGATTGTGTATAAAGTACTTGCTTGGAATTTCAACTAAAGAAATAAAAGCAAAATTCACATATTTTAAAAAAATTATTTATTAAATAAAAAACGTGTTAAAAAGATTATGTCGAGTCATATATCACTAATATTTGTCATTACCTACCTTTTAAAATATCATTAGATATTTTTAAAATGACACGTAAATAAGAATATTCATACTTAATTCTACTTATTTTAATAAAATAATCACATTTTTCTACACTATATAGAACTAAATTAATGAACATTTATTATTTTTGGATTAAAATAATAATTTTTTTAAAATCTTAAGAATTAAATTAATAAATATTTATATTTATAGATATTAAAATGACAATGTTTTGCGGCACGGTTCAAATAAGTTTGCGGAGCGGTGGGGCAACAAGGCGGTGGACCATACAGAATAGGCCTTAAATAGATAGATATTTAGAGTTGTGGAAGATAAGTCATTAGCGGGTTTTGGATTCAGATTAAAAGTTTGTAAATTTACAATTGAAATAAACATGAAAATGTTAGATTAGACACCCAATTGGTGTGTCAATGTCACCGCCATGCATTGCCGACTAATTTTTACACACATGGACTAGGACAGGACCCACCTCCTTGTCGTTATTTCTTTGGTGATGTTCACTTAGTTTGTCTTTTGTTTATCAGAACAAAAATCTTGTTTTGTCGTTTTTATTTCTCACTTATTACAGTATTTACATTCATGTATTTTTTTTACACTTCTTTTACATTCTGAAAATGGAATGTAGGATGAACATATTATTCCAAGCTCTGTGAGTAGTCCTCACATTTGTTATGTTTGGGCATGGACATGGGCATTTCTTCACTTATTCACTTAGACGAATCCATGTCCCCTTTCTGCTGAGTTTGTTGCTTCTTATTCTAGTTATTACCCAAAACAGGACTAGGGGGTGTAAACTCGATCTTCTTTATAGTTCTTTCTTCTAAATCACAGGTTCATGTATGTCTTTTAGTATTTTTATATAATAAAATTCTATTAAATAAACAAGTTATTTGTAAAACATATCTGTGCAAGCATACAACCTAACTGACCGGCGTATTTAAATTTAATAATTTCCACGTTGAATTTACGTCAACAACACATTCAACAAGAATCAAAATATATAATTAGTCTCGATGCCAATATAGGTAAAAGAATAATTAGCCCAACAGTGTATTAATGTTGTCATGACTTCTCTGATTTGGTTTTTCCAAAAGTTTAAATATCCAGCACTTAACATGATTTTTTTGTTAATGAGCATAAATATTTTTAATTAACAGTGATGATTTGTTTGAAATGCTTTTGACGAGGAAAGGGAGAAGAAAATCAATGGAGTTGGACTTAACGGTGAAGACAGCAGAACCAATGTCTGAGGGAGATGGTGGAGGTTACTACGTTTGGTCGAGTTCTGATATGCCATTACTGGCTAAGACCAAAGTGGGTGGTGCTTGCCTTCTACTTCAGCCTCGGGCCTTCGCTCTTCCTCACTATGCTGATTCATCCAAAGTGGGTTATGTTGTGAAGGTTAGAGTTCTCTCTAAAAAGGAAAAAATAACCCAAAAAAAAATGTAATTGGGTACACTCTTAGGCTCACAATTACTGACACGATTCTTATAAGATGAGATTCATCACTCCCTAAAAAACTAGAATGGTTGCATTACAATAAATGGGAATTCTAAAATAACCGATGGTGTAATTGGGATGGTACTCCTTAACATGCAGGGACTGACGGTGTAGTTGGGATGGTACTCCTTAACACTGGAAGAGGTAGTTTTGAAGCTTAAGCAGGGAGACATTATACCGGTACCTCTTGGAACTATCTCATGGTGGTTCAACAATGGAGACTCTGATCTTGTCATTCCTTTTCTTGGAGATACTTCCAAGAGTCTTGTTCCTGGCCAATTCACCTATTTCTTTCTAACTGGTGCTCAAGGACTTGTAGGAGGTTTCTCTAATGAGATCACAAGCAAAGTATATGACTTGGACAAAGACGATGTGATAGCTCACAAAAAGCCAAACCGGGGTTTCGATCATTAAGTTAGATAAAAACCAACCCATGCCTAAACCCCAAATGGACCATACCAAAAAACTAGTGTATAATATAGATGCTGCACGCCCTGATAATGAGGTCAAAGATGTTGGATTAGTCACAACATTGACTCAAAAAGATTTCCCTTTTATTGGGGATGTTGGGTTAAGTGTGATTAGAGTGAAACTTGAACCTTGTGCTATTAAGGCACCATCATACCCAGCCAACCCTGCGGTTCAGTTAATTTACATTGCTAGAGGAAGTGGCAAGATTGAAATTGTGAGCATCAATGGAAACCGTGCATTGGACGCTCAAGTTAAGGCTGGTGATTTGCTAGTGGTGCCTCAATTCTTTGTGGTTGCTGAAATTGCCGGGGAAGAAGGGATGGAGAGGTACAACATCGTAACAACTACAAAGTAAGTTGTTGAGGTTTCAATTAGCATAAAGATAAATGCATATAAGATTTAAAATATAGAATATGTTATGCACGAATAATAGTAAAATTGATGGATTATTGTATTTGGAAGAATATGCACACAGCAACTGTACAAATAAAAAATAATTGTGTATTTATTTTTTTTCTTTGCAGGCCTTTGCTTGAAGAGTTGGCTGGCAGTGTATCAGTTTGGGGTGCCTTGTCACCTTCAGTGCAATAAGTGGCTCTTAATGTGGATTCAGAATTTCAAAAAAATTTCATGTCTAATATCAAACTAACCACAAATCTCATCCTCCCTGCTGATTAGTCTGTTCAATGTGCTTACAAGTGAAAAGTTTTTACATAATGACAAATGAGAAGTATACTTTTTATAGCCGTGCAAGTATAAAAACTTTTATACTTAATTTAAATTTTTTATTTAATTTAAATTTAATAATCAGTAAAATAATAAATTGTAATATGTTAAATTTAAGTTAGATAAAAATTCAAATTAAATATAAAGATTTTTAGACTTATAATATAAAAAAATTTTGTCTCGTGTCAAATATTTATATTTTTCTCACTTTTTAAATATTTTATTAAATAAAATCTTACTAAAAGTTATAAAGATTATCAAATTATCATGTTATTTATATTGTTGAAATTAGCTCAAAATTATAATAAAAATTATTAAATCACACTTTTTTTACTATTCTTATAGGATAAAAAGGAAAGATTACTCTTTCTACCAAAGAAAGAAAATTATTTTAATTTTATACAAAACTAACATAGAATAATAAGAAAAACAATATCTATATATATACATATATGCAGAATTAATACTAATGAATGAATATATTATAACAAATAATTCATAGTTTTTATTTTAAAAATTAATAAATATGTTGAACTGAAAATGAAATATTAAAAATAAATCTAGTATAAGATAGAAGAATTATGTTTTAAGTTTCCAGTTTTTTTAGTAAAGGTAATTTTATATATAAAAAACATCACCTTAGCATAATAATTTGTGTAATTAATATTTTTTTTATAAAATATGCATTGTCTTAAAAGCTAAATAATACGATATAGAAGAAGTAAATAAAAAAGTATCATTATTAATTTGACATTAATCTTTGAAAAGTGAAAGGGTAAATATAAATATATATTTTTTACGAAGAAAGAAACATATTTGATAGAATGCGAGGATTTTAAAATAAAAATGTTTTCTTGTATTTCAAAAATTGATATTATTTATTAAATAATTAATAATTTGTTTAGTTTTTGAAAATTATTAATAAATAACAATTCATTTAAAAGTTAGTAGTAATCTTGAAAGGGTACGTTGAAGAAACATTTCCTCTCTATAAATAACCCTTCACTCTTTATTTTGAATTAAATATCTCGTATGTTTCCTTTCCTGTTTCTTTTTTCTTGATCACATTGATTTTTCTGATATTTTTCACAAGATGTTGAGATATTAATTTTTACACAGTTTCTTGCTATTCTTTGCACTTAGAGTTAAGAATATGTATTATTAGCAATTAGCAATATCTAGTATTTTGTGAATTTCTTTTGGTGTGTTGAAGTGGTTTATTTAGTAATATTTGACATCCTTAAGCTGATTCAATGAGAAAATATGTATTATTTAACTATTTGGTCAAGAATGAGAAAATATGTAAACTCTCTTGATTCTAAATGAGTTAAATTCAGAAAGCGTTTATTTAAAGTTTGTAATAATTTAATATATAATAATATAATATAGAATATCATAAATGTTCCTTCTGGAGAAACGGTTGTCTTCAAACTTCTGATCTGGCGTCCTTCTGACAATTGCTGATGTGGAAGGGTACC